CGGCTATTTCCCATTACGCAAACACTAAAAACTCACGCAATTCAATATTGTTAGTTTACGTCGCGTAATGTGTCCTGAGTGCAAAATGACACAACCATCCCGTACGAAAGCCGGAGCAGGACTAAGCGCGGGTGGCGCGTGGCAGGGAACCAACTTTAATAAGGCTTATATTATATGTTATTTAATTGGGGAGGAAATTCAAAAAAGTAAATAACATAAGACCTGCTTTATAGTTAATTAAGTAAGTATAAAAAGTTTCATGATCTAATTTGAAGTATTTTATGATTGCCAGCGGTTTATTGTTCAGTTTAGAGGTAACTTGGGGATTTTTTTCTATCGAGAAAATTTTATGCAATCGTGTTTTCGCCAAACATAGGACTTAACATTATTGCTCAACTTTACCATATATTTATTTCAAAATTAATGCTGCAGTATTTTCGGCGTAACAGAGGATTTTCCTAAGCCATTTGAGGTAGTATAGGCTCTTAACATTAAAAAGCGTCAAAATCTAAACGGCGAGAACAAGTAGTTTAATTGAAGTTGGAATGCTATTTTCTGATTGAAGCATGGGTTCGTCGTCACGAGAGCAAATATTTGCGATATTTTCTGGATCAGTGGTGGTTTTATTTTCTTTGTTTTCTATTTTCTTTCAAACAAAGTGCAGCAAGCGGCGGTGGGCGGAAATACAATGCAGTATAGTTTCATTTCTACTAAATAATGTGGGTATGTCTTTGTGTCCCGCGGTGCAGCGCGGCGCAGCGTGACGTCAACCAGCTTGTGCCACCACGGGCACTACAAAGTGTGACTAGGCTTCTCAACAATAAGGTATATTTCTTTGAAAAGCAAACATTGGCTGAGCGACATCGGACTGCTTAGGGCGAACTTTTGAAATAGCAATACAATGTAGAACTTCAAATGTGTTAAACAGACGGAATATTTCTTCTCACGAGAATATGCTGTGTGTGTGGTCGTGTAGCGATTTGTAGATTTTACATAAAGTACGCATGAGAAGGTTCGCAAGAGAAAAGAATTGAGCTTTTCTAAAATGGTTTTGGCCTAGGTATTGTGGGTAGTGACGCGGAGTGTATTCCGTAACTCTTGGTCCCGGGATCGATTTCCGGTAGAACCAATTTGGGAAATGAAACTTTTCTAAAATGGTTTTGGCCTAGGTGTTCTGGGTAGTGCCGCGGAGTGTAGTCCGTAACTCTTGGTCCCTTTTCTTCTAGAACACCTAAACCTTCTCAGCCAGTGCCATATTATTTGCATGTATATTGTACAAATTCCACACTTAGATTTATTTTTTATTTCGGCATATCTATATTGTCTAGTCTTTGGTAGTTATTTAAAAAGATGCAATGTAAATATAACGAAATAACTAATTTATAAAATCTAAAATACAAAAAAAAACCAAATTCAAATACAAATTAAATTTAACACAAACACAAGTGAAATTAATTAAAAACAGCAACTTTTTGTGGCATAAACCCGCTCCAAAAACACACGCGCAGTCCACCCGTCACAAAGCCTGAAAGGCGACTGAGCGTAGTGCTGCGCAGACCTCGCGAGTGGGAAGGATTTTTTTAAATAATAACACTTAACTTATGAACTATATAAGTTAAAAAAAAAGTGAACAATACATTCTGTTTGAAAATAAATTATCTATTTTTTCGTGTAAATTTTATAAACAACGGATGTTTGCATGGAAAGAGAAATTCCTTTTTATTCAATTTGAAGGACGTAACTTTAAATTTCATTTCGTAAAAAGAGCTTAATAAATTGTAGTTTTGCTCAATACATTCAATTACTTAAGGACTAAGAAGTAGTCACATATTTTTTTGTGATTACTGGACTATTATTATTATCAGGAATTTAATTTTAAAAGAGCCTAATTCGTCAATCTGGCACTTGTTCCAGCCTTAAGTTGCTTGCGGTGGCCGCACCGTGTGACACGTCGTCACACAGTCTGATTTATGTTGTAGTCCCAAGGCGACGTCACAACGCAACATCGTCGCAACGCCCCGTGTGGCACCACTGCTCTTAGGGTCGTATTCCAGAACTCTACTCAATACTCAAGTCAGGATTGCACTGGAAACACAAGCACTGGAAATACGACCCTAATGGCAGGGACTTGAGTATGATTTTCAGTGCTCACTGCAATATTCACGTCACGTTGAGTATTGAGTAGAGTTCTAGAATACGACACTTAATGGGGTGCATGTAGAGAATACCTGTGCAGGACTGGGCAAAACACATGCTACGTCTTAATTGAAATACAAAATACTTCCTTATATGTATTTAAAATACGAAATATCAAATACTTTCTTGAGGTGAATTTGAAATACAAAATACTTCCATGGAATGTATTTAAAATACAAATACAAATTACAAAATACTTTATTAATATACCTGTCGTGACATGTGGAAACCAACAATTTCAAAGCCTTTTCCTTCCATAATACATATATTGAAAAAAAAGTTTTAAATTATTCAGTTTTACTTGAAAAAAAAAACTGTTAAATCAATCAATACCACCATACCTACTACAAATCACGTAGTACGTACAATTATTATTAATGTTTCCATACAAGACGAATACTTTATATACGTGTAAATGCCGTTCATAACACAAATTAGAAAGATGGTTCACTAAAATCACAAATTCACAATGCCGTTATAATCCTGAATGGTTTAATTTTTTTTTAGCTTCTGTCCCACTAAGGACAATTCTGCCAGTGTCCGAGTAGAAACTACTCTAAGGCTCAACTCACACTGGCGCAGAGTTGAAGCGTCGCGACGCGTCATGTTTTTCGTATTCATATTCATCATTCAAATAGCATATTCATCTCTATTTTCCCAGTATTAAGGTACAAATTTGTGTTATGCAAATATGGAGTCAAGCGTCGACGCTTGGTTGCAGTCGAGCGGGTTCGCGCGTCGCCGCGCGTTACTTCAGAAGTTACGTCAGAAGCCAACCACACTAATCCAGGTGCACTAATGCGAGTGTCATCGCGCGTCGCCAGGCGTTGTAGTTGAAAAACAGGATGCGACGCGACGCTTCGACTCTGCGCCAGTGTGAGTTGAGCCTAAGTTATAAACTCAGAGGCTATAACCGCGAAAAGATGACTTTGACGTCTTTGACATAACTATTGAGTTCAATATCATATAAATCTATGCACGTCACATAAAAGGCTGAAAAGTACTTTGTTGAAATGCATTTTACAACAAAAGTATTTGAAATACAAATTACAAAATATATTACGGTCAGGTATTGAAATACTAATTACAAAATACATTTTTAGGGAATAATTGAAATACAAAATACGTATTTGTATTTTAAATACGTATTTCAATTACAAGTAATTCAAATACTGCCCAGCCCTGCCTATAGGATTAAATAGGTACTTACAAGACCTGTTTTTTAGGAATTCAAGATTCTCCATATATCGCATAAAAATTAAGGACCATGCAAAAGGAAATATTTTGTATCCAAATATGATTATTGTAAGTGATGCCGTAATCAGTAGAAAAAGTACCAAACGTTTAACATTTTCATGATGTTCCCCGAACTTGAGTCATCGGGCTGCCTGTTAGGGTATAGACACAATCCTGTTTAATATATGACGCATGCGTCCATTCTATAGCGCGTGATGTCATTTTTTACGGGGACCGTTTTGATATTACAGGGTCTTTCAAGGTTCTATACAATATCGTATCTTAACGTAACGTCGTCGCGTCGATCTTGAATCATATGTTATTTTATTCTACCCTATTAACTATGACGATTGGTATTTATCAATTGTCACTGTTGGAACGACATTGTTGTATACATTTAACGAATGAGGCACGCGTAAGAGAGCGATAATGTTCACAGTATTTTTTATTTATTTATAAACACAACAGAGTTTAGTGAGAATTTACTGGTAGGAATTTCTAAAATAAATAACTCTTGAACTTCTAGAGCAGTGTTGAGCCCATGGGCCAAAACCGGCGCGGGCCCGTCTTCCTTCTAAAGAAAGGTAGAAAACCGCCAAACAGGCAACGTTGCGCTGGTAAACTAATCTATGAAGTAATATAGGATTATTTATTCTATGCAATCAGCAATCACTTGTATAAATAAAGTTAAATTTATAAATTTCATAATAATGATAACACAGAATGTGTTGCGAATCGATCGATCTAGTGATTTTGTTTCAGTAGGTAACCTTGTGAAAATTAGTCTGACAGCCGTCTCGTAACGTCTGTTTACACGAATTGCTAAATGCTTCACATGAATAAGCACGCTAATTATTCTATTTGTAAAGAATAATGTAAACAGCACTATGCAGTGTTTTACGCCACTCCATTGCGAATAATGAGTTAATTGAGTAAATAAGCAACAGTAACGTACATAATTTCATATGTCAAGTAGGTAGGTATAAAGTGCAAAATTATGTTTTACTATACCTCTACCTCTGTATTATATATTTAAGGTATATAGTTTCGTAACAATATCACATACACAACAATATAACAATCGGTTCCACTTGTATTAATTCTATCTTTGGTCCAAGGTCCATACATAGACAAAACTCAATTTCTTCTAAACTTTCCGCCCATTCCGACACGAGCTACCAACGTGATCTGCGACTTTTATGATGTCGAAATGATCATATATTTCAAAAGTGATATGAATCCTTTTGTCACGTTAACACAAAACACTGTTGTGTGTAGACACAACGATAAATATATCTAAATATAGATAAATTTATCTTCAAGATAAATATTTATTGTGATTTGTAACAGGATAAAGTAGCTAACAGAGGGTTTTTTAAATTAGGTAATCGAATAATTTATAATTACTACTGTTCGTCACATTTGTGTTTTAATTAATTGTACATGTTGGTACTTAGATATATAAAATTTACATTATCGACCGAAAACACGATAAGAAGGCGAGTGTAATTTCAAGGACAAAATCTTTCGGCGCGTGTATAACCGTTGTGAACTGAAGAGTGACTCACCGTAAGAGAATATTCTAGAACCAGTGACAGGAACGCTGTTCAGCGCGCCAATGTGATTGAGCACAGCGCACCGATACCCATGGCATTGGGAATAATGCACGTAGGTACGGATGTACACGCTTTCCGACGTGTTCCCGATGCCCGGACATATTGCAACCGTTACGTCATCTGAGGATAAGAACAATTATTAGAAAGTTGCTGGAAACTCTAGATTCAAGGACTGAAACACATATTACATGCAACATTTTATTTAAATATAAAATGAGAACCACACACCATAATAATAAAGTTCCAAACAACCACACCAAGTACCTGATCTCAAACTAGGGAATTCCCTGCACTACGAGTACCAGAGCAACACAGTTCAGTCTGGGGCACTACCCACAACACCCAGACCAAAATCGATGTAGAAAGGGTTATTTCCCCAAACTGGTCCTAGCGGGAATCGAGCCCGGACATCCTCATTTCGCGCCCACAATGAAACCGTTGGTCCATCGAGGTCGACAACATAGTGAACCTACAGAGAAGCAATGGGAAATAAGCAGCAGGCTACCTTAAATCATTAACCTACTTAATTAACTATATATTGCAATATACGTCTGAAAGTTCGATGACCGCAGTCGTCATTACCATATACGGGAAAACAAGCTATATGTATTTTAACTAGAGTAACCTACACTAAAGTATCGTTTAATAATCTGATATAGAAGCGAGAATTTTCGTTCCCTTTTTCTGTCTGGCAAAAGGATGAGTCGATCAATGCAACCCCCAAAGATTTGAATTTGGATTCGTAGCAATTACCGCATCTCTACGAAATAGTGAAATGCAATGAATATTGTTAAACGAAGTCGCGGTACCTTAGCACCATTAAATTAAAATGAATTGAATTTGCAATTTGCACTGTTGGAGTGTATTATTATTAACTTATATTCTTAACAGCCACCACGCAGTAACCGCAAAAATTTAGAGGTGAAAATCTTTCACCTACTTTTACTCTAGTGTTTTTTTTCTTTTTTATGATACCAAGTGACGGGACGAACAAGTCGTGGGCCTGGTGCTAAGCGACACACCTGTCCATAGCAGTTGCTGCCACTCCGAGCTTTAAAGCGCAAAGATCTGTCACGCTGAGATGTAAGTTGACAAGTCCCATATGTAATTTCACCAGCTCCCTTCAAAATCGGAACGCAGTACTACGTGGAGGCAGAAATAGGTAAGGTGGCAGTACTTCCCTGGATGAACTCTTTCACAAGGAGCGCTACTGCTACTAGGGTGCATGATAACAGTTTGATAACCGCGTGATGAGCCAAAAAAACAATTTTATAACGTGCCTTTTGCCGTTACATGAAGGTGCAGCTAGCAGAAGGTGCAGTTCTTTGAATGTCACCTTCACCGAACTGAAAATTATTCAATTTTAGTTAAGTTCTGATATTATCTAAACCTTCAGAAATAACATTGGGACAGAAGAAGTTCTTTGAATGCCACCTTCACCGTACTGAAAATTATTCAATTTTAGTTAAGTTCTGATATTATCTAAACCTTCAGAAATAACATTTGGACAGAACTGAAACTCGCAATAAAATGTAAATGTGAGTTTCTTGAATTTGTTCTTACGAAATAATGTGAACTAAAACCACAATGCTGTACATTAGATATTCCAAGGCTTTAATGGCAACTTTGTGTAATCAAATCTATTACGTATTGTGATACGCATATTATTATCTAAATATATTTTATATTATGTTGACCATAACGTAAGGTAACAATTCCACGTAATGAAAACGACACAGTAAGTACCGTATGATTGGTGATTTAGGTAGCAAAAGTTTTGTTCTGATCCATCAGACTCAAGTGTTACAATATTTGTTTATTTCATATTGTTGTACAACAATAAATTATTACGTAAACCTATTTTTGCATAGGTATAATGTTTTCTTTTCGAAGAACACATACACAAGGTGATGATGGCAATGCATTTTTAATTTGCTGCTTTTTTGGTAAATATGTACCCGACCAGACATGTGCATCGCGCCGTCACCGCCGCCGATGAAGTTAACTGGTATAAATCGGCGTAGTGAAAATTTGTTTATTTTAATGAAGTACCAGCTTCTTAATTATACACTATATTTCAATAAAATGTTGCCAGTTCCTTATATAAACTAATTATGGAATGTCTATTGTACACTCTGCTCATACCAGATTTAAATTAAGAAACGTTAATTTTTACATGTTCGATTTTACGAACATTTTTGAGTTGATGAGTTTTATTAACAGTGCCTATAAATTGTTAAAGGTTAAAGTTAGTAAAATCAAAAACTAAAATTAGTACAAAGGTTGACATAAACAATGTTTTAGCCATAGGTCAATGGTTTTAGCGTTTTTTTAACACCTGAAATATTTACGAGTGCACCACGCCAAATCTACGTCATTCACGCCGCCGCCGACGAGTATGTCTAGTTACGAATCGACCGTATACATAAGAAATCCATAACAGATACCTAACAGCCGCAATATTTTCGTGTAATGTTCTTCATAGAAACTTATTGGCGAATGGCGAATTCCTATTCTGCTCTCGGATTGAAAAAATGCACAACTGCGGTATGAAGTACCCATAGTGCCCTTTTTTCGTTACGAGGGCAGTATTAATTATATTATGACTAATTCTATTAGGTATTTAACAAAAATTTCATACGACTGTCGTTTAAATGCTAAACCGCCGAATCATACAAAATTCAAAAATGTTTTTATTGCAAAAATGTGTTTAAAAACGGTTAAAGTTTAATATTACACGAAGACACCTAGCGATTTAGCATTATAAACAACGGAATTACGCAAATGCCTGTTTGGCATTCTGCACTTTCGTGGCTAACTTTTGAGCTAAACAGTTCTTTTGTGAGTTGTGTCTGTGTTTTCAAATTTATAGAGCCTTAAAATACGCATCTTTTGAGTATAAATACATGGGCATTTAAGAATAAAAAAATATTAAAATGTTAAAAACTTGAACGTGAACTTTTGACATGGGGCCGTTTAGCATTTAAGCGACGAGATACGTGTCAGATAACCACACCAATCATCTGATCTCAAACTGGGAAATTCCCTGAACTTTGAGTACCCCAGCAACGGAATTCAATCTGGACTACCTAGAACGTACCTACAAACCAGAACCAGTTTAAAAAAATTAATTTCCCAAATTGGTCGTTCCGGCAATCGAACCCGGGACCTCCTCATCCAGGCCCCACAATGCAACCTTTGGACCACCGATATGGTTAAAATAGGTTTCAAGTGTACATTACAGAAATTGTGCTTCTATATGAAAAAAGAACGGAAAAGTGAGTGTTTCCAAAACTTGATGACTTGAATCACAAACGTACGCGCAGAGTACCTACTTACTTACTTAAGAGAAAGCATGCATATAACATGGTACATAGCGAGTAAGTAAAAACAACGCGTGGAAGTGCTTAATTATAATGGATATAAAACCCTTTCGTGGTATATAATGTAAATTGTATATAGAAATGAAAGAAAGCAGCAACAAGCAGTAAGGTGTCTGTTACCTATGCGACTTCTAAAACGAATTTACTTATATAGTAAAAGAACGAAGGACTTTATTTCCTCAATATTTAATTCAATGGAAGACTGTCAGAAATACAATTAAAAATACTTTTTAGATAATCTATTCTATATCTAATAATAATAATCTATTCATGTTTTTACTTTAGAAACCTTAAAAATAAAAAGAAATAACCTTTAACTATACCTTCGTGTTCGGATCCAACAGGCTCATAAAGGTCGTAAGTAAGTGTGGATCTATCAGGTAGAACTAGTGATATACGACCTCCAATAGGCCATGGGCATCTTACGCGCCCTATCAGGCTATGTAAGATTGTCTGTACATGACCACTAAAACCCCATAATCTCGTTGGCGTGTACCTGCGTGAAGAAGTTCAAAGATCATTAAGATTATCTTTGTGATTGTAAACGTATTGATACCGATCGGGTTGGGATTATGGTTGGAAGATACCGCACGCAAAAATTTTATTATGTGCCACTAACAACATACGACGTGTCGTACAATGATCCATTGTTTAGCATGTGCAGGAATTATATCAAAGTTAGCACTGAGGTAGATAATAATATATTCCACCAATCTTTAAAATCATTTATAGCGTCTAGAAGGTCTCAAAGCTAGATTTAAGATGATTTCATTTTGCTTATTTTTTGTAGACTTTTAATTTGTGGTTTCCTCGAACTTCTCTTTTTTTTTATTTTACAAACGTCAATTTTTATTTCTAAATAGGATATTTAACTAAATTTATTTCATTTCAATGTTGTGCACAATAAATGTCATCTGTTTCAAGCTAAAGAGTGTTACAGTATTAAATTAATACTAAGTATTGCACACGGTTTGCGAAATGTTATAGTGTCTAAATAAATAAATATAAAAGTACGTAATGCGTTAATTATATGACGTGGACGACACGTACTATCCAAAAGATAAGATCTCGTCCTCATTGTGTATAAGACTTAAAAACAAAGAACGCGATTTCTGAGCGTCATACTTAATTTCGACAAACACTATTTCGACTCGACAGTACTTCGGCGACACGTTAATTCGACGGAACACTACTTCGACAAAACACATATTCGACAGGTCACTAATCTGACAGAACACTGCTTCGACAACACAAATATTCGACAGGTCAGTATTCCGGCAGAATATGAAACCGACAAGTAACTGCTTTAATTATTAATTATTCTCAGACATATTTATATATGTGAGATATTCCGCTCAAGAACGAAGTGGTCCCTAAGTAGTCTCTCAGTACAACAAATATTCTTTGTAAATCTATCGTCCTACATCTTTCGTCTCGGTTTTTAAGCTATTCTCGGCACTTTGCTTTCTGTATTTTTAAGTCATATACATAAATATGTCTGAGAAATAATTAATAACTAGTTAAGCAGTTATTTGTCGATGTCATGTTCTGTCGGAATAGTGACCTATCGAATGTTTGTGTTGTCGAAGCATTGTTCTGTCGGACTAGTGATCTGTCGAATATGTGTTTACTCGACAGTGTTCCGTAGAATTAATGTGTAGTCGAAGTACGGCCGTGCCGAAATAGTGTTTGTCGACATTAAGTATGACACTCGTAGAAACCGCAAAAAGAAGTTACTGTTTTTAAACAAGCGACGTGACGAGTTTTTTGTGAGCCTTGAAAACCACCTTCATAGAATTCATTGTATTCTGCACGTGCATTATCATAATATAATCAATAAAACAGTGACGACTTATTTAGTTTTTTTGAAAATTATCTTAAGCAGTTCATTGTATTGTATTGAAGAATTCAACAGAATGAATCGACGATACTATGGGACTTTTCTAGAACAAATTAAATTTATCACAATCTCGTCATACATATCGCCAAAAGCAGCATTCGGATATATAATGTAGACACTTATGTGTGATTATACTGATTATATTAATTAATAAGAGGATAACAATTTAATATTATCAATCCACTCATGATACATAGTAGTAACGTTTTTTATATATGTATGTATTAGATGAATTATATGGAATATAGAAATTGTAGAGTGTAGATAGATAGATAGATAGATAAAACGTTTATTTGTTACTACATTCACACGTACATAACAGCAAAAAATAAAAAATAAAAACACAAAAACACAAACAAAACAAAAAATAAACAAAAACAGCAGAGTCGCAGCACTGCTAGACACCCAGTTATGTACGTGTGCTGCAGCAGTGCAAAAAGGTCATAGCTCAGCGTCGGTGTTTACTCAAGAGCAAACCGCTGATTTTCAGCTATAACCTAGAGGTAATCGCGGATACGATATTCAGCTCGCTGACGTCATTTTTCCATTTAGTTATATTTAAATATATAATAATAATTAGAATAGAAACCAAATAAATAGGAAGATAATATAAATATGTTTAAAAAAATAAATTTAAAATATTAGTGATTTAATTCAAATTATATATTAAGTAAGAGTATAATATATAAAAGAAAAATTAAGATAAACAAGTGAAATACAGATATAAAAGAAAATTAAACTGTTAGTGGGTTAATCATGGTTTTAATACACAATATATGCAATAGGACTGGACTGGACTGCAATAGGCTGAAGATGATGATGATATGCAGCAAATTTTCGCCACCTAAGCAAAGCTCTGTGAAATACCCTTTTTTTTGGACTGTCAAGAAGAAGTTCCTTTACCTTTTCCTTGAAGGTGCGTTTAGATTTTAAAAGTCTTAAAGGTGGTGGAATATTATTCCTTAGTGTAGAGTCCTTACATACACAGTTCTATGTTGAAACATTAAAAGTCATCTATATAATAAAGCATTGCTATACCAAATGTCATCCCGTTTTTCATGCCAAATCATGGATTTGCTTGGTAAATACAACGTTTACATAATATCATAGAACATTTCGTGACAGCAACAAGTTTTTTTACTTATTAAATTTACACTTAGGCACTAACATAAATTTGTTTTATTCTCTAATGAAAATTACTTACAACTATTAAGACATTTTACGTAATGTATATCTACATAAATAAATAATTGTACATAAATACTGATTATTGTACATAAATATTGTGTAACTAAACATTTAAACAATGTTCAAAGGTTAGTGTGTCATACATAGCACAGCTGTGTCTAGTTATAGAAGGATATTATATTTGATATTTTTAATCTACAGATTAGATTTTATATTAATGGTAATTTGCGCAAACTGAACACCGGAATGAATCAGTCACAGAACATCATTTAAGTACGTACAAAGATTAGATAGGTTACTATTGACTTTTATAATGTTAATTACTGAGTGATTACATCAATTTGACATCACAGTTAATTGAATGATTGACATAACAGTTGTTTTTACCCTTTGATCAGGCTTCTCTTTTCATAGAAAGGTCATCATAATGATCTTCAATATTATAGGTATAACACAAAGTACACATATAATGGTGTAGTTCTGACTACACATTTTTATATATTTTCCTGACTTTCCAATTACATTTTTATCACTCTGTTCATACATAAAGTTTTACTTTTTGCATTTGCACATGAGATGAGAATGCAATAGTACAAATAAGTTTATGATACAAGCAAATATAAAGCTTTCATTATTTATAAATTAATTTAATTTAACACCCATTACAGAGAATGGATGTATAATCTCAAATAAGGAAACGATTTAAAGAGACACAGTGAATAAGATAAATATAATAAATACCTTTGAGTTTAGTAAATAAATTATAGCCAGCAATGATTTACAAATTCAATATAGTACCTATTATGTTTTACAATGTTACAGAACTTGTTATTTGGTGGATTAAACAAAAATATGTAGAAACTGTTAATTTCAAATTAGCATAGTAAAGAAACCACATTGATAAATTTAGAAGTTAATTCATGACACCAATTTCGGGCCCATAACCTTGACATGCCAATTGTTGCCCAGTCAGTGCATGTACCTAATTATAATATTTTAGCTTATTTAGCTCTTTGCTATTTATCCAAGAAACGAAAGTGCATAATATATTAACAATCTAAATAAGGCAAGATAAAATTGACTGAATATGATGGAGTTGTTGAACATTCAAGGCATTTTTTGTATTACTTTGCTGGTGATATTCTTACACAGGTTGGTCTGGCTTGCAGATGCCTATAGAAGCTTTAAGTCTTCTTCATTTACTGCTAAACCATGGCTGATAGACTTGTTACTTGAAGACGTGTTTAGGACTTAAGAAACTATATGAAATCATATTCTAAACCACTCATGTAATTTGATTTTAAAGATAATTTCAATACCTAGCCATTGCTCTTGTAATCGTAATGTAAGCAAAACTAATGCCCTGACCTGAGGTACCTGTTAGATATTTACCCTTTTGACGATGGCACTGTTACCTACCAAAAGTATGACATCATCTACATCATTCATACTCGATTCAAGGAAATGATAGAATCAAGAATCTCAAAATGTTCAATTAAAATAGCTACATCACCATTTATTTATAATGTTTACTTACGGTTCACTCAGGAATGGTGAAATAAATAGGATATTCTCGATAAAACTCCTATCCCTTCCGAAAATCACAGGTTTTTGAGGCTGACTGTTCACGTTCAGAATTCGGAAAAGTATACACAATATAACAGCGACGACAGCTAAAAGAACCGTCGACATTTTATGTTAACTGCCCTTATTCCCAGCCTTGGTCGCTATTATCAAATATCTACATAGTAAAAAAGTGTTTCTACTTCCTAACAACTTCCAAATGAAGTTGTATATAAACAGACACAAGCACACGATGCTACAACACGATCAAAACTGAATGACTGAATGTTTGACTGACAATCAAAATCGAAATAGCTTTTTTTTATTCTGTCAGTTTCTAGTCCGCACCCGCAGAATTATTTTTTCTTATTGGTGAAATATAAAGAAGTATAAAAATACTAAGTGTGGATTGGACATTATGCGACTACATTATAATACTATTGGAAGCGCTGGTAACCTTTTTTTAAATTTATTGCTGGCCATGGAAACAAGCTCGTGTAACCATTCTAACAGCGTTGCCAATGCCAATACTTCAAAACCCCAAAAATAACGGTTAAAATCCCCAAATTCGGGGAGAACAAAGTTCATATTCCCCATAAATTCACCACATCTCGAGTTTTCATTATTTATTACAAATACATCGCTTAAAAATAATTATAATAAAGAATTAAGAAACTCAAAATGCAACTATCTATTCCGTTTGCTGTGAATGTAAACATAATGTAAAATGTAAAGCAAATTATGAAATTAGATGACCTTAAATCGTCCATTTATTTTAATAAGATTCAACATTTATCAAACTTTGAAAAAAAAACCATTTTTCTGTGTCTTACAAAATTAAGTAACTTAATTATTTTGTTGCGCATTTGGTGACACTATGGTTAATGTTAGAAAAAATCAATGAGTAAATTAACTTTCAACTTATAATATCGCGAACTCAATACGCACCGAGTGGTAATTTTACAAGGCTAGTATTTAACCGCTTACCAAAAAAGCAAGTTTTTTCACAACTAAATATGCCACTTCCCCAACAAAAGTACCGATTGCACATCAAAATATGTACATCAAAAGACAATTAATTTAGCATTACGTACTAAAATGAAAGCATAACATTTTATTGCAATGCATAGCTAACATCTACATACATAGGTATCTAATATTTCTGGCCACAATTTGACCGCTATGACCACAAATTCATGAGAAAAAACATACCTATTTCACTGAAAGGTACATCAATCTATCGGAATGAAACACCATTTTAATTGACATAATGGTATAATTTGTCCAAAACAATAAGATCAACAAAAAAAAAATTAAAATTGCACACAAACACTGCAACAAAGTAATGCTTGAAAACAGTAGTTTTTTATTATGAATTGCTTACAAGAAAATCAGCTTCAAATATAATATTTGTTGTACGTGATTCATTGTATAAACGAAGATAATTTATGGAGCAACTTTTGAGAAATTAAATTGATGTGCAATCAGTATTTTTCTTATGTAAACCATATTTTTGTAAATAAATGAACACTTTCGTTGTACACTGAGAAATTAGCAGAGGTCTAGTTTTGATACATGTTTGTAAATTATTTTTGATACTAGTTTTATTAAACAGTTGTTCTTTTGTAGTGAAATATTTTTTTGGATGTGCATTTGAATAATGAACATAATTTTATATGTATTGAGTTTTCTGATATGCACTTAAATATTTCCCATTTTACAATTCAGAACCAAGACGGTCTGATAATAATTCAATAAGAAAATTCTATTTAAGCTGCTTGTTAATAATGTGAGAGATGTGTGATGTTGAAAAACACATCGATATAGTTCATCACAGTGTTTCTAATAATAACGGTCAAACTAGCGATGCATCGATAGATGCAAGCAATCAATACATTAAACAAAATCATAAAATGTTAGAATCCCCACATAGCGTCAATCCTCACAAAATCCCCAATCTAGTTAAAATTCCCCGCAATTTAGGGAATTCCTCACAAATTAGCAACCCTAAATTTGAATGTCATTGGTCGCAAATGGATCCATACGTCAGACGTCTGTCAAAGTGTCAACTTCAATTTTTTTTCATTATTCGGAAAAGACGTGAAATTTTACAAATTATTATAACTTATAATATGAATATATAAGAAATAAATAATAATATCATTTTAGTAAGTTTATTGAATCTCAAGATGTTTCACCACAAAGATATTCAATATTTTTTTGTGAAATTACTTCACTTATAGATCGAACACTTAGAAAATAAAATCCTTCGATCCGCATAATAACATCTTTAATTATTGAGCAGCCAAGAATCAGACTGTAAGCTTATCTATAAAAATGACATACTTTTTTCTAACAGCTCTACAAATCTTGACAGTTATTTCACAATAAAAGTTTAAAATGGTCTATGAAACCCGTAGAGGATGGAAAAAAATAGTCTAATAGGATTGCACTGGCAACACAAGCACTGGAAATACTACCCTGATGGCAGGGACTTGAGTATGATTTCGAGTGCTTTAAACCATACTCAAATCATGAATTGAGCATTGAGTAGAGTTCTAGAATACGACCCTAAGATGACGCCCTAGGGAGATAAAAGAAAATATGGTACAATATCAATGACATTGAAAAGGCTGAAATAATTCTTTTTTTTACCATCATACTATAAATATCTCCTATTTTTAAATTCAATGGTTAACATGTACATTTCCGTACATTATATTATTGTAGAGGAGAAGGAGGCACCAGTGAATAGGGACAGTATAGAACAAAACTGGTGGTCGTTTTCAGATAACCTCCAAAAATGTGTCTCTTTCAATATCTTTTATGTTATTACATGAATGCTTAGCATTATTTATTTAATATGATTGCTTGCTTGTTTAGTCTGTGTTACACATAGAAAGACTACTTTACTACGTCACAGTAATAAACAAAAATTAAAAAGTAGGCAATTTCTCATTCATGGGAGCCCGTCACACGTCCCCCTAATTTTAAGAAAAGAAGAAAAAATTAAACACTCTTGAAAATAGCAATATTTCCCATCGACGATAAACTCTAATAACTTACACGTCGAATACCGTAACTTTCCAATTTATTATAAGCAAACATGTTTTCTTGGGGATAGGAAATGTGTTTCGATTTTTCTTATCATTAGTGTCAATTCAACTAAAAGCTAGGAAGCTTATTAGGAAATAACAAAAGTTCACAGCGCATCACCGTCACCTTTCGCACACGTGAGAAGGAGCTCCTGTCGGATTGGAGTGTGTACAGTGAAGTAACCTGTGCATCTCCGTTTTAGCAAAAAAATCGACTTAAATACCAATTTCAGCGCTAGTCACTAAATCGTTCTTATTCATGTAAAGCAATCTATCTAAATGAGTATTAAGGATAGTTTTATAAACTTTATTGTACATCGTGATAGTGGTGATGACGATGGTGATGATGGTGATGACGATGATGATGGTGGTGATGATGACGACGATGATTGTAGTGATGATGATGATGATGTGAATGTTAATTATGCTGATGATAATGGTGATCATGATGATAGTGTTGATGGTGGTGATGATGATATATTGAAGTACAACAAAGTTTATATGACATTAACAAAATACTTATTTAGATTTATTTATTAATTACATATAGATATATAGATGGTCTTACACGGATGAGAAGGATTTTGATACAAGAAGTTATATTAAAATATTTGTTACATGTTAAATGTTCTTTTGTGAACGATAAAATGTGTGTTGTAATAATAATTTCTCATTACTGTGCCGTCTTTCTCATTTATGTTTATGAGAAAATCATTCGTGTTACTGCAGTCTCATTCGTGTACCCTAAAATATCGTTTTTTGTTGTATTTAACTTAAATATTTCTGTTATTTTATAATTATTGACATTGCTTAAACTTATTTGTACGTTTAAGACCTTAAAACCAAAAGAAAAAAGGGTTTTACAAAAATCACTCAAAAAGTGCTTGAATGAATGGCCTGAAAATGAGATTTTAGTTCAGTGACGTTATTGGTTTCAATCAACGTGCGGTATGTAGTAGTAAATTAAATAATAATTTAAAAAAGGATTGACAATTTTGTGTGAATATTGCAACTGAACTACTAATAATTCCAAAGTTCCGATTACCTTCTACTAATATTTTTATGAAGCTGTTTTATTATATATGTATATAAAGCTACAAATCCTGAGTCACTTAGAAAAATAGAACGTATACTTCCCGATATGGTGGAAAAAAGATTGTAACGCGGATAGGCTCCAAGGCAAAGAATCAAATATGAGAAGATCTGAATATGGAAAATGTAAACGAGTGATAAACGGCCTGCAAAAACTATAATACATGGAGGGATATTTGTGCACTTTTATGAGGTACACCCTAGCCAATTTCCGCCGGATGTAAAAAATATTCGAAATTCAAATAAACAAAATGGCCGCCATACAAATTTCAAAGTGTTCTATCATGGAGATTAAGGGTCGTATTCTAGAACTCTATTCAATGCTCAAATCAGGATTGCACTGGCAACACAAGCACTGGAAATACGACCCGGAATTCGCTCTGGACCTTTTGGAGGGAAAAAGTGTCGTTTTATTTTGACTTTCAATTATTTTGTGAAATCTAAATCGTTTAAAGTGGAATAGGATAGTGCTATTGTGCCTTAATCGAAGATTAAAACGCGAAATTATACGAATCTCGAACGAAAATATCCGTATCGGCCCATTCTAAGGAATCCCGAGTCAATCCAAGCACGCCGCGCGCCGCCTCAAATTGCCTATCCTCTTTGTGGCGGCCATATTTACAGAAACTATAATTATTTTTATGTTTTCGGCTGAAGGACTTTGTTTCCATGGCCAGCAATAAATTAAAAAAAAAATACGACCCTAATGGCAGGGACTTGAGTATGATTTCGAGTACTTTTAGTTTGTGCTCAAATCTCTCTTGTGCTTTAAACCATACTCAAATACTTGAGCATTGAGTAGAGTTCTAGAACTCTACTCAATGCTCAAGCCAGGATTGGTGCAGACTTGAGTATAATTTCAAGCACTAAATACGATCATAATGGCAAGGATTTGAGTATGATTTTCAGTGCTCACTGCAATACTCAAGTCCTGACTTGAGTATTGAGTAGAGTTCTGGAATACGGCCCTTTGTGATCTGAGCTGCAACATTGCAAAAAGTACTTCATCTTCATGTAATGGATTTACATTGCGTCAGTGTAGGACCGTGCGTGGTAACAGCAAATTAGCGAATTTTATTTTATAAATAAAAAAGTTGACATCAAACGCGTCATTGAATTAAAATACCTGAAAAAAAAATGTAGGGTAGGTTAGGTATATTGAATAGGTACCAAATTCAATTTAAATATGATATTCGTCGCAAAAATACGTATTAAATTATCAAAGAATAATTACGAAAATAGGTTTGTTTACGTAGGTGATACATTAAATGTGGGTTCCTGCATATCTCTCAATCGATCTCGAACCTGCGTGCCTATGACTAAACTAGGGTTGGAACAACGATATCTATGTATGTACTTTGTTGGGATTATTAATTTCGGGCGTTAGAGCACCGGATGTCCTCAGTAAGCTAATAAAAATTCCACTTAGATATACAACATAATTTTATTAGAGAAAAATGTTCACATGCCTAAAATAACTAATTACCAATAAATAACAAAAATGCAAATATTTTGCCATTATAAAACACGGTACAATTTTAATCCGAGAACCGAGCAGTCTAGGATCGTTGGTATTCGTATTATAATACCAATTTAATTATAAACATTGAAATAGGTTTCATTATTATATTTGTATAGTTATATAATTATTGCGTCATTTGTGATCTTTGTGTATAAATTCCTATACATTGTTATTAGCTAGACTCCTATTTTTTTAATGAATAATAGTTTCTGGATTCGTTATGCAAAAGAAAACAATTATATAACTTAAGATCAATTAGGTGTTCGTTAGAATAAATAGCTTTGATTGGAAGCTAATTTATAGGTCACTATGACAGGTGATATGGTTATTATTGTGTACAAAAAAGGTTGTTTACGATTTCTCAAAAAACTGAAGTCGTTTGTTTCCATTCGTATCTAAAACGGTTTCGGTTTTGTCAGTTCACTAATAAAATAGGGAATATGTAAATATATAGTTACTTTATTTAATTTACAAGGGAATGACAATGACCCACTACCAGCATCATTAAAAGTAAAGGCAATTATTGCATTACAATAATCTGTTCTGATACTTATACTTGCAGACAATTTAATATATTAAACACTCCATTCTGGCAAATATTCATACCTAACGAATACTATTCCGACTCTTAATAATAGGTAATGTTTTTTGCTATCTAATTTCTGTTATAAAGATAAAAATAACGCAATGGACTGACAGTATGAAAAATTGTAATATATTTCACAACATAGCGTTTACAAACATTAGACCACTAATTATGATATTAAGATATAGTCCTCTTTATTGGTGTGCACATTCGACAACCCTTTCCTAATCTAATTACGTTATTACCTTGTTAGTAACATCTAACAAAATTCTATTTTGCGGAATTCCTAATAATAATCATGTACCTACAACTTTAATGATCTGTCGTGAGCAACGTTTGTTATATTAGGACTACGAGATTATCCTATGTTTACAATATAGTATCTGTTAAAAATCAGTTAAGGCATTGCTAGTCTTTATAAAAGTCTAAAGCCCTTTACCTACCAAAGCAGAGAGGATATGTATTAAACAACCAATATGACTTAGTACAGACTAAGTCATATTGGTTGTTAACAGTAACATCTCTTCTCCTTTTCACTTTGGTGGATAATAGGCCTGATACCCAAAGTCGTTATATAGAAATTTAATAAACTTAATATAGCTGTTACTGGTACCAAGAACATTCTCGAACATGCAGAAACTTGTCGATTTTTTCGCTCACATTTCTAAATGTTATTTGACAGGGTTCACAGATTTTTTAAATATTTATTTTAATCTACATACAGATGTTATATTAGAAAGTATGTCTATGTAAGACGCAATGTATCGGAAACTTATAACAGTAATTCTTCGCATATTATTATCACAAGAATTCAGTGCAGTGTTCTCAAAAACGATGTGCGAGATAATGGAAACTTTTAGATTAACTTCTTTGCGAAGAAAAATGCACAACAGATTTCACCAAATTGTACTTAATTATTTCTTGATAATTAGTTATCTTAGCACTGTTTTTCAGAAAACACTTGTAAACTGCATTACAGCTTTCAAGGTCATAAAAATGAAGAGATCAGAAGAGATTATCCGTATGAATGCCAACAAAAAAAAGCAGAATAATGCTATTATTCATTGTCTGTAAACGTTCTAATAAAAATATCAAGTTAAGGTGAACTATAAAATATATCGCGTAACAGTGTAGTTAGTACGTGCCGAATTGAAAACTTAAAGTAGCAAGTCACTACTACTCTAAATCTTAAGAAGTAAGTACGTATGAATCCTGTTGTAATATTATAACACTTTCCCGATGTTTCGTTCAACAGCCTTCGATCAATAAATATCTGTACACACCCTTATATTCTAAAACATAAATAGACGGGAAACCAGAAAGTGTAAACATTACTTAACCAAAAATCTCTAAACTTTTAATACTAATTCGGGATACAATAAAATAGCAAAATTAGGCGTATACAGACCTTAAAAATAATAATAAAACAAGTTGTGATGATCACCTTACATAAAAAATAATGGCAATAAGACAATATACCCTCAACAATTACTACAACTAAAAGAAATATTAACGAAATTCAAATAGTAATAGTGCAGTCGACATTTAAACAACGCACAATATTTCTGCCCTCGTAACGAAAAAAGGCACAACTATGCGTACTTTACACAGCAGTTGTGCCTTTTTACATTCCGAGGGCAAATCATACATACATGTGGATGCAGTTTTGCACTCGACTTTACTTTCGTAAATTGGTTAAAAAACAAGCAAGTGTTAAAAAAAATATGTGTATCGTAAATCAGTTCTCTCAATTTATATATAATACTATATTTTAGCAATAAGCTACAAAAAGTTGTTAACCATTGCATGGCGTTTATTCTGTTGCGCATGTTAAATCTGAAACTCTAAGGGCGACGAGTTCTAAAATTTTATCAGCGTGTTCTATTTTTTTGATATCAAAGACCTTGCCAAAGCAAATTCACTCATAGTAGCTTCACATACGGAAGCAAATACTAGCTCTATACACTAAGCACGGTGCGGCACAATTCCCACACAAATTCGACAATGTATACAGCTCGTAAAATTCTTTCTGTAGTTTACCAAACAAGAGATAAATGTAGGATCTTCTCGAGAAGAAATGTAGGAGAATCTTTTTTCCCTATATATTGATTATAAGAATTTTTCAGTTAAACAAGAAGACTTATTTTTATACCTGTCAAGTTTATACTAAAAATATACGCAACAGAATACGCCACTTAATATTGTAATTAAAATATTCTATCGTTATTTTCCGTAGAAATATGAAAATATTCGTAATAAAATTGTGTATTATTTTTCTAAAATATATCAGGCTTGTCAAGGTAGAATCGTAATTGTGGAATATTTGTCATGTTTACGTAACTATAAATACAACTATGTACATCACTATATTAATTAAGATTTGTCTCAAAGACAAATGAATTTACACATATTTTTTTATGAGAAAACTGTCCGAGAAACGATGAGCATAGTAAATTATTCATGTCTGATGCACTCAGATAGCACCACCACACCTAACGTTTAAAAAATGTCCATTTCCACAATATTCTTGTCAAATGTATTTAAAGCAAATGGGATGCAACACTCTTTACGCATTAAAAGTGAGACCAGACCACAGAAATCTAAATAAATGTGCCTATCTGTTTATATTTCTGTGGTCCAGACAGCCCCCTTAACAATCAAAGGATTCTTGCATTATGGGACTTCTTTCCGATGACAAAACATGCAATGGGAATATTCAAAGTGCAGTAGAAATCAAGGATGATATTAGCAAAAACTATCACGAATGGCTGTTCAGTCTAAATGTGTAATGCGGCTCATTGACTCAAGGTTCTTGGCTCCACTTTGAATCACAAAGTATAAACGTCCACTGGGTTAAAAAACTTGAGTGGTTTGTGGTGCGCGGCACTGTCAGCGTATAAGGCAAGTCAAGCAGAGCTCCGCCGAGCCGATGCAGTCATCGTGGCAAAATGCACCACACTTTTTACATAGTACCATTGCGCGCAAATTGCATACACACGAGTCTTCAGCACCAACGCTTCGACATCTTGCTACACCCTGTAATTATACAATAATTTACTATTTCACAGTAATGTGACCATTTACATAGTAATGTTTGACCTCTGTCAATAAAATGTTCTGTAATAGCACCAATAAATATAACATTTTCATTGTATATGTATATTTTGTACTCACAACATTAGTGTTCTGATTCGTTGGAGGAGCACTAGACGCTCGAGGCGCGACGTTGGGTGTCCTCTGTACCAGAATGTATTGTCCTGCATTGTTGGGACGATTTTCATTGATCTGGAAATATATCAAAGAAAACTTATTTCACTGACTTACAAATTTAAGAAAAGATAAATAAAAGATAAAAGTTGTCAACATTGTGAACAAGTGTTGAATTGTACGACATGACTAGCTCAGTGGCCGAATGGTTACCATACTGGATCGCTTCCTGGGCTGGCTGGCTGGATTTGCATGGCCTATATTTATTTCTGTCGTGAGTTTGGGTGTGATTTGTAGTTGTCTATATATGTTTTCATGGCACCCGCAACCGTATGCGTTATTTTTTTTTCTTTAAACTAGAATTATCCCTCGAAATGTGCACTTTTTAAACCACTGATCAGGGGGGGCCTAACATAACCTTTCCAAAAACAATCTTATTTCAATGTAAGCTTAAAGTAAGCTTATTGTAATATTACTCATATTCATATAATGATGAACCAGCCAACATAATGTATTATTGCAAAAGTGATTGAAAAACGAATGATTTCCCAATATTGTCTATTCCTTACCAAAAGTAGGAAAGAGATAACGCTATGTAAACTATATAATGCCATCTCTTTCTTTTTCAACCGACTTCAAAAAAGGAGGAGGTTCTGTTATCTGTATGTTACGCGATAACTCACTCCGGTATTTGTGAACCGATTTTCATGATTCTTTTTTTGTTGGAAACAAGGTACTTCCATAGTGGTCCCCATTTCATTTTGAAGAAAATCATCGACCTCTAAGGGTGGCTAATCACGCATGAACATTACTTTTTATAAATGGCGCCTAAATTTTACTTAAGGAGCAGTTATTTTAATGGTTGGTTTTGCTATTCTCCAATTCAAGGCGTTTTTCTCTCTCAATATACTTTTAGTAGTGAGAACCGATTTTATTATCTCCTGTGTCAAGTCCTGTATAGTGGCGAACTAAACATCCCCATATTTCAATAAAACTTGGCAAATAGATGTAATTCCACGTACTTTTGACGTCGGTTTTTTTAGTACACTGTACTGAGATTATTGATGTTCCGAATCGTCTTAAGTAAAATGTTTAAGTACTTAATGTTATTTACATTCAGAGAACTTTCACTGTTAAGAAAAGAAAAGTATGTAATAATAAAATCGATTAAAATTACGTTGTTTTCAGTAATTATTCCGCATTTTCATGAAGAAAAATAAATAAAACAAGCCGAGTCTTGATAGCCACGTTGTGAGTTCGGAGCTATAGTCTAGTGTCAACTGTTAGTTTCGTCAAGGAGCATATAGATGGCGCTGTTATAATTTTACGAAATAAACGTCGTGTATTTGTATTTAACGAAAAATTATTTACAATGTGCTATTAAATAAAAAAATATATAAACAAATTTTTGATGATATATATGTAAATAAATAAGTTCAACTTCATCATCAGCCTATTGCAGTCCACTGCTGGACATAGGCCTCCCCATAATGCACGCCATTTCGCCCTGTTCTCGGCTTGACGCATCCATTTCCTGCCAGCAATCTTCCGCAGATCGTCACTCCATCTGGCTGGAGGGCGTCCCACACTACGTTTGCCAGGTCGTGGTCTCCACTCAAGAACTCGTTTACCCCAGCGGTTGTCGGTTCTTCGGCAGATATGTCCAGCCCACTGCCACTTCAGCTTGCTTATCCGAAGAGCTATGTCGATCACTTTGGTTCTCTGTCTGATAACCTCATTACGGAGTTTATCTTTCAGAGAAACTCCGAGCATAGCTCGTTCCATAGCTCGCTGAGCGACTTTAAACTGGTGGACTAGCCGTATCGTGAGTGTCCACGACTCAGCTCCGTACGTTAGAACTGGTAGGACGCACTGGTTGAAAACCTTTGTTTTCAAGCTCTGCGGGATGGGCGACGAAAAGACTCGACGTAGCTTCCCAAACGCTGCCCAGCCAAGCTGAATCCTCCTCCTGGCCTCCTTCTCGAAGTTATTTCTACCTAACTGCAGAATCTGCCCGAGGTAAGTGTATTCGGAAACAACTTCAAGAAGGTGGCCATTGACGCAGATGGGTCTCGGATCAATGTGGTCATTGATCATGACTTTGGTTTTATCAAAGTTCATGCCGAGACCAATCCGCCGCGAGGCGGATGCTAGGCTGTTCAGCATCTGACCCAGTTCCTCCAGCGATTCTGCCATTAGGACTATGTCATCTGCAAATCGCAAGTGTGAGATGTACTCGCCGTTTATGTTAATGCCCATCCTTTTCCAGTCCAGCGTCTTAAACATATCCTCCAATGCAGCGGTGAACAGTTTCGGGGATATGACATCCCCCTGTCTCACCCCTCTGCGTAATTGAATAGGTTCAGACTGCTGGTCCTGTACTTGGACACTCATGGTAGCAGCATCGTAAAGACATCTCAACACTTGTATATAACGATAGTCCACTTGGCACCGCTGTAAGGATTCCAGGACAGCCCAGGTTTCGACAGAGTCAAAGGCCTTCTCATAGTCCACGAAAGCTAAACACAGGGGCCGATTATACTCTTCGGACTTCTGTATAATCTGCCTCACTGTGTGTATGTGGTCTATGGTGCCATATCCTCCCCGAAACCCGGCCTGTTCCGGTGGCTGAAACTCGTCGAGTCTTCTTGCGAGGCGATTCGTGATGACTCTAGAAAACAGCTTGTAGACGTGACTCAGGAGTGAGATGGGTCGGTAGTTTTTCAGTAGAGTTTTATCTCCCTTTTTAAAGAAGAGAACTACAATACTCCTGTTCCACGCCCGTGGAGTTCTCCCGCAGTGAATGACCAAGTTAAAGAGCTTCTGAAGTTCCTGGATAATAGGAACTCCTCCAGACTTCAAAAGCTCCGAAGTAACTCCGTCTTCACCGGGGGCTTTTCCATTTTTAAGCTGTTTTAGAGCCAACACGATCTCGTCTTGGCTGATTTCTGGCAGGTCGTCGGTATAGTGGCGCGTCAAGGTGGCTCTCAAATCGTGATTGTCACGCTGGACCCGAGGAGCATTTACAGCGTACAAACGGCCATAGAAGTCCTCTATCTCGGCGAGTATCTGCGGCTTTGACGTAACGGTTAGGCCATCGTGCGTTGTAAGCTTCGTCAGGTGGCTCCTTCCAAGCTGCTGAGAGAATACTTTGGACCCTCGGTTTCGCTCTATCGCCTCCTCAATGAGGCGTGTATTGGAGCTCCGAAGGTCACGCCGTACCATCTTCGCAATCTGCTTGTTTAGGTATGACCTCTCTGACGAAGTGGCCTGGATGTCATCGCGTCTTTTCGTCATAAGTCGCAGAGTCTCATCCGAGAGTTTAGACTTCTTTCCCGTACGCTGCAATTGACAGAATTTGATGCCCTCGCTTCTCAGCGTCCCAACCACGCTTTGTAGGGCCTCGTCAACGTCCTCGGTGGGTTCCAGCTCGACGAATCTCGCTTCGAGAAGTTCATGGAACTTGAAATGAAACATGAAACATGAAAGTTCAACTTAACTTTTAATAATTACAAATCAATATTAAGACATTAAAACTGAAAATAGTATTGTTTCCATTGCATCCGTGTAACTATTTTAAGATTGCTAAATTTGACATAAGAGCAATATTATTTTAATGTTAAAGTCGCGTCATAGTACGAACTGAGTGAATGAATAGTCACAAAGCTGCCAATAAAACATCATAGCTTTAACATTACAATAAGCTCACTTTAAGCGCGTTATGGTACGAAAAGTCAATTTAAGGTTAAAGTGATATTGTTTTAAGAGGTTGTGATAGTCTCCCAACTCCAGACCGGGATCAAAATGATCATAATTTGGGAAAGAGTATACATAGTATACATAATTTAGGAATATGGGAAAGAGTATACATAGCCACCTGATGTACAGACAACGGCACATCAGACTACACACTTTTGTTCGAAAATCGCCTCCAGTGCAACGGAACAAGATACGTCAATGTGTAGCTTGATGTGCAGATGATGTGTACTAATACAGCTAGGTCAATTGAAGAAATGCGTTCAGATACGGACTAAATCGAAATTATTAATAACCGGAAAAGTATTGGTTTTAGTTATATAAAAGAAATACACTTTATTTACTTTATACATTTTTCAACTTGCTTATTGATATATGAGTAAATGTTATTAAAAATAGGGAAATAGTTTTACAACTCTATGTAGTTCACACGGAAATCAAAACAAAACAACAATAAAGTATGTTGTTCAAATTTGATTTTAAATCTAATTAATATTCGTGTGCATTCGGAAATCCGATGATTGCCAAGAGACATTGAGAAAATAGAAGCATTGTATTTTCATGTATATACCAAAAGGCTATTCCTATATTTCCTCTATTGTTCAAAAAGCAACGAGAGGACGCATAAACAGCAAGGAGCACATTCGATAACGACAAACGCCAGAAACCAAAAGAAGAAATTCGCGGCGATGCTCGGTTTGGTGCGGATGCAAACGGACGACTTGATCCGTTATCCATCCCTTCTTAATAGAAAATATTATTTTCAATAAAATATAAAAGTAATAGTACAACAATAATTAATTTAATAAAGGCTTCTTGTGAAAAGTATTTGTGTTGCATTTGTAATAAAAATCAAAAACAAAATAAACAACAAAAAGGGCAGTCAAAAATTGTGCATCCCCAAAAGATATTTAAAACATAATTATTGGCAACCATAAGGATAAAAATGATAAAAATATATCCTCTGGAATTCGTTTTTTTAGCTTATCTTAAAAAATAAGTTACTATGAGAAAAAAAATAAGATTTGATAATATTTTATTTTGCAAACAATTTAAGAATAATACGTAACATATTATCACATTAATTTTTAGACCTTTTCACATTTCCACTACTCTTAAAATCTTTTTTGTAATGGCATTCATCTCTATTTAGATTTTTTGGAGTCTAATTCCATCTCAGAGCATAATTTTTAGCGTGTCCTAGTCCCTCTATTAAATTTTTAGTTCTGATTAAAATAGTTCAAACTAATACATTGTATTATTTTTTTTACTTTACACAATATCAAACTCTCGAGTTACACTATACAAATTAGATTACTGCACAGTTCTCTCAAGGCAGCTCGGATTTTAGCATATCAAAAGTCAATTATTATGTGACCACCAGTGGTACACTATGCTTGGTTGGCGAGTTGAACATCTATAGGAAAATTTCGTTTACCTACCTCATTATGAGGTACAGAGACAGGACGAACCAGCACAGGTGGTGGCGGGCGCGCCGGTCGTGTAGGTCGAGATAGCAGCGCGGGAGGGGGCCGCAGCTGTCCGCGTAAAGCGTCACGATTAGGGCTATTCTGAATAACAGCCTGGCAAATCTGGTAGCTTCTTTCTAAATTCACAGCTCCTGGTGGAACTTTGTTCGTATTACGACTCCTAGAAACATCATAGACAGCTAATTAATGCAATGAAATACTTTACTACAAAAAAAACTAGATTTTGCAATAAAAAGAGGGCTTACCTATTTGACTCTTTTCCTGATTTTGGTTTTTTGCCAGTAGTTCTAACACTATGAGTGACATTTATGGGATTTACGAGATTTGTAACAGCTGTACTTGACACCAGGTTAGTTGGCAGTTCCTCTTGTTTCATAGGTATATCTTTTAATGATTGCGAACTCTCTGAAGAGTTTGAAGATTCCATATTAAAGTTAGCATCTCTCTCTTCTTTGTACATGCAGTGTTCCTCGTTTATATTTGAATCTTCTAAACTTGTTTTCGAATCTTCGCTTATGTACTTTGCACTCTCTGAAGAAACGTTTGGAAATGTATGAAGCGTTATAACATTTTCTCCATTTGTCCAGTCATTTTCATTCTTCCACAACATTGCAGAATTCTTAGGTTTTGCTGGATCTTGCATACTGTCGTCAGGATAGGACACCACCTGAAAATACAATCCATTTAACTGTTAAAACCAAATTATTTCACTATGAACAAAGAAAATTAGAACAGGAGGGTAATTTCAGACTTACTGATGTGTTAGTTACCTCCATCATGGGTATTGAGGAGTTCTGAGTCATCGGCATTGTAACAACAGCTGTCACGTCTGTAATTTAATCCAAATTAAAATTATTGCAAAACAAGATTATAAATAGGAAATGAAACTATTTTTCCCGATTTAAATCATGTATATTTGTTTTTTCAAACCAAATATACGCGATTAAATCCGGAAAAATAGTTTCATTTCCTATGTGTAACAATCGCGAAAACCTAAGACCTCAATAAGATTATAAATTTATAAAAGTGGGTATGACTGTGATATGCATTTTTTTAGTGCACCCTCATTTTTTAAAAACATTTGTTTACTTACTGGTTTCACTCATGTAAGAAGAGAGTTCCATCAAATTTGGATGTGGAGTGTACTTAGAAACATCATCATTTTCTGAAATAAGAAAGTCAGATTGTTCAGCACAGAACAAGCATCAATAAGACATAAGTGAAAAAACAGACTTACGAGAACTTAATATTGCAAGCCCACTGCTTTCCATAATAAATGATTCTGCATCTTTAAAATGTTCATCATAATAATTGTGAACATTCTCGCTGGATTCATCTTTTCCTTCACATTTTATATCTTCTACATTTTTAGAACATATTTCTTGAACAGTTTGTGGTATCTGACACTCCATTTGGTTGATGACTTCCATACTTTGATATGGTAATGTTTTAGGGTTGTGTGAAGATTCTTCTAGATGGGTTTCTATGTTAGTACTGGTGTCAATTTTCACATTATCTGCAAACGATTCCGATATATTTTCACTTTGATTTTCTCTTACAGGTGACTGTTTTATCTCTTCTTTGTGGATTTCAGGACTTCCTCTTGTTTCAGCAATATTGTTATCATCACAAGGTATATAGTCAACATTTAAATTAGACTCATTCAAGGTAATACTAGTCATATTATTTTCAATTTTAGAGCTAGACATTGATGATTCACTTCTCTCATCAAATTCATATACTGAAGCAGTAGCTTTGCTGTCTTCACTATTGGTGTCTACATGTTCCTGTTCAGAATACATTTGCAGCTCATCATTTGAGCACATTGGCTCATTAATATAATTGGTTTCAATATCAGAACCATTATTACTAGCAGACCCCTCTGTGTTTTGTGTCAGAAAGGCTTCATTGTCTAAATCAAAATCCTCAAACTTTAACCTTTTAGATGGATAGTACTCTTCATCACTTAACCTCTTTGTAGGATCAGTATGCACTATACTGTCTGAGTCAATTTTATATTCTTCACAATCTTTGGAAGTGCTAGACTCTTCTATAGTAACAACTGTAATGTCAAGTTCTTGTTTTATTTCATTTCGTTCAGACTCAGCATCAGGCAGCAAGAGAGGGTCTACTGGTGTGGTTGACACTGAATCGTCTAACCTTTGAATAGAGGGTGAGTCTGAAAAACTGAAGTGTTCTACTGGACATTCTATGTAATCTTCACTTTGCTTCTTTGTATGTTTGAGAGGAAGTAGGTCTGGAATAGGCGCTGTTGCTTTAGTGCTACCCACAATAAGTTCATCTATTACTTCATCCACTTTAGCAGATGACCTAGTCACAGCTCCAACAGATCGCATTCTTTTAGTACTTGAAGATTTGCTCTTTTTAATTTTGGGAACAGTGCTGCTGCTAGTGATTGAGGCTGTAGGTCTCAATTTGATTGTTGTTTTCAGAGAAGGTCTTTCTGAATTTAAATTAATAGACGATTTTTCTCTTCTAAATTTTTCACCCCAAAATGGTTCGAAATGTTTCAGTTTCCAGGGATCGATTTTACTTTTTTCTTTTTCAGCTTCAGTCTTCATTTTTTGTTGGTTCTCTGGAGTAAATTCTCCACCAGAAAGGCAATCCTGCCATTCTATACAGGCTCGGGCAAAAAATTCATTGTTAAGACTAGACGAACTCAAGCGACCAGACGAGCTAGGTCTGTCCACAGTGGGTAAGAGCTGTCCTAATTTATATTGGTAAAGAGGTGGCAAAAGTGAAAATGTGTGTTTATTCAGAAGTGCTCTGATATTTGTGTTAACTAATATAGAATCTGGTGTCTCTAAATCTATACAACCTTCCCTAGTTTGTTGTAATTGAGCTGCCGTTGATAACTTTTTGCCACTTCGTTTTCGTGGTTTCATACAAAAACCTGGTATGCTAGCTAACACCTCACGCATAGTACATAATTTATTTGTATTAGAACTTGGCTCTGAATAAGACGAAGCTGCCATCCATTCTCGATTCTCTGGCGGAGGAGGTGGTGGCAATGGCTTCACTATTATTCTAGGTAGAGGTCTTGAGTGGTTAGAGCTCTTTTTTCGTCTTTTTGATTGTTTTCTAGACGAGTGTTTGCTGGTTTTTTCACTATCTTCGGGAATGCGTATAACTGAAAACTGTTCAGTGTTGATACTTGCAGGTGCACTTGATGTGTACTTGCCATCTGAAGAGTTGTCGGAATATTCCATATCGTTATCTATCGCATTATTCGGAGATACGTTCAGTTCCATAGTGAGATTTACATGGAAAGTTTGGTCTTTACTCTCGAAATTTTAAGTAAAAAGCTGAATAAGTCGCCGATAGCAATCACAAATTTCAACCCATCGTATAGTTACGTCGTAGCGCACCGAACGTTGAACAGACTTTAAACTTGTGACATATTATAAATAAACATCACTTTCTTGGCATAAATTTAAGAAGAAATACAAATAATTATCCTTAAATTCACAAATATCAGCAAAATTAATATGTCACAACAATACAGAAAATGGACACCATTTTTTTTAAGCTAGAGGTCAACCCATCGACTAGGTTATTCATTAGATCCAGTAAATAGTTCAATGCGAAAATAAGAAAAAATGTTTGCTAAGCAAATCAATTAATCACATTTAGCTAGACATTTTGGATAAAATAAGGTACTTTTAATGAATAAGAAAAATAAAGTCTATCGCCAAAAAATAAATTTTTAGTTAGCGGATTCAGTGAGTAATTCAAAATATCAAAACAAAACTTTGTTCATTAATGAAGTCTCATGAAGTTGAATGAAACGGTGATGTGCTCGTCTGACGAGTGGGGGGAGGACGCGACGACGACGCGCTTAGGTGGTAAAGATTATATATGGTAAAGATATACCACATTGTCAGTGTAGATCGCACTGTTCGTCTAGCGATGATGTCATGGATGGATGAGGTATGCCTTTGACGCTTGAAGTTTAAACTTGATGAATGATTAATATTGTTGATAGGGATGCACGATTTTTTACTTTAAATAGATTTTTAGGACCGTAGTGGATCATATGCCTTTGAATCGATCAACAGATCGGATAGTACGCTCTTGAAGCGAGCTCATAAAATCGTGTAAAAAAAAAATTTATAAAGAAATAATAATTCTGACAGCCTTTTTGGTTTCAGTCGGATACAACTTTCATTTAGAGGGATATTAGCCGGTAAAAATAGACATTCAAATGGCACAGAAGTAGCGACAATTGCCAAATACTGTAGACTTATTGTACGTATTTGTAGCCAAACTCCTTTTCTTGCAGACCGTTATGAAATAGGATTAGCCTTACGATTCAATAGGGGTTCAGAAAGAGACTGCTTTGTTTATATTATGAATACGATCTAGAAGATTCGATTCGATTGCCTTTGTGTTGAATCGATTTACTTAAAAATCGCATTGAAATAAATCGATACAAAGTATCGCTAGAGCGTATTCATACTTGTATCGATCTTCATAAAAATCGGATCGTAATGTGCATCTTTAATTGATAGAGTGACATGAGCCAATTGTGTGAATCATGCTGTCTATGGTATGAATTTCATTTGTGGATTGGAATGGGACTACCGCATAGAGGATGGAAAAAAATAATGGTTCCATTCCATAGTCTAAGGACTACCGCCGCGCCGTCCATTTTGTTTTCTTTGTGTGATTGTGTGGTGCCGAAGACGAATTTATTGCTTGTAGCAATTTATTTTAGGTGTATACAGTGTCAGAAAATCGTTTAATTGTAATTTAATTCGTTCTGTAAGTGAAGATGGGTCGTGGAAGGTAAAATAAACCTGTAATCTTTTTCCATGTTGCATGTGATTTGCGATCAACCAACATTAATTTTCGTAAGTGTTTGCGTGGTATTTTAATTTATTTGATTTGATGTTAATTAACAGGGATCGAAGCCGCGATAGGCGTCGCAGTAGGACCAGGAGTAGAAGTAGGAGTCGAAGCCGTAGTCGGAGTCCACGTTATGGGCTCGGATCGGGCGGTGGTGGCTATGGCGGCGGCGGTGGTGGCGGCAGCGGAAGACGAAACAATCCCGGTGCTAATCTAAGAAAACCAAAATGGGACCTAAGCCGACTCAAACCTTTCAAGAAAGATTTCTATATTCCACACCCAGATGTAGAAAATAGACCCGAGTCGGAAGTAGAATCATGGAGGAGTCAAAATGAAATTACATTGAAAGGACGCAACATACCCAAGCCGACATTAACTTTTGATGAAGCAGGCTTTCCGGATTACGTTATGGATGAAATAGATAAGATGGGCTTTTCTAAGCCCACACCTATTCAAGCGCAAGGTTGGCCGATTGCTCTCAGTGGACATGACATGGTAGGCATAGCTTCTACTGGTTCTGGAAAGACATTATCATACATCTTACCTGCGATTGTACACATTAATCATCAGCCCAAATCCAGTAGAGGTGATGGGCCAATTGCTTTAGTGCTAGCACCTACGAGAGAATTAGCTCAGCAAATTCAGGAGGTTTGTGATAAATTTGCTAATACCTCTAAAATACATAACACTTGCCTGTTTGGTGGTGCCCCTAAGGGGCCGCAGGCCCGAGACCTTGATGCTGGGGTAGAAATAGTTATTGCAACACCAGGCCGGTTGTTGGATTTTCTAGAGAGTGGAAGAACTAATTTGAAAAGAACTACATACTTGGTACTTGATGAGGCTGACAGAATGTTGGACATGGGATTTGAGCCACAAATCAGGAAAATCATAGAACAAATCAGACCTGATCGTCAGACACTTATGTGGTCTGCAACATGGCCTAGAGAAGTTCAAAGTTTAGCTTCTGAATTCTTGAAAGATTATTTGCAAATAAATGTAGGCTCCCTACAGTTGGCTGCCAACCACAACATCCTACAAATAATTGATGTTTGTATGGAGTATGAGAAAGAAACCAAATTAAGCACTTTATTGAAGGAAATCATGGCAGAGAAAGAAAATAAAACTATTATTTTTATTGAAACCAAACGCCGCGTCGATGATATCACCAGAAAAATGAAACGTGATGGGTTAGTATTTTAGGTTTTAAGCTTTTGTTTGGTGTTTTCTGGATATTCAAGTTTAAGGGTCCAGTATTTAATAAAATATTCAGATTATCACTGAATAACTTTTATGGAAATTGCTTATTACAACTTTTTATTGCAGATGGCCTGCTGTATGCATACATGGTGATAAGTCTCAAAATGAACGTGATTGGGTGTTACAAGGTGAGGTTAACAATAATGGTAACTCCACATGGCATTTAATAATTGTACATAATTTGAATAAATGTCGATTAAATATATAAATTTACGCTTTGTATGACAATACTATTGTTGAACAAAGTGCACTACAATGTTGTCGATGTGGAGAAGCGGTATCGGACCGGAGACGCGTGCGCGTCGTTGAGGAGGATGCAGGGTGTGGCTGATGACTGCAGAGCTCTGACCAGTGTCTGACCACGTGTCTGCATGTGCAGGCTGTGGAGAGCTGCGGCCGGGCGGCGGAAGCGGTGGCATGCGCGCGATCGTCGCCGCTATGCACCAGGCGGCGGCGGCGCCGCGCCTGCGGCCGCGTCCGCACCGCGCCGCCTCTAGTTGTCGGGGCTAAGCCCTATCAGTCTGACTCGCCCGCGGCTAGTCTGAGCTGCTTCTCACATTGGCGCGGCGAGGCTCGCCCCCTCGCCAGCTGCGGAGCAGCGCGGGGAGCGAGGCGCACGGGCGCAATAGCGCGCTCCGTCGCGTGACGGTGCAGTGCCGGCGGGTGGCGGGCGGCGGCCCGCGTCTCGTCCGCACCCTCCGGCCTCGGCACGCTACTCTCGGTTCTGGCCTCACGCGGCTGCCGGCCGGCCTTCTCTTGCATTTGATTTTTCTTTTGTGTGCATTCCTCATGACAGTAACACTGGCGAAAACGCTTGCATTAGTAAGTTTTAAAGAGATCTGTTTACCTTCATTGTACCTCTTATGTTGAAACTCTTCAATATTACAGTTTATGTTTCTTTTCTTTTTTTAATTATGTATGTTTTTATGTATTTACATAATTACATCTTTTGTTGTAATCTAAGAGAGGTAAAATGAAAGTTTTGACGTTAATAAAAACTTGAATATATTATAGAACTATTTAAATTAAAAAATGAGAATTGATTGGCTTAAGTTCATCCATGGTTCATCCAATGGTTCATCCATGTTTACAAATCAAAGTACTGTAATTTCTTATATTGTTACATATACAAGATGCCTAGCTGCAAACTCGCTAAATATGAATTGTGATGAGTAGAGCATGTTTGCTCTCCTTACATTTGTTTTAAAGTAATGAATAAGTTATTTTCTTGTGTCACAATACAGTATGAAATTTTGTATGGAGAGTCAATTTTTTTATAAACTTTAAGTTGCTTTTGACCTAAGCTGCATAATCAATTATAGCGCTAGTACATAGCCCGATATTCTGTATACTTAGTTTAGGAGTTATCTAAGATTAGTTGACTGATTGACTATAATTGATTAATAATAAGTAATAGATTTACTTCAAATTATTTCATGCTTGGTTAAGCCTCATTCAGACAGCGATGTATTTGTGTTTATCCAAATACTGCTGCAATATTTATTTATGAGACTATTACAAACATTGTTATTTTTGTTGTAACTATTGATTTGTTGAAATGTGGCGAGTACCTTTTCATAATACACATATTTTTTTGCAGATTTTCGTAGTGGTAAAGCCCCAATTCTTGTGGCAACGGATGTAGCTGCTAGGGGTTTAGGTATGTAATTAGCCAGCAAACAAATTTTTTACACATTGATTTGAATCTGAATTTGCATTGCATATAGCATTAATCTTACATACAAATTTTCAGATGTGGATGATGTAAAGTTTGTTATCAACTTTGATTATCCTAGCAACTCTGAAGATTATGTTCATCGTATTGGACGGACTGGGAGAACTAATAAAACTGGAACAGCATATACATTTTTTACTCCTGCAAACGCTGCTAAAGCTGGAGACTTGGTGGCTGTTTTGAAAGAAGCCAAACAAGTGGTCAATCCCAAGCTGCAAGAACTGGCAGAACGTGGTGGTGGTGGAGGCAGACGTAAGTGTTAACTACCCTACTTAGGTCATCAGTCAACCGACATCATGGAATCTGCAAAGATCGTGAAACATTGATTTGTTTGAAAAACAAACAGATTTGTAGCAAATAGTTGAATTAAGTTTTTATTGTTTTATGAGGAATGTTTTTAAATTAGTATGAAGAAATATTTATATTTTATTCATACATGCAGGTCATCGTGGTCGTGGAGGCAGATATCGAAGAAGTCGCCGTTCTCGTTCGCGATCCCGATCACGCCGTCGCCGTTCCCGCTCGCGCTCGCGTTCACGTGACCGCCGCCGCCGTCGACGCAGCTCCTCGAGGTCTTCCCGAAGCAAGTCGTCCAGATCGTCTAGAAGCCGCTCCCGTTCTCGCTCCCGATCCCGCAGCCGATCTCGCTCAGGCAAGTGCAGTCCACAACAGAAGACTGACATTGACGCCGGGCAATTAATGCCCCAAGCACTACTACCGACGCCGAAACCGCTACTGCCGACTCCCATTGGTCCCCAACTCCCACCAGTTCAATCTAATGGCAAAGGCCCTTCCACTCCTCCTCCCACTCCTACTCCTACTCCTCGTAGTAACGATTCTTATTTAAGTAAAAATAGTCCGCAGAATCTTAATAGTAACGTTATGGATAATAAGTATGGTCCACAGCAGCCTTCCGAACTTATACCACCGTTGATGGCTCTTAATCCACAGATGTGTGCCCCTCCACCTATGAGTGGGCAAGGGTTTGTTATGCCCCCATTCTTCCCTGCTGATCAATATGGCATGATGATATCTAATTTCCCGCCGAATAGTATGCTTACTGCGGGGGGCTGGGCAGCTCCTCCTCCTCCTCCACCCCCACCACCTCCCGAGTCCACTTCCGGTGGGACGTACAACAACTATAATCAAGGCCTGCAACATACGGGAGACGGTGGCCTAGAGTCAGATTCCAGGAAACGAGGGCCGCGCCCCGGCGGCCTCGGCTCCGCTGGAGGCCTGGGCTCCGCTGGGGGCCACGGCTCCGCTGGAGGCCTGGGCGCCCCTGGGGGCCTCGGCTCCACCGGGGGCCTAGGCTCCGCTGGAGGCCTCGGGTCCGATGGTGGTAGCGGCGGCAGAGGCCTCTGCTACGATGGCGGTCTTGGTTCCGGCGGTGGACTTGGCTCTGGCGGACGCTTCGGGTCAGGTGGTGGCCTTGGCTCGGACAGCGGGCTCGGGTCCGGCAGCGGGCTTGGCTCTAGTGGAGGTCTCGGCTCAGGCGGTGGCCTAGGCTCAGGCGGTGGCCTAGGCTCTGGTGGAGGTCTTGGCTCCGGGGGAGGCCGTGGCAATGATGGCGGTCAGGGCGGCGGATCACGCTCTAAAGGCGGTCGTGATCGACGTCGTCGTGGAAGAGGACGACATAATGAGGATGATCATGATAACCAGAGCTCTGGAGGGCTTGGCTCCTCTGGGCTTGGCGGCCTCGGCAGTGGCTCGATCGCCGCTCAAGGCGCTGGGCTTGGCTCTGGCGGTCTCAATGTGCCTCATGGGAGCCTACTGCCGCGCATGTTACCTCAGACGTCGGGCGAATTCGTTCATGGCGCAAATTTCACAGCTTTCGGTTCTTATGGCTCACAGAAAAGGGTAAATCAAGGAAAAGATCCAAACCAACCCTACGAAGGATCCGGGCTTAAGAATGGTGTGGAGGAGTACAATCAGCAAAACATGGGGCCGGGCCGGCCGTATGCAATTGGTATGGTACAGGATCAGATTAATGCGCTGGCAAATGGTTCCATGGGGTACGAAAATGACCGCCAGAGAAATCGGCAACGACGATGAACTCGAGGTTTGTTGTATTCAAACCAATGCCAATTCACCTTCTAATCATCAAGATGCTAATCATAACTAAGAATTGGCAATAGAATTAATGTGGTGATGGCCAATGTAAATATGATTAGCTTCTTACTACACTGTCTTCACTTGTACAAATTCACTGTATTTGTACATTCTGTACATGCAAAAAGTAAAATACGCGACGTTGTAAATATTTCTTTCTTACAGAGAACGGGTACAACGGTGACTCGCGGCGTCGCAGGAGACGATAAGAAGCCAGCTAGAAAGCAAGACTGGAGAATTTAAGAACAAAGTGATTTGAATTGAGCATATTGAGTTATATTTCTCAAAATAGATTCCATTCCATATATGTATTTACTAGCAAACTATCACAAAGCATCATGCTAGGTTTAATTTTAGCTGAAAATATGTTCATAATAATAATTCACTGTAAATATATCATCAACATTTTTGTTGATAAGGCAAAATAAGCTGCTCTATACGTTAAATATATCAAATATTATGTACAAGTTTCATATTCATTATTTACTTTTAAATACTTACTTGTGTAAGTAAATGAAGATGGATCTTTGCTGTTTGTATCTCACTTATGAAGATCTAATAAAACTGATTTGCAGTTGTAATTTTAACTAACTTACGCACTTCATAACTATTTTGCATTGAAAAATGCAAGTACAAGTTTAAATTAAGTTAAATACTTGTAATTCTTTAGCAGTGTTTATCATTAATATCCTTTCTCTATTCTACATGTAATTAATTACTTTGGTATTTATCCACTTTGAATGTGTACTTTGACTAATAGCTGTTAATCTCAACAATAATGTCTGTATGGATTAGAGATTAAACATGTTTGTACGATAATTTATATTTCATTTTAAAAATTCGTTTTGCCCGTGGTCCAACTGCGCAGTCCAACTAGTTGGACTAGGCAAATCGCAAGATATAATCTTGTAATAACGTGCACTGTAGATTTTATTTTTGTTATGTAATGTATGTATCTATTATTTTCTGAGCACTTTACAAAGTTTTGATTTAGAAGCCAAATTAAAACACAAAATTATTACTTTGATGAATTCGCAAATACTGTTCTATATTTTCTGACGGTCTTGCGATTTTTTATGAACTGTCACGGATCATCCTACAGAACAATTGTAGTTGGCTCAGAATCAGTAATATTATTAATATTGATGGTGACCATAGATTTAGTATATAGGTACCCATAGATTGGCAATGCAAGTGAAAGAGAGTTAGTATACACGTATGTTAGAACGAGATGGGTAGACGAGACTACTTCATTATAAGCTATGAGGCTATATGAACCTAGGGTCAGCTGACAACGAAACAAATTTCGTTTATTTTTGAAAAATAATTGGTTTTAAAATGTGAAATAGTGTTAAACGGACATTTATTAGTCATTGTAAAGTTTTCAGTGTCCGGATGTAACTTATCTAAAAAGGAAAACTCGCAGAATTGTACATTTCACATGTAAGTACTATTTAAATTTTTAGCTGTCTAAAAGCACTACCACAAAAGTTTTTTACTTAAATATATCCGTAAAATTATACCATTCAAGTGCATTAATAACCCAAATGTATACGAATTCAATTAAAAAATATATCAAATACGTGAATTTCTGAAATTCATAACCCCACTTTCATAGAGATTGACGCAATCGATAATATGTTATCGAGATGTCATTAACTGAAAAAAAGAAAGGCAAAGGCGTGACTTGCATACAGCCGAAATCATCTTCATACTTAATTTTTTTTTATTCATTGAATCAGAAATTTCTGGATTTAGTACTTTATATTTAATTAATATTGCATTAGTACATTATATTTTGTTTACATTAAAACGAAAATTTCTTTTAATAGCATAGTTGAGGCACCCATTTTTTATGTTAATTATTGTTGTTGATTCAGATTTCCTCAAAACATTGAAGTACGACAGAAATGGCTTATAAAACTAAAGAAAGAAGACTTTCCAAAAAGTTTTCAAAAATATGCAGCAAACAAACACTTTGAGGAAAAATGCTTTTAAATAAAACGCCTTTAGAGGCAAGCAAAGAGTAAAGCTACGTTCTGGTTCTGTACCCACATTATTCATGCGGTATGTCTTATAATTAATTGATTTTTGTGTAGCACTACTCTCATCAACAAGAAATCAGCGATTTATTGTTGTTAGAGTTCTGTTCTGTTCCAAAATACGATACTGATTTTTTTCAAATTTGGTACACATATTCATTTGTGTGACCAAAACGTGCAACGTAAATAAATTAATTCTAAATTTTTAAGTCACTATTGGGAGGGAAAGTTCTTAAGAATATATATTTTTTGTAATTATGAAATATAAATATTTTTAAGTTGTTTAAGAAAATAGACAAAAAATGATCATTCTACCCTTTATCTTCGAAACTACAGAGCCTAAAGTTTTGAAAAAATACAGAAATTGTCATTAAATTTCCTACTATTGCGCGAATAAACCTATATTTGCTGTTGGAATCTATTGGAGAACATATTCTTCAACTACAATGTTAAGTTTGTACCGAAACCTCTCCGCGCGAGTTGAACTCGCACTTGGCCGGTTTTTTGGTTCTATTACGTATCTGCAAATTCACTGCTGTGATGCACTTCTATGTTATCATATCATACAATAATTATAATAGTTATATTTGTTTGTAGGTTGCGGTCGTCAGCTTGGTTCGTGGCCTCCATACTATCGCGCCGTAACTGATCATGGGTCTTATCACCATTTTGTAGAGCCATAGTGTTATCTTGGGTGAAAGTTCCCATTGTTTACCTACCATCCTGTGGCACTACCAGAAGGTGATAGTAGCTTTCTTAATTTTCTATTGAATCATTAATTAACTAGTTAATTAACGTCTCGGTATTTTGCGTTAAGACATTTTGGTGAATACAACGAAGTGAAATGCCGGTGTAATATGTTAATCGATATTAAAGTTAAATCAGTGGATGGCGCAACACTATTTATCTTGCACACATGCACATTATACGCACACAGATGTATTTTTGTTTTGGTCTCGTCTCCAATACGTCAGGGCCAATCTATGGATATACTAAATCTATGATGGTGACGGACTAACCGATCAGTAGGTCCAATGCCCATACAATATTGCCGGTAGTCCAAGTAGTTGGACCATGAGCAAAGTTTAAAAAAAAATAAAAATTCCGTAGTCCCTTAGACTATGTTTATTTTTTTTACTTAGTTTTATTTTTTTTCCTGTAGACTTGTTCCCCGAACGCTATAACTTGGACCTTTTCAAGGCGAGAGTGAATAGGCATTATTTAGGTGCATGCTACATCCTCGTCCTCATCGCCACTTTCCATCAGGTGAGATGGAGGTCAAAAATGTGCACTTATTTTTATATAAAAAAAAAGTTTTACATCCTATGTTGGGATAAGCTTGTTCTGGCGATATTATTCTGCAATCTAAAAAACTATTTTTATAGGTGCTAGTTTAGAGAGCGACCGACATAATGTGGACCATGTGGATTCAATAATTCTTTAATCACTTCGAAATTTTCCGTCCATAACCCTGGGAAAGGCGCCAATCCTTAACGTGAGTTGAAAAATTAGGATGATGACGAACCATGCGCGTCAACACAGACCGGCAATTCGCAGGAAGCAGTTGCGGCCTAAGTCGAGGCGCGTCATCTGAGCCTAAACGAAGAGGACGTCTTTTTCGCTCTTATTGCACGGACATAAAGATTTTCTGATCGATCGATGATCCGGCTTCAAAAAAGTCATTACCCCCAAATTAGAAAGATAAGGCTCAACTCACACTGGCACTGAGTCGAAGCGTGTCGCGTCGCGTCCTGTTTTTCAACTACAATGCATGGCGGCGAGCGTCATTACGTAATCTGTGGTCATTACATACTTCGACTCGACTTGACGTGCACAATCACCTTAATTTGTTACTATAGCAACCAATTTTTTGTTATAAGTAATAGAAATAGATGGATCATAATAACAATCAAAGCAATAGATTCACGATTTTATTTTTTATGTATAGGTAAGTAGGAAATCGTTAATTTTAACTTACTTAACTTTCTCCGATTGGCAATATCATAAATTTGCAGTAAATAATGAGCTTTTGTGTGGATCTAGTCTCTGAAGATTCTTTCTATGAAAACATTACTTTGGGCGTCACCAAGCTTTTAGGTAAGTAAAGAGACATTAATTTTATGTATTACATATTCTTTAAAATAAAATTTGCAATATAAAGGTAAATTATTATTAATAAGAATTAGCTTTATGCTTTGGTAAAAATTGGAATCCATCTGGCACTGGACCCAATAACATTTCACTGATTTTTATCCAATCAGTGCAGTTGTTAGATGCCATTAGTGTTTCTAAGTCATCTCTACCAATATAGGTAGGTGGTCGTTCATTAATTTTTTGTGGAGGCCTTTCCAGAAGTCCCACGGGCACATACCGATACAAAAACGATAACCATTCGAGTAAAAATCGGCGCGTATTCTCTACACCTTGAGTATCAGAACCCCAATGTTCCAGACCATAATTTGTGTATTTTTGTAGAATTTCAAATCTTTCCTTGCTTGAAATATCCCATAGTTTCTGCTCTTTTATTTCAGTGAATATCCAAGGTTTGATAAGTGCTCCTCTACCTATCATGACTCCTTGAACAGAAGGGGCCATTTCTCTTTTTTCTACATAGTCTTTATAACTCATTATGTCTCCGTTACCAAAAACAGGAAAAGGTGAAACTAATTTTGCACAATTTTCTATGTATTCCCAGTCCGCAGACCTAGTGTATCGTCCTTCTCTTGACCTTCCATGCAAAGTAATGAGTGATGCACCCCAATCCCTAACCCTGGGCATTATAGTGTGTGCAATTTTCTTATTTTGATATACTCCAGTTCTCATTTTTACTGTGAATGGTATGCTTAGCAAAGTAGAAGCGCACCTTACTGAGGCCTCAAGTGTAGGTAGCCTGTGCATCATTCCACTACCTCCTCCTTGTTTGTATACAAAATCGATGGGGCAACCTAAATTTAAGTCAATGAAATCTAGCTCTGTGTTTTCTTGTAGCAATTGTGCTACTTTGCTAATAATGTAAACATTGTTTCCACATATTTGTGCCCCAAATAAGTCTTCTGACTCATGTCTTTTGACCAAGGCCCATTCTTGTTTTGCTCCTTTAAGGAGTGAGTCACATAGAGCCATTTCTCCACATGTGATATCTGCACCATAGCTTTTACATATTCTTCTAAAAGGTAGATTACCTACTGTAGTTAACGGGCTTAAGTAAAGTTTGTCATGCCAGTCTATACTTATCTTTTCTTTAGGAAGGAGTTTAATTAAGTCCTCATCAATAATAGTTCCACTGTATGATTTTTTATTGGATTCATGATTTTTACAATTATTTGGAGCTGATTCAACACTTGAATCTTCTGTGCTTAAAGTTTCAGTATTAGTACTTATTGCTTCAGTAAGACTTAGACTCATGTGAATGGTTTCTTCGCCTTTTCTGTTTCTAGTGTCCATGGCTTTGACCAATTTTTCGGCAAAACTCAAATCATATTTCTTCTTCTGCAATGAAACCTGTAACACAGATTGAAGCGTGTTCTTTGTGTCATCTTTCCAAGCTTGAACTTTATCTTCATTCACTATGTTGTAGCCCTCGGGAGTGATGTGGTTGGTTCCAAAACGACAAGAAATTCCTCTCTGACACCTGCCACGTAGGTTGAAGACATGGCATTGGTCCCCAATATCTTTAGGTTTCGATTGTAGATATTCAACAGCATTATGCATGAATTTACAATTGTTATATTGACACGGCGTGTATTCATCGGACGATTTTAAATCTATAATACTGGGACACGGTTTGTGCGTTTTGTCATCTTGGAAGGTCTTAGGTCGACCTTTATTTTGTCCTCTGCTTTTGGTCTTAAGCTTTTGACCGTTTTCTTCATTCTTAGTTTTTTTGTTGTCAATTCCATTGTGGTCACCTTCTTCATCAGTAAGTTTATGTTTGTTCGTGTTGGGATTGTTAAGTTGATTGTTCTTCTCCGGCCGTTGTACCACAAATTCTGCTTTTATAGCACAAACACCAGCGTTTGAATTTGCCATTGCATAAATCTACAATGACCAGAATGTATTGAATTTATGTGTACGACAGGTTTAATTTATTAGAATAGTGACATCACTGTTGAACGATGAATTACAAAGAATAATAGGATTCTTCAAACAGTTTCGAGGTTATAAAATCACGCGTTGCTATGATAAAACCTGAATTTTATCTGTAAACATAGTTCGACTCGACTTTTTTTTTGTTTTGTTTCTGGTAGAGATGGGCGAATCAAGTTATTTAACTCGGTTACCTCGAGTTACTCCCACGAGTCAACTCGAGTTATTTATTTATGAACTCGAGCTAACTCGGTTCGATACCCGCCCAGCCGCGCGCCGCCGAGCCGTATACTTCATAATCGTTCGATGACCTTTGGAGCACGCTCGAGTCGGAGCGATGCAATGGGTGAATCGAGTTATTTAACTCGAGTTACTCCCACAACGAGTCAACTCAAGCCAGCTACTTTTTCTGAACTCGAGCTAGCTCGGTGCAGTTCCCGCCGAGTCGAATACTTCATTCATTCATACAGAGCGTCGGCTGTTCGTTCTAGTCAGTCGGTTCGGCGCATCGAGTATATAACCAGGGGGTCTACTCTCGATCTCCGTCCGATATCCGTTCGAAACAATTACTGTCAAATAAGAAATATTCGACAAAATTAAAAGACAAGTGTCAAGTATGAAGCTTCATTCGCATCACGCGTCTTTTCATTTGGTCAAGTATTGCTTATTTGGCAGTAATTGTTTCGTACGGATGTCGGACAGAGATCGAGAGTAGACCCCCAGAAATAGAGACGAAATGTCATCTAATTTGTTTGAAAACTATTCTGCCATATCATTACTGTGACAACTGCGCTCCGATTGGCTAGCCCGAGTTCGAAACAATTGACGGGTGTTGTCATTGTGTGTCGTCAACTGTTTCACTTCAAATCGACCAGTTAACTTGAGCTTTGTTATAATGGACGATAATTGGAAAATTACATATTTAATTACCGATGAAATGTGATTCCGTTTGTTTTGTAATTAGATGTTTTGCTGTTTTTTGTACACCACCGAATAGAACAGCACGGCATTGTTAGAGACATTATCTTTATTACAATAAATACAGAATATTTTTTTGGATATACGGAGACGTACCCACAGGTCAGTAGTTGGCCTGTCTATATTTCAATGCAAACGGGAGTTGATATTTATTAGAGCTGTATCGCTAATGTGTTACCAGGAATATGTGGCCCTTATTTCGTCTCTATTTCTGGTTATATACTCGATGGTTCGGCGACCTTCGAAGCACGCTCGAGAGACGGTCGGCCGGCCAATCCCAACTCACTGAATCGTCGATTCGAGTTCCACTCGCGACTCGCGGTTGCTCTGTCAGACACCGAGTCGAGTTAACTCGAGTTGCAACTCCAGTGAGTAGTCACGTCAACTCGAGCAACTCGAGTTGAAAAAAATATAACTCGTCCCATCGCTAGTTTCTGGCACTTCGCGGTTGACGTTGACGCCATTGACGTATGAGGTGTTTTTTTTTATGTAGATTTTTAACGGCCTTAGCATAGTGCCATTCAGTTAGTGTTGTATTGGGCTATGGAAACATTTTTAATTTGAAAAAAATGATATTTTTCAGGAAAATAAATATTTTTCCGGCTATTTTTTCATATTTGACGTTGACACCTGACAAAAGTTGAAGTTACTGAACGAAAACGAGCCATTGTAAAGGTTTTTCTTAAATGACGGGCGTTTGAAGTTACAAGTACAGCTTTTACAAAGATTAAAAATAATAATACTAAACTACCGTACGTAGTTATTTTTACTTGACATTGGCAAAATCATCGATTATTTCGATGGGGCCATAACATTTAAAAGAAGAAGAAGTAAGGTTATTTTTATTTTAAATGTATTATGAAGTAAAAACGAAGAAAGAAATAGTGATGAAGAAAGTTAGAACTATATTCCTTATTTTAAACCAAATTACAAAAGACTTTATCTTGAAAATTTCAATAATTACGAATTCTAAGTTTTTGTTCAGTGATGGAAGATAATGTGATTTAAGTGAAAGTGAAAACATAAATATTGACTCCCGCCGCTTAAGACTGTTTAAAAAACCTAAATAAGTGAACTAAGTTATTTATGAGAAAGTGAAAACATAATGTATTAGAACCGCAATGAAGAATATTACTGGGGATCCCATTGACTTACAATTATATGGACGTCGGGTCTGCGCTAAAAGGTTTTCATTTGTTCGACTGACAGCGCGATACTGCGATGACATTACAATTTAAATTTCGAATAGGTTGACTTGGGACATTTTTTTCGTGGTTTTTGTATTAGACCCGTCGTCCATTTATTTGTAAGTCAATGGGGGATCCCGATAATTACGTCTTGTATCCAAGCCAAAACTCTTAATAAAAAATCTAAAGGTTTTTGTGAAATCATTTTAGATCTCGTTTTTCTGTGGATTTTAGTAGTTTCATCAGGGTCGTATTCCAGAACTCTACTCAATGCTCAAGTCAGGATCAGAGTATGATTTCAAGCACTGGAATTTACGACCCTAATGGCAGGGACTTGAGTACGATTTCGAGTGCTTTAAACCATACTGAAATCCTGACTTGAGCATTAAGTAGAGTTCTAGAATATGACCCTAAGAGTCGCATTCTAGAACTCTACTCAATGCTCAAGTCAGGATTGCAATTGAAACACAAGCACTGGAAATACGACCCTAATGGCAGTGACTTGAGTTCCGAACTCTACTCAATGCTTAAGTCAGGACTTGAGTATGATTCAAAGCACTAGAAATCATACTCAAGTCTCTGCCATTAGGGTACTTCCAGTGCTACGACCCTAATGGCAAGGACTTGAGTATGATTTTCAGTGCTCACTGCAATACTCAAGTCCTGACTTGAGCACTGAGTAGAGCTCTGGAATACGACTTTTAATTCACGCTAATTATGACTTCAAAAGATATTTCTACACGTAGGACCTAATATGCAAATTTCTAATTTTTGACCGACTTCAAAAAAGGAGGAGGTTCTCAATTCGAGTGTTTGTTCTTTTTTTTTTTTGTATGTATGTTACGCGATAACTCTGTTTGTGAACCGATTTTCATGATTCTTTTTTTTTGTTCCATAGTGGTCCCATTTCATTTTGAAGAAAATCATCCACCTCGAAGGGGGCTGTTCACGCATGAAGATTCATTATTATAAATAGCGCCTAACATTAATTTAGGAGCAATTATTTCAATGCTTGATTTTGCTATTTCTTCCATTCAAGGCATTTTTCTCTCAATATACTTTGAGTAGTTTCGTAGTGAGAACCTATTTTTATTGTCTCCAGTGTCAAGTCCTGTGTAGTGGCGAACTAGGGGATATTTCAATAAAACTTAGCAAACAGACGTAATTCCATGTACTTTTGAGGTCGGTTTTTTTAGTACTCTGTACTGAGATTATTCGGGAATTAACTCGGAAAATTTTCCACTATTTCAAATTTTCGGAAAATTACCCAGCAGTATGTAGCACCTATACTGCATAAACTGCTATGAAATACAATTTTTAACTGACTTAAAAAAAAGGAGGTTCTCAATTCGATTGTTTTTTTTGCATATATGTTACGCGATAATTAGTGAACCGATTTTAATTATTCTTTTATGTTGGAAAGAGGGTACCGGAGTAGTTAGTGGTCCCTCTTAAATTTAAAGAAAATGTTCCACCTGTAAGGGTGGCAAACTAGAGAATCCGGTTTCCCACACTTACTTATAACCGATTTCAATAAAACTTGGCGAATAGATGTAACTCCTCGAACTTTGAGGTCGGTTTTTTTAGTGAGATTACTAGGTTGACACCTTAGGCCCTATTATTATGCTTTAAGGTTGACATTGACATTTTCGTTTGACCTTTCCGAACAAACTAAAAACTGTTTTCAAGAAATTAACGATGTATCGATCGAGTTTTTCATGTAAAATCATATTTTCGCAGTAGCATTGATTAATCATCTTCGTTTTAGAGGCCGATCCACGCGTATGCAACGTCAATGTAGAACGCAGACCTCCATGTGATCGTGTGGCTCTTTCCACTTGGGAGCAACGACACTCGGCGGTACTTCCAGAGGATCTCCGGAATTTTTATGTCTCTAGTGATGGTTTCCAGTTAACATGGCATTACAAATATTCTGGTTTGAAACGATAATCGCTTGTTATTTATATAAAAGTCAAATAAGTGTGGATATCCCGCAAAGTAGGCGAAATTGATAATTCGTATCGTGGAGTGGGTAATTTTTTTTATAAATGACTTGTGAGACTGTCTCAATTCTGCCAGTGGTACCTACGAGCGGATATCTTTATATGTTAAATAATGATCTAATGACATTTCCGGCAACTTTTATTCTTGTGTAATTTCTTGAAAAGTTGATTTGCTTTTTTTGTTTGAGAAATATATATATTATTTTCTATCTCGTAATGTAGGTAAGTAGTGTGTGGCGCGGTTTAAGTGTAGTTGCAATCATTGTCTGCAAAAAGAAATTGCATCTGCAGCATACAGTCATGAACACTTCAAGCTTGACACTTCGATGGTTCTTGTCGTAAGCGTCATAAAGTTGAATTTAAATTTCAGTGTCTAACTTGACGTGTTGTTATGAATAATACAAAAATTACCAAATCAATGTCAAGAATTTAAAACTTTAAATTTATGTTTACACAATTAGTCAAATAGCGAAATGTGACCGATGTAAAATTATTTTCAAAGAGGACGTGTTGTGCTGAACCTGAACAGCACTCAGTTATCGAATCAAAGGTATCGATATTGTACTCATGAGTAGTATCGCATAAAAAGTATCGTACTCATAAAAGTATCGATACCTTGATGTATCATGTATGATGTATCCTACAAATTTTCCCTACTTAAAGACAGAATAAAACACATGAATATAAAGAATAAAATAAGTGTTTTATTTGATTTATGATTTTTTATTGAAACAAATAATAAAAGACTTTCATTAAATTGATCAATCAAACGTCATTTCACATAATGTATGCAACTTAAATTTCTTCCTCTGCATAATCACTTAAAAACAAAAATCTATTTGGTAACAGTCTGTTTTTTTGTTTTTGATATTGTACTCGTATTGCCTGTGTTTGAGAACAAACGTTTTGAAGAAGGAACAAACGGAAGGAAGGAATTGCGAGGTACTCAAATATAATGTTTGTCATATATGTTAATTCAAATGTTTCTAAATATTTCATTCATTCTCATTCTTCTATAGAGGTAAATGGTGGCATACGCTATACAGTCAAGTCATTTGTGATGAAGGTTGCCATTAAAAAAAAAATCATAAGGTGATTTGCGTATACGACATGTCCTAAGTAGGAATTATTCAAACTATACGATACTTATACCCGATATGATATTTATACATACTTATACACATGACGATACTTATACGTACATTCAAAAAGTACTAACACCTGAAAAGTATCGGTATCGGAAGGAAAAGTACTCGATACCAAAAAGTATCGATGCTTTTTCCATGTCCCTAAATACAATGTGTGTGTGTGTGTGTGGAACGCCGCATTTAGTACGCTACTTAAATATCGTTATTTAAATATGTATTACTTTTTCTTGTTAGAGAATCATTATTGAAACTATATCGATTATATCTCACCTCTGAGCACGACGTAACAGGAAGAGAAAGTCCCTACCGTAGACAAAATTTTTGTTGGAGCCGGTTCCACGTCGCCCTAATTTTAAGAAAAGGAGAAAAAACAAAATTAAACACTCGTGGAAATCGCAATATTTCCCATCGAGGATAAACTAATAACTTTCACGTCGAATACAAAACGTAACTTTCCAATCTATTATAAACAAACACGTTTTCTTGGGAATACAAAATGTGTTTCAATTTTTCTTATCATTAGTGTCACTTCAACTAAAAGTCTCCTAATAACAAAAGTTCATACCGCATCAAGTTCACCCTTCGCACACGTGAGAAGAGGCTCCTGTCGGATTGGAGTGTACACAGTGAAGTAACCTGTGCATCTCCGTTTTAGCAAAAAATCGACTCGAAAGGGAACTTTAAAATCCATGCACTTTTATAACGGTCCAGCACATTTTACACACTTGACAATTAAAAATGTACCTAAATATCATTATTGTCGCTCACATTCTTGATGACGGTGATGATGACGATGATGATTGTAGTGATGATGACGATGATTGTGATGATGATGTGAATGGTAATGATGCTGATGTTAATGGTGATCATGATGATGATGGTGGTGATGATGATATATTGATGTACAACAAAGTGTATATGACATTAACAAAATACTTATTTAGATTTATTTGTTAATTACATATAGATATCTAGATGGTTTTACACGGATGAGAAGGATTTTGATACAAGAAGTTATATTAAAATATTCGTTACATGTTAAATGTTCTTTTGTGAACGATAAAATGTGTTTTCTAATAACAATTTCTTATTACTGTGCAGTCTTTTTCATTTATGTTTATGGGAAAATCATTCGTGTTACTGCAATCTCATTCGTGTGACCTAAAATATCGTTTTTTGTTGTATTTAACTTAAATATTTCTGTGATTTTATAATTATTGACATTGCTTGAACTTATTTGTACGCTTAAGATCTTAAAACCAAAAGAAAAAAGGGTTTCACAAAAATCACTCAAAGAGTGCCATTGAAATTCGGTAAGTGAAATTCACCCAGTAGATATTTCGCTACGACGATCTGTCAAGAGTATACAAAATTGGACTGTCTTCATTTGATATTTGTATGCACGACAACTTAAACATAGCGCTTACGCTCGTGTCTGAAGATAAGTCATTTTCGAGACAAAATTGATACCTAGTTCGAAGACGACATTGACGTACAATTATATGGACGTCGTGTCCGCGCTAAAAAGTGTCCGCACTTGTAAGGCGCTAAAAGCGTATACAGAGCGCCAAACTCCGCTTTAGTCTTCATTTGTTCGACTGACAGCGCGATACTGCGATGAAATTACAATTTAAATTTCGAATAGGTTGACTTGGGACATTTTTTTCGTGGTTTTTGTATTAGACCCGTCGTCCATTTATTTGTAAGTCAATGGAAGAAGAGATAACTTTTGTCTTCGGGCTCATGTTATGTCTGCTGGATTCATGTTAGACACTTAATAAAAAAAAAATTTCTGTTTCTTCATATAAAAAAACTAAACTATTTTTTTATACCATCAACTTTTCACGAAATTACTCGAGTAATAATAATGATAATAACATGTTTACTAATATTATAGTATTAATAGTTGTCCTTTAGCTGATACCATTTACCTTATTATAAAGTAATAAAATAATACATAAGTACATAGATAAATTATGAACATTGATTGGGAAGGAACTGTCTCCCAAGATACAGGTTCGCCTAGTTTGGAAGGCAGGGTGATAATGTATACCTATGTACCTGTTCTTGTATCAAAGAATGGCATAAGTGGAGTTACGTGAAGCACGTTTATTGCAGAAAAATGTAACCTATATCCTCTCCAATTCTTGTAACTCTATCTACAATATTAGTCGACACATTATATATTTCACTTCATTTAATAAATTTCTCATGTAAAAAAATTATTTCGGTTCCACAAATTCTTTCTAAGATTTCGAATTACCTTTTGGGCCTCATTACTGTGCATTATTATACAGAGAAAAGTGGGTATAGCTAGCAAGCATAGGAACCTGATTGTTGGAATTTCATTATGGGCAAGCTGAGGGGTAAAAACAGGTACCTACATTGCGGACGTACGAGTGTGTGGTGTACATGGGCTATAGAATCATTTGGGAATACATGGCTCCTTAGAAAGATAAGATGAGCAATGACATTGAGATAGTACCTATAATGTAAACTTCTGAACTTGAGTTACCTACAATTACTTCAAGAATTACAATGGATACCGAAACCATAAGATACTTCGCGTCAACCCGTCCTGCAATCACAAACTTTAAAATCCAAGTTGTAGTGTAGCATGTTATGAATGTAAATTTTACATCAGGTTAATGGAAACAGCGTACAGGTCCTAATATATAGGTACATATATTATTTTACAGCGGACGAGATTCTCCCAGTTGGCTCCATTCGGGTGAATAGTTTGAATGAGTTGTGTTTATCACCAGCATTGAAAGATTTGCTTGATTTCACACTGACCAGGCAGAACTCTGGACCGCGACCAGTGTTGAATACAAAAAGCAAGGTTTTAGAATTGGACAATTGTAGAACTATTGGAAAGGTATAATGCACCGTCGTTACATAATCTCACTATTGGTGTTCAAACGCACAAAGTGAAAAACATTGTTTATTTTTATTCTAGGTTTGTTTAGTATATACTGGAGGATCATGGTCCGTGTGGTTGGCGACCCGTGAGGGCGGATGGGGATGGCTAGCCGACTCCTTCACTCATTACTTTCGGATGGCATTAGTGCATCTTGGTTTGCCAGGATGGCAAGCTTCCTTTGCTAACTTGCCACTTATTCCTTGGGCGGAGGTTAGTGAAAGAATACTGTGTTATGCATAATAGTATATTAGGATACCCATATGGTGCGTTCACCTACAAAGGCGCAGCGCAAAACATACAATTGGGTATGCCGCAAACGGCGACTGTGTCGATTTCATATTGATTGTATAAAAATAAAATATTCCCGTCTAGTTGCTAGTATCCAACACAAGATACGTCTGCGCGGCGCCGAAGTCATCAAATCTTTAAATAGTCGAAATATTCATGAAATAAAAGTATTCCCTTTTTCCAGCAACTTTTCCTTCTGATGGCGCCTCATCTATTGGAAAAAGTTGACATAGACAGTTCTTCGAGTGCAACAGGAAATGAGACTCAAGTAAACCATATTGATCCAAATATATTCAAAATCTCCGTGCGTCAGCTCAAAAATACTACACGCCAAACAAATCAGTAGTAGAAACAGAGAGCAATATTAACATTAATGCGACAGATAGCGAAATCAATAAAAGAATATAATTGTAGCGATGTATTTTATTCATTGATTTTGTAAAACTTACAAGCAACTAAAACAATAAAAGTAAAATACGCAGTTATACCATGTATATTCAATACTTTCGATACAATAAAATTTATAGCTTAATAACGTAACAAAATGGACGGAATGTGTACGATACTTAAAAAGTACCTGTTAAGTAAATATACCTTAAAATAATAATACGATAGGTAGGAACCGCGCATCAAAACTTTTTGACAGAGTTATGAGTCGGTATAATGGCAGATACTTGAAAGTAACCTAAAATTGTAGAATTATTTAATGCTATATCTTAACATAACTTGTGGTGTCATGTGATGTCTTTGTTTATTTAAAAAATCTTTATTCTGTTATAACAGTATCCTACAATGCAGAGATCTACAAAGGTTATAAAATTATTTATTAAAAAAAGCTGGCAATAGATAATACGAAAATGATATTATTTAACTTTACATTACGTACACTTAACTCTTAATTACATTCATTATATCATTTATTTAGAAAGTCAATTACGACCATTCTAACGATTCTGAATTCTATTTAATTATTACTTATGTTTCTGTTCTGTATTTTTTGCTTACTAAAATGACTCGCGAGACGGGAAGCAAACAGGATAAATACTTTATTTACTAAAATATTCAACTGAAGGTAACTAAGAGAAGTGTATTTTAATTGTCCTAGTAACAGTGAGGTGAAAATGATAACAAAATTTCAAAAACTTGATTAATTGATTATGTATTTGTTGAAAGTTGAGGACTGATTCAATGGAATGATGAATCACCATAAACAGCTTTAATACTTTTCTGTCACATCATGCATTGAAGTTGGCTTACTTTACTTACCCGCACTTAAAATATTTTAGAAAATTCGAATTTTGTGAGAACTTGATTACAACTATACCTTAATTAAAGTCCTGTGATGTATTTAATTTCATTGTACGAGGTTCGAATATTAAATTTCCTTAAGATAAAATGTTAAAGAATATTTTTAAGCATATTGGTAATTATGTATGTAGGCGCTGTGACGATTCCAATGAGCTTAGAACACAATGTACCGCTATACGGCTTATCTAAGCTTTTCATGCGGGAAGACTGTACCTAGGTCTAGCACGCTTTATAATTAATTGAAGTACGTTAACTCTGTAAGAACGACAGGAAGGACCTGTGTTTGGTCTGTGACTTATCACATCCAAGTATATTATTACAGAGTAATATTATTATACAAAAGTATAGGTAGAATACTTTGTAATACTAGTAAATCCAGCTAACGGGAACCCACTGGTGGTTGGTTGAAAGTGAATGCAGAGCGTCCATGATCTTAGCGTATGAGGTGTCCATGTTATTGTTGACTAGCACCAGATCTATGTACTTCTCATACTGTCGCTGAATGCGGGCGCTCTCTTCTAATGTCTGTTTCATATCTTCTTCCTAGAACGTGGCAAAGCAAATTTTTGGAGTAATAATGGTCATATCATTTTATTGATTATATTTTGCGACTCTACTTAATCTCAGAGACATATTTGTAAGCACATAATGTAAGACTGAAAGAAATTATTCTTCATATTAATTTTGATTAGGGACAAAATGAAAAATAACAGGATTAATTATGAAATTACCACTATACAGGGTGTAATCGTTAAGTGTGCCCAGGCGATTATTCAATAAATATAAGAGATATCAAAAAGCTTTAAACTGACATCGAAAGTATTTTACCTAATGAGTAAATCGACATCAATTACTTTTTAAAAATAAAACTAGAAATATCCAAAAATTTAACATTAAACGCTTCCACACATGTACACACGCCAGCACATCAAGCTACACATTGACGTATCTTGTTCCGTGCACTGGAGGCGATTTTCGAACAAAAATGTGTATTATAGTAGAGGTTTTAGTTATCTTACTGTAACAATAAGCTAACAGATAACAAAACCGATACAAATATACAAAACTGATATAAACATAGTAATAAAACTATCTTTTAATTGAATAAAAATATAATGACATAGTCAATTATTTGGTCAAGTGTGAGTTGTCCATAAAAATGAATAAAATTGATCAAATTTTCGAAGACGAAAAAATCGGGACAGAAGGAATGGGTCAAATTTAATAAAAAGTTTTATTCATATAAAATGAATAACATTTTATTACATTGATCAACTTCTGCTGTTCAGATTTTTTTATAACATATATAGTATTTGCAACCACGCGTCTATAGTTTACACCAATGACCTTATATAAGATCATTGGCTTACACACAGTCATAAGGTAGCAGTTATATAAAACTCTTTATATAACTATAAGATAACTATATATAACTATAAAATATATAACTATAAATAATAAGATATAACTGTAGATAACGATAAGAGTTTTATATAGGTATATAAAACTCTTTTGAACTTTTGAAGTTTTGATGTTTTAATTGTCGATTTACAAACTATTCTGCCTCGTTTGCCGAAGTAGCGTGAGGGAGCTGGAGACATTTCTACAAGTTTGTTTGGCAGTTCAATTGATACTTCAATATATAATTATGCGCCTTAAAAATTGACATAACTAGAATTCAAATCTTTGTCAAAACTGTGGACATCATACATCTTTGCATATATTTTAATAAATGTTCGACGACTTACCTCATAGAGTGACGCAAGAGACTCGAGGGTGCGCGCGCGCCGTGAGCTGTAGCGTATGGAGCTCTGCCTGTCAAACTACAAAGCGCATGCCACAATACGCCAACATTAAAGGAAATTAAAAATTGCAAAATATATTTACTTAAATACAAAATTTTGTTACGTATGTTCCAAACAGGATAACGGAATGAAAAACTATAAAAAGTCATAACATTCAATAAACGCTTAGAGGATGGAAAAAATAAACTAATAAATGTGAAAGTTTGAAAATTTGTCGCTCGGTTAGTTTTCGTTCGTCCAGGATAGTACTGCTTACTTTACCTATTTCTGCCGCCAAGCTGTAATGTCAGCATTACTGTGTTCCGGTTTTGAAGGGAAGGGTGCTGGTGGCACATGGGACTTGTCAACTTATGTCTCAAGGCGACGGGGGCAGTGGTAGTGCCCCTCAGAACTTTGCAATTTAAAGCTCTGAGTGGTACTGTAACTGGTATGGACAGGCGTGTAGCTTACCATGAGGCGCACGACATGTTCGTCCCGTCACTTGAAGTTATAAAAAAAAGTACGCTGTGAACAAAATCGGACAAATGTTAAAGTAACATTTATTCTTCTTATTCTTCGATTTTGTGCATCACTTTCCAAGGGTCGTTCTTTTATCCTGTTTGGAAAACTCAATTTCATTATTGCCTTTATTATGGACATATACATAATGAATGTATGAATATGGTATTAATAATCAAATTCATGCATTTCCTAATACAATGGGAAACCTCGCACTAATGTAACCATAAAATGCTGCAAGCACAATTCAACCCTCCCTATAATCATAAAGCTAATTATTATAAGACAGGTTTACAGCTTTAAAATACTAAATAAATACAGTACAACTTTTTTAACTGTATTAGTATCGTAATCGTGTATTTTTGCCCTATGGAATGATAGTCGTTGTAGTAATCAGTTGTCAATGTTGTTCCATTAAATAGTAAAAAAATAAACGATTACGATAATTGGGAAGTTCTAGAATACTCTAGTGAATTCTGTCTAAGGGCTCCTTCAAATTTGACGCGTGTAGAAGCGCTGGAGTGACGCGACTGAGGCGCAGCCGCAGGCGGGAGCCGTGCGTCTGTACCGCTTCAGTAAATTTTAGTTCACTAATTGCGACTGCAATAAGTAGCGCGCACCTGTTATACCATAGATATAGAAAAAAGGTTCGTGTCGACTCGATATGCCCAAAATGTGTGTATGGAGGTACGCCTTGAAACATCGCCACAGTAGCGTGGCGATCGTTGTACACACAAGATCTGTCGCCAGTTTGGAGCGTAAAAGATTATAAAAATTTGGAGCTTTTTTTTATATAAAAAATAAGTGCGCATTTGACCTCCATCTCACCTGATGGAAAGTGACGATGAGGTCGAGGATGTAGCATGCACACCTAAATAATTCCTATTCACTCTCGCCTTGAAAAGGTCCAAGTTATAGCGTTCGGGGAACAAATCTGCAGGCAGGGAATTCCACTCCCTAGCCGCTCGCCATATAAATGTAGAAGCGAAACGCTTCGTGCGAATCCGGGGTATATTCATAACATAGGGTTGGAACCCCCGCCCACGTCTAGTCTCCCGATGATGGAAAGGGGAAGGCGGAATTAAATTATACAATTCCATCGCACACTCTCCGTGATATATCCTGTAGAATACCGATAAGCTGGCAACTCTACGGCGGTGTTCAAGGCTCTGCAGCTGCGCTTCTACTGGTTCCGAGTCACCTATACGCCTCTTAGCACGCTTGTCTATTGAATCCAAGGTGGCCAGTTTGTATTTAGCAGAGCCATTCCATAAGTGGCAGCAGTACTCCATACACGACCGGACTTGTGCTTGGTACAGCTGAAGCAACTGTCCCGGTGTGAAGTATCGCCTCACCTTGGAAAGGATGCCAAGCTTCTTGGCTGCATTTTTGGCCACGGATTCAATGTAACTGCCGAAGTTCAGATTGGACGACAGGTCCATTCCAAGTAGGTGAAGACGGTCGGCTATCGTTATGGATATATCACGAAAAGTCGGAGTCAGGTGACAGGGACTCCGTTTAGTGGAGAAAAGACACGCCTGTGTTTTGGTAGCATTAAATTGACAAGATTGGCAACGCCCCAATCGGAGACTGCCTTAAGTGTCAAATTCAAACGACTAACCATGGACTCTCGACAAGATTGGATTTCTTCTCCACTGACCCTTGCATTGGTCAAGTACCTGTCCACAACTGTGCTGTCATCACCATACCCAAAGGTACCTGGAATCAACATATCGTTTAAATGCAGCAGAAAGAGGGTTGCGGACAGTACAGAACCCTGAGGAACTCTCTGTCTCTCTGTCTGTCTCTCTGTCTGTCTGTCTCTGTCTCTCTGTCTGTCTGTCTCTCTGTCTGTCTGTCTATCTGTCTGTCTGTCTCTCTGTCTCTCTCTGTTTCTGTCTCTGTCTCTATGTCTTTCTCGATCTATCGCCCTATGTTTGGAAGAGTAGCCTGCTAAGACCACTAGAATCGAACGTTCACTCAAGAAATCCGAAATCCAATTTCAAGGGTCAGTGGGAAGCCAGTAAGAGGGAAGCTTGCTTAAAAGGCTAGCATGCCAGACCCTGCCAAAGGCCTTAGAAATGTCTAAAGACACTGCAATGGCTTCGCCATGTTCTTCTATGGCCTCGCTCCATATGTGAGAGGCATACACAAGAACATCCCCAGTAGATCGCCCTCTTCGGAATCCGTATTGGCGATCACTGAGGAGATCGTTGTCTTCAAGGTACGACAGGAGACGGTTGTTAAGTACACGTTCCATAGTCTTGAAGAGTATGGAATGACTGAGATAGGTATATAGTTCACAGGGTCAGTTCTGCTTCCTTTTTTAGGCACTGGTTGCACATTTGCAAGCTTCCACGACCTGGGAACTACACCAGTCTCAAGCGAGAGGCGATACAGGCGTGTGAGAATAGGAGACAACTCAGGCGCACAGTTACGCAGGACTATTGCTGGAATTCCATCTGGCTCGCTAGCTTTATGCACGTCTAGACTTCGCAGAGTTCTGAGTACCTCTTTTTGGCGTATGCGAACTGGCGCCATAGTGCATCCAGTCAGAGGTAAAGAAGGTTACCACCTTCTAGTTTATCCTGCGGCATCCAGACGCGAACTCTCTGCAAAGAGTGAGGCGAAGAGATTCGCCTTCTCTTCCGTAGTATGGGCCAGCGATACGTCTGGCCTCAGCAGAGATGGTAATGAGTAGCTACTGAAGTTTTTTTCGACCGCTTTGGCCAGGGACCAAAAGGACTTGCTGCCTGCTGGAAAAGAGGCAAGCTTGGTACGCAGACTGTTTTTGTGCTACAGTCAGCGTTAAACCATGAACGAGCTTGGGGTCCATTGGGTACATCGAAGTATGGTATATAATACTCCATACCCAATCGCAAGACCTCAACTACAGCATCAGCACTGCTCGACGATTCTCCTGAAATAAAGTAAGCTGCCAAAGATATGAAGCAAAAAATTGTCGCATTTCGTCCCAATCTGCTAACCTGTATTGCCACACGTATGTATGATTTTTGTAATTAAAGTACCTAAAATGTTGAAGCGAAAAGCATTTACGTTACATAGATTTTTTATTATTATTATTATATCTATTTTAGACTCTCGTCACTCCCATGGCCTTTATTATTATTATTAAACCAATTATTTCGAGTAACTTTTATATAGCTCATATTTCGGAACGTCGTTACAATTTCTTGTCAATCTGTATGTCGCATGTGTAGAAATATGTAGGTACAATTATTTGTGTAAATTAGATATTTAAATTCAATTTATTCGTAGATTAAACGTTGAGCATTGATAGTTTTTGAGTTTTCCCAATGAGCCTATAGTAAAAGATGGTTGGATTGTTTAAATTTCCATAGCCAATGCATTTTCTTATGGTTCAAGTTACTATTGACTGTAACAGCTTCACAAACCCGTACTAACGTATAAAAACATAAGTAGTTGTAGTATGAACCCGGTAATACATTGTAATGTAGAGTATGAACAATGGAATTTTTTTTTAATTATTAGTCAAAGTCAAATAATCATTTATTCCATAGGTAAAATTTTTACACTTGAAATTTCATTTTTTTAAGCTAATGCTCGTTCACTACGCTGATCTCCCTGAGAAGAACGAGCAAGAAACTCTAGGGATTGCTCTTTTCAAATAAACTTAAATGCTATGGAATACACTTTGAATCATAATTGTGTGGAATCTAGACTCTTGTTGTCTTTCCATACTTCTTTATCTAAAACATACTCTTCAATTTTAATGTAAGTTTTACATTTACGAAATGATAATCTTAATATATTCTCCGGAATCTTATTGAAAAACGTATACAATTCCCCATAAAAGAATCGTTTATATCGAGTTCTTAGGTTTTCGCGATTGTTACACATAGCAAATGAAACTATTTTTCCGGATTTAAATCGCGAATCGTTTACCTTAGTTATACGAAATCGTGGTACCATGAGTTTGGACTTAGTTCTAAGGTTAATATTATGAATATCTTCTTTCTTATATCTTCTTTCTTAATGAAATTATGTATATTTTTACGGGCATACAAAATATTTGAGTAAATGTACTGCGATGCCACAGTCATGATACCAGTCTCCTTAAACTTTTCTCTGAGAAAAACCCGAGAACCTAAACGGTACACAGAACGAATCGCTTGTTTTTGCAACACAAATATGGCTTGTATATCTGCCGCTTTACCTATGGAAGTAACTAAAGTAAGACTTTATGCTATGGAAGTAACTAAAGTAAACTAGTGTAGCAGTAGCTACATCGGTAAGCTCACGTTTTCTACGGACTGCGTATGCAGCAGAGTGTAATCTGCTAGCTAAGGAAGATATATTGTCTGTTTAAAGGTAAAACCACATAAGTGACATTTTCTACAAAAAGTCTTTATATAGCTATGGTATGAAGATCACTATCTTTCTGCAGGTGAAACTCAATAACAAGAAAGCTATAAACTCAATAAGTGGTTTTATTTGCAGAAAGATGGTGATTTTCTTACAACAAGTACATAATTTGGAGATTTTTTGTGGATTTGTGGAATGTCACTTATGTGGTTTTGCCTTTAAGCAGACGATATGTGGAAACCATTGAAGTTTACTATCTAAGGTCACTCCCGAAAATATAGCTTTATTAACGCAGTCTAACTTTTCTCCATTTATTTCTATGATTGGACTAGTCGATTTTACATTAGGTAATTCAAATTTAACACACTTTTCTTCTTGGCATTGAGCAATAAATTGTTACCATTAAACCAATAAACTACCTTTAAAAGGGTATAATAGTTAATATTATCACAGTTAATGTGATGTTTGTCGGTTTTAAAAATCAAGGATGTGTCGTCAGCAAACAATACTATGTCGCAAAGGTCCATAACAAAGAATGGTAGAAACAGAATAATATTAGAAACAGTCACATGGTTTCTGCCTATCGGTTAGGTAGGTCACAGCTCACATAGAGTAGCGCTAAACTATTACAAGCGTTATATACAGTTTCAGCGTCATCCGACGTTAACACAAGAAACATTTTTTGCCATTTTTAGTAATGCTACCTGACGGTGAATAACTGAACCAGAATGAAAATAATCTGAAATATTGCAATATAAATCTTACGCAAGTGACTGTAAGTTTAATTTTGTTAAAATTTAAAACTGTTAAGTCGTTTTCATGTTTTAAGCCTTAACCAATCAAAATCGTTAATTGGTGGTAGTAGATAATAGAGCGTAAAGTTTAATTTTCACATTTGCTAAAAAGTGGCGACATCGTTAGGCGATCTTACACAGCGTCATGGCCACAGAGATATATCTAGAAAGCCGCCGCAAGTGTACGTACTTCGCGTGAAAGTAAGTGAAATTCACTAAGTTGCCGCTGCTAGACTTCAGAACGCGCTCGACCGTTGTCGTAGGTAAACACCAGTCGAAAACGCGAAAAATGCATAATTGTGCATTAAACTGCAAAAGCACCATACCATAACTGTGGGTAAACAGGGATGTTTCCTTTCACGGGTAAGTGATTTTGTAATCAGAAGATGCATAATTTATTTTAAAAACAATTATTTTGATTTTGTATGAATTTCGAGAAAACAAATGTGCAACTGAGTGTATGCCTCATGATTATTATGTATAATGTGCGGCTTTTACTTGGTGCGATATATTTGTGAACCTTTGTTAATAAGCCATGAATATCGAACGAACGCACTTTTGTATAATGCATTCTGTATCGTGGTACGGCCGCTTGTACATTTCTTTGGCCTAATTTAGCATTTAGTGACGTATACGTTAGGCAACACTGTCCTCGATTCTGATCGATTTTGAAAACAAAGGGCCGAAAATTATTATGACCTTAGCAATATTATAAAAATATTCTATACTCCTTTGTTATAACGTTTCGTTTTTTTTTTTCAGGTTTGTAGTATCTATTATCAGTAGTATCTGTAATTTCGATAATTTTTGCAGCACGTTGCCTCGAATGTCTGAATATAGTGAGCAAATAATTACATATATATATATGTAGTACGAGTAATACAAAAAAATATATAATGCAGAGAATTAACAGTGCGCTGTCTTTACAAAAACCTGGAGTTGGTCATACGCATGAGTTGGTTGCTTTCGAGGACGAAGGTGGTCTAGTTTATCCCACCTAAGCTGCTATCCAAATATGCAGAGTAGCAGAGTTAAAAATCCGAGAAATAATAAACAAATCACAAAAATTTCACATGAGGCCCTCATTAAGTAAACCTCTTCTGATTAATAAGATTATACCATATTTTGTCAGCAGTAACATTTTCATTTGTCTTGCCATTCATCAATTTGATCAATTACCAACAGAAAACCATCTAGTAAAATTAATTAAGGGAGTCACAAGTTCATATGATGACGTGCGGTTTCATTACTTAAGTTAATCGATAAGATCTTCTATTTCAAAAACATGTTATATAATAAGCTCATTTTATTTAACTGCCTCCGTGGCCGAACGGTTACCATGCCAGACTGCAGAGGTCCCAGGTTCGATTCCCGGGCCGGGCGAAATATTTGTTTGACCTACATTTATTTCTTTCGTGAGTTTGGGTGTAATTTGTGGTTGTCTATGTGTGTGTCCATGGCGCCCGCGACACAGGGTTTCCCTAGTGCGGGGCTATGTTGAGTGTATGCGTTATTATTATTATTGGAAGGACAATAATTTTAACAATTGAAGTCGATTAAAAACTAAAGACTTCAATTTTTTTAAGTAATCAACATTTTTTTAAAATAAGTAAAATAAAGGATTTAACTATTTTATTCTAGTATTTTTCTACTATATTAATATTACGACTACTTGTAATCAACAAATACCTGAACAAAAATTATTCTATTTAGAATCGATTAATTGAATAGAATACGCGTGTTTACGCGTATTCCGTTCAATCAACCGATTTTGAGCGAGCGGGTGGAGGTTTCCATCACTAAATAGTTCTTGTGACGTCATAGTGGGTACAAAAAATATGACACACTTGGTTTTCATACAAATTGTTGTACTTGCGGCGTCTATCTAGATATATGTCTGAGGTCATGGCATATCTCCCCTTTTTTTCTATATCTATGGTTACGACAGTGGCACTGCAACTGCACTTCTAAATATTGTATGAAAATTACTAATTTACGCCAATGCAGCGCTTCTATAAGCGTCTAATTTGAAATCGCCCTAATAAAGGTTCAATCTAATACAACTATCTAGATAATTGTCGTTATGACCATGACACGTATGCATAACAAAATGAAGATTTACCGTCAATTTGCTGTTAGAAGCGTAAGTAAGGTTGCGTAGTTGTTCTATGCCGGGGGCGCCAATCATGACCACGTAAGGCAGAAATTCGCTGCTGTTGTGAAGCAGTTTTAGAGATTGTGGAGCGCAGTCTAGGATACACATTTTGCCTATAAAAAATACATTACAACATTTGTGTTTGGTAAAACAATCTTTCATTAAGTGTACGTATCGTACAGCACCTTTTTGTATATTTTTAAATAATCTCTGGGCGATAACACTCGCTTGAGGTACTTAGGTAGATAATTAAGCAATCACGATTCATATTATAATTTATTATATTAACGATTTATGACATAGCCCCAGTTTGGCGAAAAGCTTGTTGGTTCGTGTCCAGCTGCATCGAAGGAATTTTTCTTTGCATAGTATTTGTATGAATAGTCACAACTGCGATTGTTAAAACTTCTTTTGTTTTGGGGTTTTTAAAACAGAAGTTTGAACGGTTACATTGAGAAATCTAAAGAGAATGCTTACCCTCCTTGATAACAGCGCGTATAGAGTCCAGATGCGTTCCATACAGGTGACCATTATGTTCGCCGTATTCCAGAAAGCGGCCAGCGTGAGCGTCGCGTTCCATCTCTTCTCGTGACACGAACCAATACGAAAGGCCATCCTCTTCCAATGGTCGTTTCGGTCGTGATGTATCTGTTGAAATTGGGCAGGATGTAAGTGATCAGGGTAAAATGGTAAATATTTAATTCGACATTTAGATAAATGTCACAAACAAATTAAACACAACAAACACAATAAAATTTTCTATTAGTACAAGAATATTAATAAAAAAGAATAGACGATCGCAAAGGTTCTGAAAATGACTTAAATTTTAAAGTCTTATTACATGACGACAAGACGGTGAAGAAAATGTATACGGTAAAAAAACTATATGTATATGATTCTAAAGTCACCCACGTGGAACAACAGCTCCGAATCGATCAGGATGTTCCTGTATCATTCGGTTCTTAATGGTCCTTCGACCGACGCCACGTGTACCGACTAGTGCTAGGATTCTGCGCAGGAAAGGCGGCGTACGTGCTACTTCTTCGTACAACGTCAGTTCAGCGCCCTCTAGTTGCACGCTTGAACGGGACTCGTATACAAACTTCTTTTTCTTTTTTGATATCTAAAATATAATAAATATAAAAAGACTAATATGATAAGCCACCAATGATAATGATGATGGAGGCCTAAATAGAGATTAGAGGATATTTTTCCAAATACTCATATTAATAACATTACATTAAAATATAAGCTTATAAAAGAATGTTCCTTCATGGTGGGATCGGGTATAAATCTGTTTTACTGAACGCTTACTACAATTTTGATTACTTTGCATTACTCTAATCCTTCCGCTTACTATGCATCCTAAAGCTAACTTGCAAATAATTGTTTATAAATAATACCATCATAATTATTAAAATAGAAGTCAGCAGATTCCATTCTTTGTAAAGTCATAACAATGACGTGAGGGCTGAATTCAATTAATCATACATAGAACGTTGTGCTAACTAGACACATTTTTGATGAGTAACTCACCCGGGCTCCACAAATGCTGATCTTGTGTACAAAGTCAGCTTCAGGTGGCACATATGCTTTACGCCGCTCCTCCAATTCTGGTGACGGTATTAGGCCAACAACGTCTGAGTTTTCTACATGACTTGCTTGCCACCAGTTAGGATCTTTTCTATCTGATACCTAAACACATTGAAATGTTTTACAGACGTAGTTCTAATATGAGCAGTGGCTGTCTGTAAGTGTGCAATAGGCATATTACTTACTTGTAAAATATCACCTTTTTTAAATTCAAGTCCAATTTCCTTACATGGTAATAATGTATCTTCCTTTGGGTTATAATCAAAGAGAGCTCTCATATAACACTGAAATTAAAGCATAAAACAAAATAAAAACCATTGGTGTACTGTATGGTTTGATGCAATATTAATATTTATCTCTCTCATGACATAAGTGTTCATCTTTTTACATTTTTTTATGAAATGATTTTTTTATTGACATACAATTTCTGCACTTGGTGGTAAGCAATACAGTTGCCGTAAAAGCCCGTTACTATGTGCCTGTTTTTCCACCAGCACCTTACCCATCAAAAGTAATGGTCACATTACTGCTTGTCAGTAGAAACAGGTACTTCGCTGCATATACTCTTTCACAAAAAGGTCTACTGTTAGTAAAATATGCACATGTTTGTGCAAGGGCTCACTATATACAGCTAAACTGAATACAACTTACACTAAGCTTATTAGCTAACTGTGAGCTTTTTTCTTTCAAATTTGGTCCAACTTTGAGCGTGACTCTATCATTAGGTTTGCTGACGGCTTCCTTTAGCTGCTCTTCTGAGTCAATTTGCATTCCATCAACTTCCAGGAGCACATCACCAACTGACAGCAGGGCCTGCTTGGCAGCAGCACTGCCTGCCAATATTCTGGCCACTATCAGCTGGCCATGTTCATCTGTTGTGACCTGTAAAAGAGGTTAGAAAATGGGAGACAAAACTTAATGCATCTTTCATTGCATTTTTGATAAATTTAAAGAAGCATTTCAAACATTTCAAGCTTAACTCAAGCTTGGAATGTGTATCAGCTTTTAACTTATCATTTGTTAGTTATTAATTTCGACCTGTCTAAAAATTAAAACAAAGTTGTTGTTGAAAAAAATTATTTACATGTTGCTGTGTGTTATGAATGTTTGCGGTTTTGTGAGAGGACGGATGAGCGTCTTTTGTGTATTACTAATATTGTCTAGTTATGAATTTCACAGTGCCTTAGTAATTTACTGTGATGCTGTGTACTTGTATGAAATAAATAAATGAATAAAAACTTGTGCAATATTGAAAGCACATAATAATGCAAGAATTACATAAATAATCTAGTCTCAATGCATTTTTGCTATAAATATACCTCAAGGTTAACAACTAGGATTGTACTTTCACAATAATAAATATTCAAAGATAATAAAGTTGGTACTTATGCATAACAATTTACATTAATTTATGACTCATACCATCACCTTTGCATACCCTTCCAAATTAGGGCACTACTCACATCTTGGGTTACATGACAATTGCTTTAAGTCAATTGAAGTGGTAATTAACAAAGTAGTAAGTAATGACTAATGACCCAAGATCTGAATGGGCGTAATGTGGTTACCTAAACTTTAAGTAATATACTTATGTATATCACTTAACCTGTCATGTCTTAGAGACATGGTGTTCCTAACAATTTTGGTACTGAAATGTTCTAAAAACACACAATGTCTTACTTACGCACTGCTGTGTACATCATTACATCTACCATTCTTTAAAATTAAAAAAATAATACCAAATTTGTTAGGGACACCATGTGTCTCATTTGATTGAATATGTATATTTTACAACTTTTTACTTAGAACTCTAATTAATTCTATATACCTGTCTATCAATATACCCAAGAATAAAGCTTATTTGTATGGTTAATAATTTGTTTAATGAGTGTCCCTAATGATTTTGATACTGTACCATCCTGCGATGTAGCATAAAGAGCAATACAGTGTCTCTAATGCACAGCTTTGTTTTTAGCCACCACTTTTCAAAATTTAGGCATGATTTTTTTTTGAATTTTTTTACCATGTGTCTAGAACGCATGATTATATGAAACTGCTGGGCCTATTAATACCTAGAGATACTTACCGTTAATCCTAATGGCTGGCCAGGCACTTTTCTAAGGCCCACAACTTTAACAGTCTCCACTGGCATGTCCCCGTTTTCCTCAGAATCGTCCTCAGTCGTTTTGTCTTTCTCTTCAGTCAAGAGTTTCTCATCAACTCCCGAGCCACGCTCTAGCCAGATTGTACCTATTTGATCATGAGCATCTATTAAAGCCTGCAAAAGAACATTGTACTATGACACCTAAAAATACTTTTTAATATAAATAATATACAATTTATCAACACCTATTTCCCAATTAAGAAATTTTAGAATATTTTTATGGTTCCTATAAATACTAACATATTGTCTGTTACAAGTTATCTGTCCTTTTTGTATCAAAGGAATATAGAAAATGTAAATAATGCCCCAAATTAACAGGACAGCAGAAATGTGGAAGTACAGTAGCCTGTTTTTAACGTTTATACGACAAGTCTAGTATTTTATTAGGCACCCAGCCATTGTCGTAATAATTTTATTTCATATTATTTTCTAAATATAGTTCAATTTCTACTCATAATGAATATTAATATAATTATTAAATTTATTATATTAAATTAAAAATAAATATATAAGATAATCCGGGGAAACTCACCTTAAAATGTACCCTGGATAATAGAATAGCGAGTTCGGCTTGCTCAATAGTCCTTATGTTGTTGCCGCGGTACTCACTTAGCGACCGGATAATATTCACGTTGCCCAAGGATACAGGCTTCACAATCAAATCCTCCTCAGAATCGACGGACTGAAACAATAACACTGCTTCAGCCACTCGAGCTAAGGCGTGGCACTCAACGCTATTTTTGAATGAAAACTATTCCAAACATATCAATACACTACACGATATCATTTATTAAGGCCTCAATTAATAAATAGCTTTTTAATATAGTAGTGTCTAATAAGAATTAACTGTATTTAACATAAAAAAAACGTTTATCGAAGAAAGAACACACCTTCGCCAAACTCTGTCTAGTATTAGTGGTTTTTGTGTTTTTGACAGGAGCAGGAGACCTTTATTACTGTATGGTCATAAATACTCGGCTTACAAAACTGTTAAATATAATTTATTTAATTTTGCACCGTATTAAATATAATTAAAATGCAAAATTGCTTGTTAAATATTTATCGGTGAAGCTATACCTGTGGCGAAAAGCAACATGTCAACACACGAGGGAGATGGACTGCCAGTTTATACCTTAAAGAGCGAAAGAGAAAGTATTTACGACTTCAGCATATTCTAGTCTATGGCAGCGTCGGTAGGAAGCGCGCGAACTTATGAAATAAGAATTCAGTTTGTAAAATTATTTTGTTTAAAACATTCAGCATCATAAGAAATTAGAGTTCTTCTTAAGAGTATTGTAGTGATCCAAATCTACTTATTGTAATGTGTAAAAAATAAAAACGATTTGTCGTCATAAAATTGTAGTAAAAGCAAATAAAATTGTTATAATAATTATAACATTTCCATTGACTTACAAATAAATGGACGACGGGTCTAATACAAAAACCACGAAAAAAATGTCCCAAGTCAACCTATTCGAAATTTAAAATGTAATGTCATCGCAGTATCGCGCTGTCAGTCGAACAAATGAAGACTAAAGCGGAGTTTGGCGCTCTGTATACGATTTTAGCGCCTTACAAGTGCGGACACTTTTTAGCGCGGACCCGACGTCCATATAATTGTAAGTCAATGAACATTTCATTGAATTTCGATTAGTCCGACATTTTATTCTTGTGACTTAGAAAGAGGTTTTTTTTTTTTTTTTTTTACTTAGACTTCTTTGGAAGTAGCAGAACTCTATTGTTTTCCAAAATATTGTCATGTGGTAGCATTGACTTACAATAAGTCAATGTGTGGTAGCTTAATTTTTTAACCGACTTTAAAAAATGACTGTATTTTTTTTAATGCAGTTGTATAATTAAATCACCTACCTCACGTTTTCTTATAAAATCTGGACTTTCCACAATGCTTTTCAAGAATATCACGTCATGATTAGATAAGTCGTCTTCTGGTTTCTTTTCTTCTTTTTCTGCAATAAAACAAAAAAGTTAATGTTTTCCGTCGAGTTTTCAATTAATATTCTATGCAGGAGAAAAGGGGGCACCTTTGAACATTTTTTACATATATGGTTGTAAAATCCTAAATAATTATTGTTTATTTGTTTTGTTTGCTGCAGTAGATACCTATTATTTGGTTACAACATGTCTACAATCTTTCATAATAAGCACGATCAAAAAGTTTATAATACCTACTGTCAGAATTCCCATTTTCGTGAAGGAACTAAAATGTTCAAAGCTGTCCCACACCTGTAGCAGGGGGCACCCCATACCATAGTCACACACTCAATGATTGCAAGCTGCAAGCAATTTTACCAGTGAAACAATCCATACGACAAGCAAAGTTCAACTTACCATTATCTGTATTCTACCAGTAATATCCTTACAACTATTTTTGAGAATGTTTACTTTTCGACGCTGAAACTAAACATGACCTCTCTTCAGTTTTTGGCGCGCGCACTAGGTGGTGCCTTGGTAAACATAATTCCTACTACATTTTCATTCAAACTGATTGCCTATACGATTTGTTCTAAGCTGCCTCTGTTCAAAGGTGCCTCTATCTCCCCTATGTAGTGTTTTATTATTAGTTTATATGCCCAACCGACGAAAATGTACTATATAATTCATATATAATATCAGTAAAGACATTGTTGTTTAGAATAGTGTGTTTGCTGTTTAACTCAATTCATTGTTAATATAGCTGTGGGTGACGCATCATGCAAGAGATACTAACATAAATGATATCTTTGTGGGGTTTCGGTTTGGGTCACGCGACGTGAAACAATTCCGGTTATCCCTATTGTAAAATGAAGATATTCCATAAACAAAAATGCGGGAAGCCTGGGTAACTTTCAGGTTAGTTTTCTCTACCTACTTCCGATGGCAATTTTTATTATTTAAGCATTCGAGCACATTATCGAGAAATACTAAATAGTACTTCAGATTACATTGTTGCATATTCTAGAATATTTAAATAATGAGAATTGCCACCGTAACTATATAGACAGAGAAAATTAATCTGAAAATTATCCGCCTCGGGCTTCGGTGGACTTGTTTGTTTCTTCAAATTAATATCGACTTAAATATCGAATTAAAACGGCTAACGTGCATTATGAAAATATTACAGGGTAACGAATTAGAGTACAACTTTTTTTAAGAAAAAAATCATACAATTCTTGTTTTTTATTTATTACGGAAAACTAGAAAGTTTTAGATTTTTCATTATAACAAACAAAATTGAAGTACGATTTTTTCTTAAAAAAATACTTTCAATCCTGTAATATTTTCCAAATTCACATTAAAAACGTTTTATCTTACCAGCTACGAATATAGACTACAATCATATGAGTTATTTGTGTAAGCTTTTGTGTATTTTCTTTCCCTTGTGACTTATTTTTATCAAATATTTAGTACAGTTAGTGTATATATAATCTTTGTATTTACGTAAGTCCTTATTTTGTTAGGGGGATCGACCTGCCTTTTGATCCCGACGGTGCTCGATGCCTTAGATGGTGTATAATGTTTTTGGCAATGGTCCTATCTTTGTTCGCAATAGATTTATACGCAGATAAAATATAGTCACTATAATAAGAAACATAGGAAAAAGGATGATAAATAGTCTCATTACACTATTGGCAATGCTCGGACTCTGACGAATATTTTCCCGACTTTCATCTTGCTGGCATTGTTTATGTTAACAATATTGTAACAAATATTGAGATGGTTCCAGTTCAAAATTGTAAGGTAGGAAGTATGAATTAAATAGTTTAGCCTCACACTTTCAAACTCCATTCATACACGTTTAGAGGGAATGGTAGCTTGAGACGAATAGATCGCAACAGGTGTACTTATTAGCATTTAGTAATTTTATTGTTGCAAATAGCTTTGCTGACGACCTCAAGCTTGCCAGTATGAAATTTGAAGCTTTTGTTCCTGTTTTCAATGTTATACTAGTGGGAGTGCGCGGTGTCTCAGTTGACTGGATCAAGTGGAAGACTTTTTACGTATAGTTAGCACACGAAATATTATTTAGGACGAATGGTAGGTATCAACAAGAATGGCTTACACATTATGTTCAATAAGGTAATAAAAGTTAAAACCATATTTTGACAAAACATTTAAACGAAGTCTTCATACATTCTAATGGTTGCACACATGTTGCACATGTGTAGTGTATGCGTATAAAATTATGTATTTTTCAACAATATTATAGTATAAATTATGTGTTACTTGCATTTGTAATGCATCTGTTTATAAATGTTGGTATTTACGCAATGTAACCTATGTTTTCATCTTGTAAACATAAACTTAAATAAGCTTAGGTTTATACAGTGGTAAAAACATGTAATGTTAGATAACAGCTAGCTAGAGAACGGACAATGAAATGATAAAGATATGAAAAAATAATTATAAACAGCAGTTTAAAAAATTACCGTACCATTAAATTATCAAAATAATCATCATATAGTAAAATACCATGTACTAAAATACTTGTAAACCTGGTCAGGGCAGTTATTATTACAAATTTAAAACTACGAGTAATAAGGTTTAACACTTAATTGTATTAGTTGTGTACATTTTAGGGATGACACGTATTTTACTGAGCCGAGTAGATTTTATTGCCACTTTTGCTCTACGCTTCTCCAAACAAATGTCGATAAGTTTATACATAAGAATTGAATAATTCGAAAAGAGTAAGTTTAACGCTTAACAAGTTTCACCATAGTGTACGTACATTTTACATATACTGTCTCTCGGGTATCGGACACGAAGGCAAAGTACCTTGTTATATTGTAGATAAGATATTTTGCTCTAAGGAGACATTAATTTATTTTCAAAAGTAATAAATACTGCATTGAATGCAGTATTTATTACTTAAATAGTTATTAAATAGTTATTATTAAATAGTATTTATTACTTAAGACTTAAATAGTTGCTTGCCTCATCTGGGAATCGCAGCGACTAATTGTAAAAAAAAATATTTTCTCAAACATGATCGAAAATGTTTGCATTACTTTCAAAAAACGATCACGGAAAGTTTGTCATAAATGGACCGTGTGACTTGTTCCCGGCCAAGACCTTCAAAGTATGTATGAAAATCCATTACTGCCCACTTCTCTAAACATTTAAATCTATCAATCTAATGAACTATGATAATCAGGCAAAAAAACTCAGACAGTCAACTGCCCAGTGTTCATAGTTGTGAGAAATATACTTACCCACAGTACCGCTTACTTACAAAAAAAGAGAAAACGGGGCGAGACAGTGTTTTAGTATTCTTTTGTTTTTTCGTCTTTTTTGTATTTTCGTGAAAATCAGTGTTAGTGAGAAGAGCGATAACATCGTCAGAGGTTCAACAGACTACTATTAATGTGTCTGGAAAAATAATAAAATTTTCTTTTAGCAATTATAAAATAAAATAAAATTTATTTGACAAAACATGTTTATAATTTCAAATTTACCACGGTCCTCACACTAGGCAAGCCTGAACTGTGAGGTCCCAGACATACGATTTTCATACATCACATATTAGCCTCTAAAAGGAAAAGAAATCGATATAAAAATAAATATGATAAATAGGTATATAATTTAAAAATATGAACAACATTTTCTGCAATTTTATAAATTAATAAAATCAATAAAATAAAATGAAATGCTGCTACAACATACAAATAATCAAATTTTCAACAAAATCATAAGACAAATCAAGTAACCAGTTTTGCAGTACACGTTTAGCGTCGAATACTGATGTGAGTTTTATGTCACAAAATCTAAGGACATTGTTGTATAGGAATGCGGATAGAAGCGGGTGAAATCTTTTAGCAAAAAAACTGTGTATGATAGGGAGGTGGACATGAAATACACGTTTTTTTATCAAAGTACTGTAGTAATTTGATCGAAGCACTTGCATGTGGGTTTTGATTGCAATTTTAAGAGCGAAGAGCTTGCGAAAAAGAGCCAGCCAACCTCCTCAAACGAAGAGAACACCAGCCTCCTCGTATAGGACTGCGACCTCGTATAGAAATTGTCCTGACACGTCAAATATTACTTCAAATATTGATTAATATTTTTTTACTTTTTGTATTATTACATATTCCTCTCTTTAGTCTTTAATTAACTCCTCACACTGTTTGAGAAAAATACTAGATATGCATGCCTCGGCAGGAACGAGGATTGCTTGACTCGTATTAATACAAGGCTTCGCCGACTCTCGTCCTTGTAACTCGTACTTGTCCAGCAATCCCTTACTTCCCGGCGGCCTCTGCGGTAATGTACTATTTATAACGCCGATCGAAAGGGTCTGTTACAAGGATTAAATCCTTAAGTAACTTAGTGTCTTAATTTAAAGAAACACCGTTGGAACCTATACATATATCTAGCTATTTGCAATTAATTTTCATCCATATTCTTGTAAGCAAATTGCCAATCTATTGATAAGTTTTCTGCCTGTAGATTTTTTTATCTTGTTACGATGGATATTCGAAATAAATTCACCTCAATTCTGTTTTTAACTCATCCGCGTCAAATCGCTTCTTGTATAATAAATCTTTCACGTATCCCCAGAAATATACGAACACCGACGGTAAAACACATTATAAATCGTTTTCCGGAACTTTAATGCAAAATTTCCTTTTCCTTTAATTTAATGTACCTACTATCTAACTTAAGGAATTAATCCTTATTGTTGACACTTTCGATCGGCATCATAAAAATACAGTTTTTTTGTTACATTTGGTTGGTTCGATTTCCAGATGAGAGAAGCAACTATTTAAGTCTTTGAATGCAGTATTACTTACTTTTAAATATAGATATATATGTACATATATACATGTAGACTACATCGCATACGTTGCTTTAGTCGCCGAGTAAGTAGCTAAAGCACTTGTGTTATGGAAATCGGAAACAACGACGGTACCACAAACACCCTGATCCGAAACAATATAGAAAAGTTAGTTTTCTACACTGACCCGGCCGGGGATCGAACCCAGGACCTCAGAGATGGCGACACCATGAAAACCGGTATGCAAGTGATTCGACCACGGAGGCTGTCAAAATAAAATGTGTCCAAGCAAAATATCCTATCTACAATATTTAAAGTACTTTGCCTCCGTGTCTCGTAGGGCCGCCCTAATATGCATGCTACACCACTTTATCGGTGTTATGGACACTTGAAAAAGCAGCCTTGGCTCAATCCCCTTCGCCTTAAATATGCCGAAAACCAGTATACTGTTCCAGCTGTAAAGATCGTGCCGATCAATCAGCTTGCATGTGATGAATAGCATCGGATGAATAGTTACCGGAAATATGGTGCATTATTATAAAATTACATTCACAATGTAGCAACTTTCCTACACATGATTGGGGTGTGATGTGGTTTGAAAGCCTTTAATTAAATGGCATGACTATATATGTATATGTGTGTATATTTTTTTATGATATCAAGCGAGGGGACTAATAGGTCCTGCGCCCGGTGGTGAGCGACACGCTCCTCCATAGTAGTTGCCACTCAGAGCTTTAAATCACAAAGATCTGAAGGGCACTGCCACTGCGCCCGTCACCTTGAGATATAAGTTGAAAAGTCCCATCTGCCTGAAATTTCACCAGCACCCTTACCCTTCAAAACCGTAACGCAGTAATACTCACATAACGGTTTGGCGGCAGAAATAGCAACTATATTCAATAGTAATGGAAGATTATAGTGAAATTGTGATTTCATCTCTTAAATTTAATAGACTGTGTACATCAAGACTATCTGTATGATCGCAAGATCATAAAAAAAAATTAGGAGGAAAGTCGATTTCTTAGAAGCGCAGCAGTCTTTAAAATTTATTTTTTTTACACAAAATTCTACTACTTCATTGACTTATGTACTACTTAATATTTTTTCCATAGATTGAGCACGACGATCTTTGTGTAGCGACCCTTTAGCGTATCATTCGCAATATTTTGTATCCAACTAATTTTCCAATGTGACACACTGTGATCGCTGTCTTTCTCGTTCAAATGGAGACCACAGACTGAAACTTCCTAAATATCCTGAAAGTGCGATGGTGCCTTGTGCCACAATGAAATCTAGCATAGGCTAATTATACGACATTATTATGATCTTTGATAAATGCCTTTAAGTTTGTTGTTCAGCTATTTATATGTATCTTTTATGACGTCTTTGAGTTACATAGGAAGAGTACATGTAGTGCAAAACACTAAAAAGGCAGTTTTGGATTTATAGATAGTCCCAATGATATTTTAGAGACAATGTAATATACTATACCTACCTTACACCAACTCTATTAATTCTAGGGTAGGTCCCTTACTATCATTCTATTTTACTGTATATTTATTGAACTTGTACTTAATCTTTGTCTTTCTGAAGTTTTTCCCATTTACTCAGAGTCGACTTTGCCTGTCCTCTTTTTCACTCTGCATGATCAAGTGCTAGGGTAGCGTTAATATTTGCTTAGCTTTACTTTCTTTACTAGTTTCTTTTTTGGTCCCTGTGAATTGTCGTTAAATAAGCATTAGTAAATCTGCTGCGATTCTGAGTCGACAAAGGAATTGAGGCTATTTTAACAATTTGTTCATCAGGATGTCTCAATACATAATTTGTACCACCGTGCTTATATCTACGAATCTATCTGCCGATATACGGCGTGATCATGAAGCTACTCTTTATATTTTGGTTTTTTAGTTTGTTGATCAGAGTTACATCAGTGAGATCTTTACGTCGATTGTCAAACCTTTTTCACCACGACGGCAAACATTTCTCATAGTTTTGGGCTCCAAGTTTATGCCATTGATACGATAAGAAAAAGTGCGCGTTTTGAGTGGCCCAGTGTTTAGATTTGCGCCATTTGTCTCTTTCTTTCAGATGCATCTTTTTGTATACCCAGAATACCGATAAAATATGTATAATGGACTGAAGATTTGGCGTATTTCTGTCTACCTAAAAGAACAAAATAAAAATTTACCAATACTTGACTGTATGATTTTAAACCTCTGCTTTTTTCTAAATGGAAAAAAATTAACAAAGAAGGAGAACACGACTAACTTTCAAAATCCTACCATAAAAAACGATTACGCGCGAAAATATGTCAGAAAATTAAATAATTGAAGAAAAATTACAATCTAGGGTCTGACAGTATGGTCAATTAGACGCCTCCTGTCCCGAAGGACGAAAACTTTTACTGCTACACTATTACACACTATCGACTAAAAAAAATCGGAAATCGAAAAAAAATCGGCTAAAAAGAAATCGTGAGAATTGGCATGCAATTTAATATTGATCGGTACCTAGTTTCCCAATGTATGGACCTGTTCATTTTATTAGCTTTTCTTTTCTTATACATGTACTCTATCAACCTATAACTGGAGTTATAAATTACTTTTAATGGTTTTTAGCTTGTTGAGCTGGGTATGAATTGCTTTTCGTAATTTCAAGTATTTGACGCATGATTAGTAAATAATTTATATTACATTTTGGTAATATCCTAATACCTCGAAAAATATAGCTTGTGAGCCTTGTTAGTAAATGATGCGTGACTCAAATATTCAGCAGTGACACACAATAGATAGAGCCTCCCCGCATGCAACCGAGTCACAAATCAAACTTCATTAGCTATGTAAACGTTACTGAGCCCCGACAGGTACGTTTTCGCAGGTTGTCATAGTTGCTTTGATTAATGTTACAGTTAATTTAGGTCAGGCAGTTTTATCATTCGTTAGTTGATAAGAATTCATGTTATTATTAAACCTATGTGCGATAGTTTACTTATATTAACACGATTTTCACGTTTTTCTTCAAATGATAAGCTAAAGTTGGGTTAGTAGGTTTTGTCAGTTAAGCTTTAGTCAGTTTGCAGCATTAACACTCCTATGATTAACATTCTGTACACTCTTATGCACATACCTAATGGTACCCAAACATTGTATTTTACGGTAATCTTTGTCTCGTGACAAGCTTGTTCGTGATTTTCAAACGTTAGCTCGTGCCTAAACATTTTAACAGAGTTGCAATAATGCAGAAAGTCGATCCCGATACGAGTGACGGGCGCACTTTGAGGTTATGTCGGGAATTTCGTTCGGTATGCAAAATGCTAAATTGAATCGGACTCACCTTCATCGGGTGGTTTGTTTCCGAACGCGAATTCTCTAAATCCCCGCCAGTTGACGGTGTATCGTCCGCTGCGTCGCACCATCATCGAGGATGTAAACACGGCTGCGGCACGGGTCGGGTCGAGTGCTTAATAGCGGGCGGGCAGTAGCATTCTCCGGCAGATATTGGCAGCAGACGTGCGTGGCGCGGCGTCACACGCCCGCCGACGCGTCAGCTGAGAGTGCGTCACTGCACTCGCCGCCCGCCCGCCACAGACCGTCGCGTCGACCCGCCGCCGCGCTTGCGCAAACTTGCTTGCTTCTTACTAGCCGCCCGCCCAGTAATTTCGCAACTGACGCCAGTACGACTGCATTGTCTCTCCTTTTCGATTAGCATTTTAATTTAATTTCAAAGCGATTTGTAAATATATATTAGAGACCTTGAACTCGATTGAATAGAAACTACCCGACGTTAATTCCGAATTTAATATAGTTTTCTTTCATAATTAATCAAATAACTTTTGAAAATATCAAATTGATTAAACACTTGAAGGGGTGTTCTTTCTCTATTTATTCAGAGTTTGTAATTTACAGTTTTCTTTTCAACAAAAGTGGAAATAACCTGAAAAGGATGGGTAAATGGGTTTTGTATAAAGTTATTGTTTCACAAAAGTTTTAAACTTCGTAAAAGTCTAATTTTAAATAATATCAACAGGGATTTTATAAGGGAGACTATTTTTGATCGTGTTACTGTTTCAGATATTTTGATAACTAACTTATTTACTGACCCACACTTTGGTATCTAGAGTTGCGCCCAAAAGTACAACAATAGCTACAAAGTTCCATGTTTGATTTGTAATTATAATGCTTCGACAATAGCTTAGAAAGGTTACAGAATAGCATCGCACCTATTAGCTTTATGCGAGTGTGCAAAACAAATACGCCAATATGTTGTAGAGAGGTCTTACTCAAAGTGAATTTCTTAACTATTTACTAAATTATTACATTATGACAAATATTTTATTACATCTTTTCTCTTCTCAATTCTTAGCACAATTCTCCACTTCAGCCAATGAATAATAGTAAAGTAGTGTTGTCGAAATTCACTGGAAGAAAATATTTTCTAATATTTGAGAGCATGTCTTACTTGGAACGCAAATACGCGTAGCTTTCGAGCAAAAAATATGGTTAAGGTTGCAATTATTAAACCTATGTTTACATATTTTATCATTGTGCACAATAATATTATTTTGATGATCCCATAAACCAGCTGGGGAGAAAGAAATACTTTTTTAACAGCGCCCACGGTTTCTGCGTCGGTCGGGAACAAGGGCCAGTGACACACATCGGCGGAGAAGAACAAGCTCGTATTTGTTTACAATTACAAAAAGGAGTAAAATCTGTCGTTAATCTTAATTTTGCTTTTTTTTTTTCATTTATTATCCAAAGCAAAACAAAATAATTTACAGTGGTTCTTAAATGTAACTTACCTACTGCAATCCTTTTAACGTAATTATACGTAGGTAACTACAGTCGTGGTACAGCATAATGCGCTTTCTTTTTATAAAAGAAAATCGAAAGAAATTGTCTTAGAGGATGGAAAAATAAAAGAAAGGAGCTGCCCTAACTACGGAATGAACGTGTCTACTTATTAAGTAATACCTTTTGGAGGCGTTTTATATTTTTGGGACAGACATCTGACAGGAGGCCCAGCCAGCTTTGCTTATTTGAAATAAAATATACATTTTTCTTTATGAACTTGTTTGAAAATAAAATATCGATTCTTCCTACGTAAGAATCGTAAGCACAAATTCAACTACTTTAAATGGCAACGTTTTAATGTATCGAAAGGACTAAAATGAACATAATATTTCATGCTTTATAAAGTATAAAAAGAAAGCGATTTGTGTAAAAATGTACCTTACGATAAGGTACGTGGGCGGTGTCGATACTTATTAATTTTAATATGTTATTTGAATATCTACTGGTATTCAAAGAAGCCAGCGCTGTCGCATTCATCGAGTGAACAGTATTTAGTGGTTTGTGGAGTGAACTTCAGTAATCAAATCAGCAGTCCCGCAGTCCCGCAGAAATTATCATCAGGTCTTGTACCCGTGCCATATAATGTTTGCTATTTGCATGTTTGATTGTTGTTATTTGTCTGAACGTGTCCGTAACTCATATTCTATCGAAACAATGCGAGCAAGGGCTTTTCTTTATTAAAAAACTCAGACACATTTTTCCACAATCTATTTCATTCATAGCGTAAATTAATTGTTTTTCGGGATCATGGATAGCCATTATTTTGATAAGTTAGAGGAACGATTTTCTATTTTGTTTTACTAGTTTTTTACCAAAGATCGCGTGTAGCAACTATTATCAAAATTATTTCTGGAAAATTAGTGTTATTTATACATTGACCTACTAACAAATATACATTAGTTTATAGTGTTTGTTTTAGAGTCTAAAGACTGGAACTTCAATTTATTCCAATGAGTCAGGAACTGATAATGAATTGGCACTGACGTCGTCTATTAAGACTCAAGATTTTTTTAATGCTTGGTCTATATAGAGCATGTTATTAAAAAATCCACAAAAAATATGTGGAATACCCGGCCAGCCAACGCAAGAAAATTTGTAGATGACACGCGTAGAGATTGTTCTCAGTTTTTATTTCTCAGAAATTACGTCAAGTATCCACTTTGTAAGACAATTCGAACTGTAGTAAATTCATTAATATTATTCCCGTATTGCGTGTCCTAGTGGATTTAAGTACCTCGTTGAATTTTCGGCTATATTTATTTCTCGAACTCGTTGAGTGCCGGCGCAATTATTTTAACATACACGCATAACGGTTTACGATCTTAGGTACTATAAAAATGTGATGCTATTTCCATTTTGCTTATGCATACTTTACATTCCTGGATATATGTAGACTGTCATATTTACAAAATTTATTTAACAATATTACTGAGATAGATAAATTACATTTACAGGTACCTAGCACAATAGACGTCCAAAATGCAACGTATAATAATAATATAATAATAATAATATAATAACGCACACACTCAACATAGCCACGCACTAGGGAAACCCTGTGTCGCGGGTGTCATGAACACACACATGACAACCACAAATTACACCCAAACTCACGAGAGAAATAAATGTAGGTCATACAAATATTTCGCCCGGCCCGGGAATCGAACCTGGGACCTCGGCGTGGCAGTCCGGCATGGTAACCGTTCGGCCACGGAGGCAGTTAATTATATATTATATAAAAATATATATAAAAAGTATATTTTCCCCTTTCTCCTTAACTTACTTAGTATTAGTATTTGTGTGTATCAGTATTTGCATAAAGCAAAATAAATAAATAAATAAGTAAATAGAAAAAATAAAGATACCCACTGTAAAACAGCACAAACTATATAGGTACCTATACTTACATTACATTTTCAGTGTTCTATACATGTGTACATAACCGGTTGTAAAATATTTGTAATACTGTTTTCTGGCAATGGATCGTCATCAGCTCCCAAAGTACAGGGTTACCCTAGTTAGGGGACTGATTGATGGCATGTCCACTGTTTTTTGTCAGTTTATGTACAACCATAATTTGTATGTATTTTGTCTCCTAGTGTAGTCCATAGTGCCCCTCAGATCTTTGCGATTTAAAGCTCTGAATGGCACTGCAACTATTATAAACAGGCGTGTAGTTTACCATCCGGCGCACGATTTGTTCGTCCCGTTACTTGATATTAAAAAAATTAAATAAATAAAGGCACTCTTTAATAATATTTATTACGGTTATTATTTTTATTAATCTTTATTTTTCATAGCTTGTTAGTTGATTTGAACCACACTTGCGGACGTCTATGTGAAGGGTGGGTAATAAAAGTCTGCTTCGTCCTCTTTCACCTGCACGAACGTTCTGACAATGCGACAAGTATTATGAGTTTCACGTGCAAAAGGTAGGTTTTTGTGTCAGTGTCTAATGCAGTTAATTCAAGAAAATACTTGACAGTTGGTACATTGATACATATTAATTGGTTACCTAGTAACAACCATGTATCACCTCGTAAATTTTAAATAATATTAATATTTTTAGTAGAAGTCGAGCTCCTTGTGAAAGAGTTCGTCCAAAGTAGTAACTGCCACCTTACCTATTTCTGTCACCAAGCAGTAATGTGAGCATTACCGTGTTCCGGTTTTGAAGAGTAAGGGTGTCTGGTGAAATTACAGACATACCGAACTTGTCAACTATGCCTCAGGGTGACGGGCGCAGTGGCAGTGCCCCTCAGATCTTTGTGATTTAAGGCTCTGAGTGGCACGGCAACTGCTATGGACAGGCGTGTCGCTTACCGCCAGGCGCACGGCTTCTTCGTCTCGTCAGTTGGTATCATAAAAAAAATGTGCTAATGAGTTAGGTTAGACCGGAATGATAATATTTTTGTCTTTTAGCAGAACGAAGCTTTTTTCTTTTTTGTCATTTACACGGGTAACGCCAGGCTTTACGCCATTGAAAATTGAAGTATATCACCTTGAATAAGCACGATTTCATAAATATAATGTTAGGTGTAACATACACTGTGATGGGCGAAATAAACAATGGAGGTTCGCGAAAATACTGTATATTTAATGCTAAAATATAGTCCTTAACACTAATCTACATAGTCACTCTAGTAGGTACATAGATAGTAGATACATAGGTATCGTATGACAACGTTTATAGTAAAGTTAAATTACATTCCTTATAATTATAATGCATGCAATACATGTTTTTACAATTACTTAATATATATTCCCTTAATATGATACTTGATTTGTCTCCCTGCACGTATTTTATTTTTTTCAAACTAGTACAAATTTAATACTCTTGTATAGGACAATTAAAAGGAATATTTTTATTATTTCGGATTCTTCGGATCGTACAGTGTTAGTTACTATGTACCTTATAACAATCCAAACTAATATTATAAATGAGAAAGTAACAGTATTAATGAATTTTGGTATAGAGATAGATAATAATAATAATAACGCACACATTCAAACCCTGTATCGCGGTTGCCATAATTACACACGTATATAACTACAAATTTGCCGTCTACTAACTAAACAGCGACTAAGTGGCAAGTGGTCAAATATTCGTTTTAAATAGCAAAAGATATAGTTGCAAAATTGTATTTTAAAAATAGTTAAAATTAGTTAACGTTCGACTTATTAGGTGAAATATCATTAAACAATTTCATTATTCTAAAACTGAGTTATGGTTTTTTATGATATCTCAAAAAAATATTTTGTAACTTAGCCGCGTTTTAGTTGGTGGACGGCAGAAATTACATCTAAACTCGCGAGGGAAATACATGTTGGCCATACAAATATTTCTCCCGGCCCGGGAATCGAACCCGGGACCTCTGGCAGTCACGAGAGTAGGCAATTCCAAAAACCTAGGGGTTACTCGATACTAAGAAAACGAGGCCGGGTGAAGGGAAAGGCTTTGAGGACATCGATAACTAGAGTTTATTAATTAAATAATAGATAAGCAAGTAAATTGACATTACATCTTGTACCTAAGTACGAACATATACAACTTTTTGTTTGTTTTTTGAAAATAAAAGAAAATTCATCTAACAAGGGTACATACATACAACCGCATTTTTATATTTTTTTTATTACTAGTATTTTTGGTAGCCATAAAGGTATTATTATGACAGGTTATCTAGAGTTATCTTGGACTATAAAAATGAATGTCGAAATAAAACATTGTTGTTGTACGTTTTTATCTGTTTTTTTAACAGTTGCTACGAAATATTTCTAGAATCAATTTAATTACTTGTAAATGACAGAAAATTGCGCAGCGTCAATTACATTTACGTAATTGTTCAGTTGTGCCTGTTAAAATGTTAATTTAGGGTAGTAATAAAAGCTCCGAAAAGTAAATAAAAAACGAGCTTATTCAAATTATGAATATTATTTACCAATCTTCTGAAAACTTTTGTGGAAATAAAAACACGAAAACAACCGAATGAAATATTGAAAGTCCCGAAAATAACAATTTTAGAATATATTTGAAATATTTAATGTTAACAACAATGTTTAATTTATATTTCACGGAAAACTATTGATAACCATTTTTATTGCAAATCTTGCCTATTATAAATTGAAAATTGACTTTTCATGAACTTTATTGCATGTCAAACATGCCATCGTACGGAAATACTATTATGTATGACAACATCTGGAGGATATGATGTGGTGGATATGAACACTGGAGGACGTCTTTAAATCTAAAATTTCTCAAAGCCTGAAAACTAAAGTTTATAATCAATGCGTCTTGTCTACTTACTTTTACGTACTTACTTAAGGCGGGCGCCGAGACATGGCCGCTCACAAAGGAATACAAGCACAAAGTCAGAGTAGCACAAAGGGTAATGGAGTGCACCATGCTTGTCGACCGTATACCCAACGTGGAGATATGACAGCGAACAAAGTTGTAGACGTCGTCGGTACGTAGATTGCGAGGTTAAAATGGAGATGGGCAGGACGCGTTGCTAGGCAGGACGACGGCCGATGGACCAAGGCGGTCACTGAGTGGTACCCGGTAGGAGCAAGACGTCCTGCTAGATGGACGGACGATATCTTGGGGGTGACAGAAAGATTGTGGATGAGACTCGCACAGGACCGCTTGAGCTGGCGAGCAAAAGAGGACGCGTATACCAGCAGTGGATGTAAACGGGCTGAGATGATGAAGATGATAACATCATAGAGCAAACTTCGGTAAATTAGTATCTCTTTCGGATGTTTAGTATATTATTCGGAAGTAGGTAGTTTTTTTCGTAGAATTGTGATTTGAACAACTTCTTGATTGTTTACTAAATATGATTAATTTTCATGGTGTGTTCATTCATTCATCATTTTTATTTTTCAGTAATTCATTTAAACGTACCTCAGTTAGTATTACAGTTAGCCTCAGTTCGCTGCAAAGTCATTTGTTTTTCGGAATCTTTATTATTTTTCCATTAATAAATACCAGTTCCAGCCTTATTTTACAAATCTGCCATTGAATTTAAGTAAGTTGGTACTAAATCAAATTTACGCCATCGTTTAATGATAAATAAAACATAAATGAATTGAACTTATGTATATTTTCCATGTCGTTAAGCACAATCATAATTTTTATTAACTCTACCAATGTTAAGTAACTTAAAAATCTACAAATGCTCTAATATTGTGTACCCAGACCCAAATGTTAGGGGCAAAGTAAATATGATTAGATGCAAAATAGGTCTATAACAATAACAGAGTGTGACTCTACTTTTAGTTTGTCTTTATATAAGCAATCACGTGCCTGCTGAGCTTACAAAATTTGACGATAACCTGTGACCGTTTATCATTTTGCGATAATGCGTTTGTGCGTATTCGAGTCCAAATTTTTTATGACGCACGACTAAAATTGCTTGCTGCTAACTGCTATTAATTCCTTTAACGTAGTCTGTCATTTGTCTGTTATCATCAGCCTCGCAAAGTAAAGGAGAAATGGTATGAATGATAGGCGAATTATCTGTAACTCGTGCCTTTGGGTCATATCTCCAAATTGACTACTTTTTAGAGATTCTACAAACGAGATTAATCGCTTACTTTTTTATGCTACAACAGGTATTATGAAATTAAACATAATATACGTAAGTTGTTTCATGTAGTTTGAAATTTTTTTATGACTCTCACATTTTACACTTTTGACGTATGATCACTTGTGGCCAAGGGTACGAATTGATGCCATGACATGAAATCTTATCAAACTGTGTAAGGATGTAGGTAGGATGGTAATTAGGTATATGAAAATATTGATGATGACGGCAAATATTTCTAGAGTGGTTATTGATCATTACCGCAGGTAGGAAGTAATTAGCTCTTCTGTAGCTACTGAAACACAGAGTTGTTGTGTGCATTAATATTTCTGGTATAAAGGATTCTATTTTCTAACTTACAAATACAGTTGTTAACATCAGCTATGTTATGATTATTATTTGATGTACTTAATTAATGTTGAGATAATATTCAGTTACGAGTGGGCGCGTGCTCGGCAGACGATAGCGATAACAAGGGTCACGGGGTACCGTTATAAGAACAACTCGACCATCAGTCGGCAGTGTCTGTATGCCTCGACGTTGTTTTCTACACACTCTCAAAATTAAGTGAATTTAATTAACTAAACAAAATGCCTTGGACTAGTACTAACAGGTAATGTAAATCTTTATGGATTTTTTATATGTAATTTATTTTGAAAACTCCAATGAACTAATACGAAATAAATTTCAGAATTTACGCGAAACCTTCAAACACAGCTTCGGGTGAAGATGTTGGGGGTGGTTCCGTTACGGCGCGGTCAGGGCCGACGGCCGCAGCCGACTCCGGTGGGCGCTTCGAGCTCAGCGATCACGGTTATGGCAAGTGCTCCGTAAAGCTCCTGCACGTGCACCGCGACGGCGACTACCACAGCATCCGCGAGTTTGAAGTTAACACCGAACTGAAACTCGCTTCTGAATCGGCGTATGTACTCGGTGACAATAAAGAAGTAGTAGCAACCGATTCGCAGAAGAACACGGTCTACTTGTTAGCGAAAAAACACGGCGTTAAGACTCCGGAAGAGTTCGGTGCTGTGGTTGTAAACCATTTCCTGTATATGTACAAGCAGGTGGTCGAAGCAAAGTGTAGAATAGTGGAATACCCCTGGGAAAGGTTGCAGGCAGGGGTGCCTCACAATCACGCCTTCGTCTTTTCACCAACTGCTACAAGATGGTCTGAAGTGTCACAAGCTAGGCATGGTGAGTATACTAGCATTCAACTTTCGAAATTTACTTCGCAATATTTTTTATAATATTTACCATTGTGGTTTTAACGAACTGGTACTAAATAAAACGTTCTGTTGATAATACAGAGGCTGTGGTAGTTAAATCTGGTTTGAGCGGCCTTCGGGTCCTGAAGACTACACAATCAGCTTTCGTGGATTTTGTACAAGATGAATATACTACACTTGCTGATGCAGCGGAAAGAATATTCAGGTAGGCAAACAGAAAAAAAAACATTTATAAAAATGGAAATACATTCAGTCGGTATTCATACTTATGACAAATTGCATTAGCATAAAATAAAAAATATTATTTTGAATTATTGAAAAACAATTTAGTTCTCTATATAAAAATCCTTTGTCGCCATTTTATCGCGTTCATTTCCTATATTGTAAATTTTCTTTAAAGTTGTTTGTTATCATAAGTAAGAGCACCGTCTGATACAAATAGGTATATACCGTTTTGCAACATATGAAATTAGTTACGAATGTTTTAAGTACATAACATAGTTTTTCTTATTCTATTGTTTTATAGTAAAATCATGTGATTGATAAACTCTATTGAGTCCAGTTACGCGATTATATATGTTTAAAACAGGTTAATAGAGTTGTTTCATGATTCTATGTATTATACTAAAATACTAGACTACTGACTGTGCAGCAGTGAACGGTAAAACCAAAATTAGTTTTTGTGACACTGTAGAATTATATTATATTATATAAATAAAAAATTACTATTTAACATTTAACAATTATTTGGCAATCACAAGGTTAATTTGTTTCTGCAAATAAGAAAGATATCATAACAATATTTTGTTCTACAGTACGGTAGTGGAAGCGGAGTGGACATACGACAGCATGCGAACAGCAAACTTCGACAACGCGTGGTTGACCGTAAAGGATGCTATTCTAGACAAGTTCGCTGGTCCTCCCGATACAGGTGTCTACTCCCCATCAGTACAGCACACTCTTTACCAGGCTGAAAAGGTGGTGCTTGAAAAAGTTTCGGAGGTAAGACTGTTTAATATAAATGGAATCTTTAAATCGATAGTAAGTAAATTTTAATACATGAGTTTCATACAGACTTAGTTCGTAAAAGTTTTTAAGTGTTTCTATGCGTTTAAAATTAGAAGAACAAAGTTTACTGTCCGTGGAAGCCGGTGATAAACTCGAGCAATAACAAAACATAGCCTTTGCTTTTACCGACATATTTATCATTATTACACAGTTTTTTATGTAGAACTACACGTAATAACATAATCAGGTGTACTTTTATGTCTAATTTTTAATTATTGTACACCCAGCCAGTGTAGTACGTTTTTAATTCGGCAAAGTTCTAGTGTTAATTTTTGAACTCACTCAAAACTCGTACTAATGGAATTAATTACATTTTTTTATTCTTTCACTGTGAAAAACCATTAGAGAGTACGCACGTGTTAAAATACTGTGTAAATATGTTTTAAATATTTTATACTGAATGCTTCTTGTCGTAGATGTAATTCCCAAATGAAACATAAATATGGTCTCTTTTCTAATCAAAATTACACTTAGTGAAAATTATCTTTCTACCGACGATATATATAATAATGTAGTATTAATAAAGTAGTACTAGTAGTAATATACAATAATAAATATACATGTAAACGTGGTTCATTATGATAATCAATAAGGTTAGGAACTGTGTAGACTTTCTTCTTACAAATAACAATTGCTTCATAACCCAGTTTAATTCACTACTAACGAAAGTCATACACACAATGTGTATAACGCCGAACGACATATTAAAGAATTTATCAAAAAAATTGTTAGTTTGTCCTAAACTAAACCCTTAGCTTAGGTCAAACTAACAATTTTTTTCACTTTGCCATCTTTGAAGAATAATTTCGACGGCCAATGCAAAATTTCAAACATTAAAAAATATATAAAATTTCATTATCTGCGAATTTTTTAAATTGTTAAAGTAAATTTTTGGTGGTAACTTTCTTAGCTAACCTTTTTAAATGTCGTGTTTCTTTTTATATAAACCCTGTATAATGGGAGCAAAGTACGAATATATGGAGCAATAACACGCAAATGGTTGGTAATTATACTTAATCTTGTGTCATGTGCTTACTATCAGTGAGGTGCCAAAGTTCCTTTTGTACTCAGATTGTGCACTATGAGTATGTTCATCTTGTATGTTAACCTCGTCTTAAATGACGTACAGTCGTCATAATCATTTCTGCCGCGTGATACGTGGTTACGGATATTGTACAGTTGATGTAATAACTAGGTGACTTTGTTAAGTGGATTTGTTACTTATGAAGATTATTCTTCATGTCGTCCTTTATTAAATATGCAGGCGAAGTACAATTTTGCCACTTTGCGTCTTAGACATATTTCAGTTCCGTCAAAATGCTGTCTGGTGTTTTGAGAATAGAACTATATAGACACAGTGATCGTAATATTTTCGTAGCAGTAGAGCTCCTTGCGAAAGAGTTCGTCTAAGGAAGTACTGCCACCTTACCTATTTCCGCCGCCAAGCAGTAATGTCAGCATTACTGTGTTTCGGTTTTGAAGGGTAAGGGTGCTGGTGAAATTACAGGCACATGGGATTTGTCAACTTATGTCTCAGGGTGACGAGCGCAGCGGCAGTATCCCTCAGATCTTTGTGATTTAAAGCTCTGAGTGCCACTGCAAATTTTATGGATGGGCGTGTAGCTTACCATCAGGTGCACGACTTGTTTCTTCAAGTCAATAATTGTCATTCATCATCAACCTATTTATACATCCCATTGCTGGGCACGGGTCTCCTCACAGATGAGGGTTTGGGCCATAGTCCGTCTCGCTGGCCCAATGTGGGTTGGGTACTTCATACGTTTTCTATGAGTTGTGAATCTTCTTCGACGTGCAGGTTTCACTTTCACAAATTTCAAATCGTATTTCGCACATCAATTTTTCACATCAACTTTATATTTTGTGTACTGTCGCGCAATTACATTCTCAGTTACCGTACGATCCCACTATATTAACAACGAAAAGACGTAAGAATATTGTTCTTCATCATTCATTGCACGCAGGGTTCTCTCACAGATCGTTTTTTTACCTAGCTTGGACACCAGTCTCCCATTTTAGCATTGTTTAAATCTATGTCTGTACAAACTGTCATTGTAATATTTGCGAGCTATTGGGAGAAATAAAAGAAAGATCCGAGAAACTAAGAGGTGCGAGCCCGGACTTGAACCCACGGCCTCTGCTTGAGAGGCGGTAGGTCATACCATTAGGCTCCCATGCACGGCTTCGTAACAGTATGTTATATTATTGTATCAATATGATATATATTATATATTTGAGTCTGCATCTATTCTATAGTTTAGTCAATATTGACATCAGTGTCAAAATAAGATGCTGAGTGCTATTTATGAGCATCGCGTGCGGCCGCACTGATAAGTGCATCTCCGTGGTTATATTTCAACCCGGGACGGCGTTCGTCACTTGTGTTTACCGTTTGTCGCCCTCGGCCGATAACGATCTTCTTATTACATGATTTTGTATACTCAATTAAATATAGATAATTATCGATAATTTGCTTTAATATAATTTTGCAATTTGACTCTTTGCATAATCTACATTCAGAATTTATACAGTTTAAAATTTTTAAAAAGCCGTGTCTGTCGCCTTTCCAAGTAGAGGTTCGTGGGTTCGAATTCGACTTTGAACCTTTACTTTTTCGAAATTCATTTGTGAAATTTAATTTGCAACTTACCATGAGCTTTTCAATGAAGGAAAACAACGGTGTGTGTGAAGTTCTCAATCAGCGTTGGATCTGCGTGGAGTGCGTGCAGCCCTCTCATTATGAGAGGAGGCCTGTGCTCAGCAGTGGGAATATATAGACTAACAATAATATTTATAATTATTATATTATAAATATATGCCATTACTATTCTTTCGGAGGCATTTCTTAGACAAAGATAAAATGCAGAAGTTATTTCGTATTAAAATGTTTTAACAAAGTACTAATTGATAGCTTTTCTAGGTTTTTTTTATATAATATCAAGTGACGGGATGGACAATTCGTGCGCCTGATGGTAAGCTACATGCCTGTTCATAACGGTTGCAGTGCCATTCAGAGCTTTAAATCGCAAAGATCCCCGTCCTCCTGAGACACAAGTTGACAAGTCCCATGTGAAGATGATACAGTAGTTCTTTTTAGGATAATTTATGTGCCTCGGTTAGTATACCTCTCACGATAAGCTACGTGACATGTGTCATATGAATAAAACGTCTGAAATCACGCGACGCGACGGTCTAATATTTCTTATCAGAATTCTGGTGCTGACCGGTCCGTTATTTATTTATTGACTTCGTTAATGATAATACAAATCAGAATTTGAGGATGTTGTTGTTTAAAAATAAGTTGCTTGACGGACTTCCTTGTTTTATTATTATTATATATTTAGAATATAACCAAAACTCGCGACAGGTAACCAATTATCACGTGTTCGGATACTATGAGCACTATATGGTATTAGGAGAGTATTAAATATCAAGTGCTCTTTACTAACATTAACGTACTATATGAATTCACAGTTAAGCAAAATAGATATTCATAAAAAAATTGTGTAACCTTTAATGGCGCTTTACAAGCTTTTTCCTTATAGTGCTGATAATAGGGATAGACTAATCCCCCACAGTTGACTTTAACCATTAATACCTATATCTGGTGAATATTTTCAGCACTTCATGTAAGTTTATTGAAGTAATAGAAAGCTCAATAAACAAATTTGAATCAAATGCCCTATTATAATCAATAAGTACGATAACAAAGTTATAAATGAATTTAAATACGATAACAAAGTTATAAATGAAAACTAGAGAGAGAGCCATTAATAAGTTTTTGTTTTATATCATACAAATAATGATCTGATATACATTGCTTCTTGTTCACAGATCACCTGGATAAGAATGACAATGCCGAACAAACATTACCTAAATATCGACATGTCAAAATTCCCCGCCAATGTGACGAAGGGAGACCCTCGACACCACATCTACCAGCCCATAGACAAACCCGCAGGTCTCATCTACGCCCAGCTACGCCGGAGACCGAAAAGCCGCTTGTGACAGTAGATGCTACGGAAAAGCTACGCAACGTAGCAATTGAGGTCTCGTCACATCATAATGATGTTCATTTTAAAATATCACATTTTGCATACAGAAACTGTTTACTTTTAAAGATTGATAGTTGTTATTGTTAGATATCGAAATACTGATGATGAATTACTATGGATGTAAATAGTTATTTGCAGAAATGTATCATGGATAGTTTTTGCTCAAAGTGAGTTTGCTTGTATTGTGAAAATTATATTAATTTCGATATGAATTGATTACATTATATTACATTATAAAATCGTAATGCAGTTATAAAAACTCGTTCCATAATTGTTTAAGTGTGATTTTTGTACAAAATTATATTTTCTTGTTAATTAATTAATTAGGTGTTATGTCTATTGAGTTTTTTAAATCTATGTTATGTCTAGTCAAGTTTTAGTAGCAAATTCTGTATGAATGTTATTACCTACATAAATACATCACTATTTTAATATATGATATATAAGTACAAATAAGTTTTACTTTTTTTACCATTTTTACCTTAATATTGGAAATAAAGAACGGGCCTCTAAATCCGTAAGGACATAGGTGATTTCGTAGAACTGCAATATTTAAACAACTTCCAATATTACAATAGTCAAAAATGTTACTGCAACAAATAAAAATAATTTCATTTAGTGGACATTTAATACAAACACGTTGCTTACCTACGTTACATTTATGACCTTTACATTTTTATGCGATTTCAACATATAAATAGATATTCATTGATTGGCAATAGGTAAATATGAAAAAACATGCCTACCGATGGGATTTTTACCAAGTGAAACCAAAAAGGCGAACTAGCAAGTTACTCTTAAATAATAAATCATTCACAAACGTTTCGTGCCGATAATTTTGTCAGCGAGTGCGTAGAGCTCTTCGACTGTCTGGAAAAGAAAGAAAATCAAGGTTAGCTGAGACTTTTGCTTTGTATGTAGGTATTTTTTTTTCGTGAACAAATACAAAGATCATTAAAAACTCTAAAACAGCGATGCAATCTAAAAATAAACGTAAAACTGGAACAATGCAAGCTAGCTGCACTACTTTCGTACGAAATTTAATTTAATTCAGTTGAATAGTTTTAAAAGTAGACTGGTTTTGGTTACATGAGTGCAATTTAAAAAAAATATTGATTTTCGCACAACTAATATTTTTTTTGCATATGTAGGTCGTAAAGTTGTCCTAACTTAATCAAAAATTTTGACCACTAGTAAACCACCTAATACACAATACAAATATTATTTATTGCACACTGGGACAAATACATAATAAAAAAATACAGGTAAATAAATATATAGGTAGGTAAATAAATAAATAAATAAATAAACAACCGGCGGCATCATTGCTGAATAGCAATTTCTTCCAGGCAATCTTAACACAAGGTTACTCCATTTGTTTTCCATCTCTTTTGTAATTTTATTTAAATGATTACTCACATATCTAGTTGTCATAAAAAAGGCCCGCTTGCTACTAAGAGTATTACAAACTACTGCGGCTTGAAGACCGCTATCAAATGCAAAAAAACCTCAGCTGTCTCCGATGCAATTATTAATTGAAATAAAATTGTGAGACATTTCCATTCAACTAATTAGAGGAATATTTTTCGGTTTTTAGTGTTAGATAAGTAATAGGTGTTGGGGCTTTTTAACCGACTCCAAAAAAGGAGGGATTTTTTTTATATGTATGTTTTGCGATAATTCGTGAATCGATTTTGATGATTCTTTTTTTTGTTGGAAAGAGGGTACGTCAGAAGTGGTTCCATTTAAATTTGAAGAAAATATTTCACCTGGTGGCAAACTAGGGGCTGAATGATTTTTGAGGTCGGTGTTTTTAGTACTGTGTACTGAGATTATTTAACTTTCTAATGGACCTATATTTATTGTAAGCCTATTCAGAGTCGATTAGATTAGTCGATAATCCAACAGAGACATATAAAACCAAAACAAAGATCAAAATTGATTGTCTACGATTCAAGTCAAGGACTAGATTTAATTCAAAGCAGTTCATAATTTAAAGCGGAAAGTACAATGCCAAGGCCCCTGATGCTTTTATTTGCTGAATATCTACTTGAATCCGGAACACAACAATCCATCTTTTTCTTAATAATAATTAGTTTATGATCGGACTACATTTTCGTGGTATAAAAAAAATAACAAAAAAATTACCAAAAAAAATAAAAATATATTTATTTTATATATATAAGCTAGCAACAACCATTACAGGACTAACCTAATGCAATAGTGAAGCCAAAATTATCACTTGTTCAACATTATTAACAACATTAAAAAATATAATTTTAGTACATACAATATAATTTTTGATAAAGTAAAAATTATATTGTATGTACTAAAATTATATTATACCATATTACATTACAAACTTTCATTATTTCATAACATATTGAACTCACACCGAGAACAGGCAAGTAGATTAATTTGCCCATCAATAACGTTCAAAGTCCTCATCGCTCTTATCAGTAGTGTTCAGCAGATTGGTTCCTCCACGAGGAATCGCCAACAACTGAGGCCGGCGCCGGCGCCCTACATACCCATCGGGAACGCACACACATCATTAAATTGGTTTGTAAATGTGTGCGATGTTTTCCTTCTCCAAAAACTCATAGTCAACTTTAAATTAAATTTCACACATAAATTCCAAATAACTGTGAGGTGCATGCGCGGTTTCGAACCCACGACTTTCGCTTGAGAGGTGGTGGTAGATCTTTATTAAGCTACCGTGGTCTTTTTTGTATTTACGCTTATTACATTTAATTTGTTACTCTTACTTTTAAAATTAGGTGATAACAATTTTATGTGAAATCTATCAAAAACGCATTTTATCGTTACCAACCAGTTTATTGAGATGTCCTCAACAATATAAATAGGCAGTCTCTCAGCTATACATTTCTATGAACCCGATTCCATAAAAATATCTTTTATAAACAATATAGCCCAGTAAAATATGAGCATTAGGTTTCTTGTTTTAAAGGGGACATTACAAATACATGTACTTATCATATCAAGCGCTGAGTAACATATATTTATCTTTAAGTTAATGAAATGTGACTGATGTCCATAATGTAACCGGTTAGTTTTAGTTTATAATAAACAAAGACATATTAGTTTGTGTGCTGCTGGTTCTAGTACACGTTCGCGTTGGATTTGACTATCGGTGATCTATTGACCCGTGTCGTTCGTTGATACAAGCGGCATTATTGGTAAGATTAAAATGTTTAATAGAGAGTAAAAGATTTCATCGAAGAAAAACATAATGGGAAATCCAGTTCTCAAAAAAGATTTAAAAAGTCACGAGAGTAATGGCTAGGAAAGTAAGCACATCGAAACCATTGGCCGGTTATTCTCGGACTAGTGTTTTGTTTTGGCAATTTTTATAACATTTCACGATACAATATTCGAATATTAAATAATAATGCACGATAAAAAAATTGAATACTTAAATCATAAAAATTGCCACGGAAATTAGGTAGTGAACACTAGTCCACTAGTCGGAAAATAGCGAAGTAGTAAAATGGTACAAAAATAAACAATAATCGACAATAGCAATCACTGAAGTAGAACCAACATATTCGCAGTCAGTCGTTTAGGAAAACCTTCATGAATATAAAGTACATGTTCAGGTCCCATAAGGAGTGCCTTTAATATTTTATTTACAATAAATGCCGTACCTAATAGACTTGAGTGGACTTAACAATTTTGTATGTATGTATGTAAACACTTTATTGTACAACAAAACAAATTACAAATCTTAACAGAATTTAAAACGTTATTGTACAAAGGCGAGCTTATCCCATAAAGGGATTTCTTACTGCCAACCTTTGAAAAATTGAAAGGAAAGTTGTCTCTTGGGTTGGCAATAAAGTTTTGTTTCCGGAAAAGTAAATAATGTTACACAAAGGCCTTATAAGTCTGTACTTATACTGTTTATAGATATAATACGTATCTAAGTAAGTACAACTTTATGTACTAGAAGAATGCATAAACATGAAAATAGTTTTCGTTTTATTTACAACCCTAGTAGTACCAATCACATGAAAGCTCTCATGAACGAATGGATTAATAACATAGACCTGCACTATTTTCTTAGCCCTGGCATTGATTGAACGACCTTTGCCTTCGATATCGTTTGATCAGTTTGTCTGCAATGTCTTGAAATTGTATAGTTCTATCAACGACTTTTCAGAGTTCATATAAAACTAATAAAAATGCTTAAGGCAGCTTCTCACGGCCCATTTTTCCACGGGTCGCACCGCTAAAGGTCGCGCCAACACCGTTGGAGGCGGGGTGCCTGATCGCGCGCGTCGTGGCACGTGGTCGCCTGTGGCGGCTTGTTTGGATCCGCCGAGTGTCGGTAACTTCAGAACCCATAGTATGAATACGTAAAACAAACTACTCATGTTCAATTCATTAAAATCTTAACGATTTACCTTGACCAGCGCTTGTTGAATAATCATCCACCAGCGTCGTTTCTTTAGCTTTTTTTTAGTACGTTGTAACCATTGCAATATATAAAAGTGGCCGCAAAAATAGCTATGCGTTTTTCATATGAAAGTTCCGAACGGTAGCTCGAAGCAGCTCTCGATACACACCCGAAGACTCTCCACCACGCGCGCGCTTGGGCGGCGGCCCTCTTCTCAGGGCACGTAGGTAGCGCGTGATGGCGCGTGGTGGCGCGTTGAAAAACGAGCCGTAGGAAGCCGCCATTATAAGATTTTCCCGATGACATTAGTTATATAACTTTCTTGTATCTTTCTTTCATCACAGTACTACAAAACCTCGTGGTGTAGCATTTCGTTCAGGATTGATGCAATATTACCTTCACTATCAATAACTTAGTAAAACATAACTAAGCGTGTGTTCATGATGCTGAATACAGTTTAAACGCGCCACAAAAATCGAGTGCATCGTGATTAATTGGTGCTATTCAAATAAAGTCATAGGTCAGATGTAACTAACTTCCAACCGTCTGTAACCGGTTTTTGTCCGATCGCTATCTTACCGTGTATATAATTTGTAATATGGTAAGAGACTAATAAGTTTAAAAGGTGATAGGAACTATTGATAGGAAGACCCAGTTATGTCACTTCTAAGTTATGTAGAAAATGGCGCATACCGCGTTTTAGAATATATATTTATTGTAATTGTGTAAATTAATTAAATACACAATGAAACAAGTCTCGACTTTACATGAATATTTAAATTGGAAATAAGCTACACTTAACTCTGTAGGTGAGAGGTAAAGAACATTAAAGGCCAAATATTAACTTTTACCACAGAGGGTTTTAAAGAGAATGAGGCTCTTAACTAGACATTTAAAATCAATGTTAAGGTCAAAAAACAACGGTTCCCATTGCGTAATTTTTATTTATTTTATTCACTTATTTAAACTTAATTGCACACAAAACAATACAAAAGGCGGACTTAATGCCATTTGGCATTCTCTACCAGTCATCCGGAGAGCTGGGTTCAAAATAATTAACAGGGGTGCATAACATGATAATTAAAACAGATAGGAAGAAGTGTGTAAATAATTGCTTTTATAATTATTTTTAGCATTCTAAAGCAATTAAATTTTTTATTGAATTGATATTCAATTCTTTTTTGTGAAATTTCTCGACAAGTTTGTTATAATTATTAATACAAAGATCGAACACTTAGAAAAAATACCTTTGATCCGGCCGGATTCGAAGCGACGTCTCCTATCAAAGTAATGTGGCTAAAACAATGTTTGCGAAAACATTTAAATTCCAAAATATGGACTTAAGGTCCTTTACCCCTCACGCAAAGATTAAGTAAGGCATTAATTATGTATGAAATATTTAGCTATAATTTGAATATCATGTGACAAATAAATAAATAAATGATACAAACCGTTAGATTTTTAAGATTCTTGATATCATTAGTTTCGTACTTGATTGTGGCGTACATTTCGTCGGTGAAGCGCACACCCTTTTCGATATCAGCCTGCTTTTGATCCTCAATCTCCTGTCGGCACCTTTCCAACAGCTGTTCCGACGTCAATTTCTCTCCTTCTTCTTGTTCCTCAACAACGTTTTCGTCTTCCGTGAACTGAGGAGATATAACACCTTAATATGTTTTCTAATGTTGGCTCTAGATTCGTAATAGTACAAACAGTATAAGACAAACTTAACTAATAAGTAACTAAAACATTTTTAGTTTTTTATTCGTCTTGATTCCTTTGCCTAATAAATTAAGAGTAAGCAACATCAATTTAACAGCATTTTATAGGTATAGAAAGAGTTTGCTTTAGTTCTGTTTCTACGTGTTGTTCTGGCAACCAAATTTAGGAAGTAAACTCTAGTAAGTAACTTTAGTGAAATGAACTGAATATTTAAAACAAAAAATCAAGTAATATTATCCTTAATTATTACCTGTTCAACTTTTTGAGAAGTCTTCAATTTTCTATAATAAGCATCGGCTCGCTTCTTTGACGCCTTGGCGACTTCTTTATTGACCATTCTCCAAAAAACGAAGACTGGATGGTGATATAGTTCTGGAGGACATTCTTGCAATGGTGTTTTTCCGATTAGAATAAGACGTTTTAGTCTTTCCATTTCATCCATCTGCGAACAAAATGGTTGTGTTTCGTTTATTTACATAGATTTAATCTTCGAATATACGTTACTATACAAGTAATTTACTTATTTTATGTAGGCTGCAGTAACTATTACTTTGAATGAAATAGTATTTATTTCAGAAAAAACTTAAGAAAAATATAAGTTACATAAGGATTCACAAAATAATTTGCAGTAAGTAAAGGGGGAAAATAACAATTAGAGCAAAATCGTTTATCAGCTGCAAGAATTCCAGTTGATAATTGGTTTCTCCGTAATTTGATTTCAGACTAAGTAATTAAGTACTGACTTTTAAGCGGCAGTTTCGACCATTTATTGCATTCACCAAATTTCGTACATGTGTAGGTACTTTCGCTACGTTTACATGGCCATATTTTGCTGAACAAAGGCATGAGAATTTAAATTATTAACGTTTATATTAAGTAAATTACACGTATAGTGGTAATTAAATTAGTATCTTTAACATGGAATCAGTAAAATTTTATTGAAATGAAACAAAATGCATTTATTTTTAGATTTGACCAAGAGAAAACAGCCTGAAAAATTAAAAATTGTAACAGTTAACATTGATTTTGTAACATTATTAGTTAAATGAAAGTTTACTAATAAAAAACTTTTTCAACTAAAGCGTATGAAATTTACAAGAACGCATCGCCAATCTCGAACTACTTGACAAACCTGTATTAGTAGAAAATTAAAACAAATCAATGAAAAAAATTACAGTCGAGTAATTTTTTAAAATAAAGAAATCAAAATAGCCTCCCAGATTTTTGAAGGAACAGTGCATTTTTAGGGATTTTAATATACAGTTATTTTTAACTTATCAAGATTTCAATCAATACGATGTAATTTTAGACAAAATTAGATATGTACTTAAGTGTTAGGCAATTTTAATACTTGTAATTTAAAACACTGCTCACGTAAGATAAAATTGCATATTTATGAATTATAAAGTTAGATACTTACAACCCTCTCAGAAATACGTTTATTGAGGTTCTCCTCAATAACTTCGCGGATTCTGTCCTCCAGATCATTCATGTACGATTTATCCGTCAGCCGTACTAGGTTGGTGCCCATGTGTTTTTCCAGTCTGGCGCGGACATGCGGGTGCGCGAAACTGCATCATACAAAAAAAATACGGTTTCATATCAATTGCATTTATAGAACAGACCTATTAATTATGCATATCAAAGTTGTCCTATCTACACACTCTTGTACTATCTCTGTACAATTGTAGGTTAGGACTCGTCTGCTCTCGTCAGAGGTTTAGCCAGGACTGCCTTTGTCGTCTTTTGTCCAAATGCAAGTTGGTTTAATTTTGAATTCCCGCCAGTCTAGTCAGTCTATTTTTTGGCCGGTCTTTGTGGTCATCCATGGAGACTGGAGATTTGCTGCGATAACACTGTTACATTGGTACACATGACGAAGGTTTCAAGATCCTTTTCGTTTGTTATACCATAATGATACTAACACAAGGACAAATGTGATACACATGTTTAACTTATTGTAAAGAAAATTTATAGAAGAAAATAGCTATAATAGGTACTACTTACGTTACTCTGGAATTAAGAACGATTTCTTCATTAAAAATAAAGACATCGAATAGGTGAAATTACCTTGGCAACTGAACAATTTTATATGTTACTTAACAAAAACCACGGTAACATTTGTGTACAAACAATGTAACATATTTCACAAAAAATATACATATCTTACCGCGCAGAAATTCGTTATTATCCCGTTGTCTTTTAAATACTAAGTAGAGCCAGACGGCCTATCTGTCGGCGCCGTAGACTTCCAGTACTTTTGATGCTAGGTCTTGTGTCATAGTTGAGACCTTACCGTGCCATACGATGGGGCTGGCACGGTGTGGCACGGCCTCCAACACCACGTATGAAATTGCGTGTAAGGTGGTTTTCACACCAGTAACAGGTTTTTCATGTACGCCGCAAATTCCTGATTATCCGCAGAAGTCGATAGTCGAACATAGCATTTAACACTTTGGTAATTCATTAATTAATGAACTGAGATCATTCTTCCAAGCTTGCCTATGAATGTAAGCAAGTAAATTTTTATGTAAATATTATACCTGTATTGTTTACCCAAAAAAAATCTTACACTTCGTTTAATAATTTCAACAAAATCAGGACCAACGTTCATCTTTTCCTCAAATAATAGTTTTCTTGGTATCTCATAATCTTCGTAATGATAACTTTTTATTATATATTGGATAACACTTCATATAAAACAGCTTACGGTTAAAAGATTGATTTTACTATCAGAGTAGTTGAGTTTTCCCCACCAACAAGTGTACTTACAGCATTATCTTTCGTGACTTTTGAATGTTACGACGAACGTTGTACGCGATTTGGTAACTTGGTAAAATTTTCGCCATTAATACCGCAAATGGGCATAATAAAATCGAACAATATTGTAGACGATAACCTGTCGAGACAGGTGTCTAATTACTGATGGTTTTATCACCTCTACGCAGTTGCACACATGTTCACGTTTGACTTGTTTAATCGTTACAAAGTTCCCATGGTGAAAGAATGTAGATTCGACGCCAGGGATTGTTTTTAATAATAGTTGGTGCAAATTCACTATTCTGGTACGCTGAAGTAATTCAGAACGAATTTCGTGACGGAATTCTACTAACAGTACTATCGGAGTTCCTTCACGAAACTTTTTGAAAGACTGAAGCAATTTTCTACAACGCCCCGTTTGAATGGCATAATGAGTTTCGGGTTTACAAGTTTATAGTAAAATAAGGCTATCATCCCATCTTCATTCTTTTTGGAAAATTAATAAAATATCATTTAAGAAGTTTATAGTCAATCTACCCGATGATGAAAGCACTGAAAATACTAATACAAACAAAAATTAAATAGTACTAATTATTTGCTATTAGGATGTTGAAACTTCGTGTTTCGACATAGGCAAAATGACTGTATGATTATGATATAAATTTATATGTGATCATCAAAGAGCTCAAAATATTAATAGAAAGTAATAGCATTTCGACAGTATTAACTTATTTAGTAGTAGGTAGACAAATTTAGGATACTCCTACTAGCATCCCGACGATGCTAATAGGAGTTTCCTAAATTTATCTCATTTATCCTAAAATATTAAACCTCGTAACCTCCATTAATGTAAACTTTTAGTAGGCACAAAAAACAGAATTACTAGAGAAAAATAAAAGATAATCTGTGATTTTACCATTATTATTTTATAACTAAAAGAAGGTGTACAAATTATACGAATATTTTAAGCTTTATTTGCCTTAAAATTTATTTTAAGATTTTATTTAATAATTGTAAAAAAGGGGTTTTATTTAGAAATGGAGTTACGGAGTTTTCAAATTTAGCCGACGAATCTACTGAGACCATTTAAATCATTGTCTGGTTTGCAATAGTTAGAAGACACGAAGTGTCTACAGGGCGGTGAAAATTCAGCGTCGAACCATAGTCAGTATGAATCCATGGTAAGAAGGGTGTTGTTATGTGAAAGTATTTTGTTAATACATAAGCAAATGTTTAGTAGTGAAAATACACATAATAATAAAAATATAAGATTGCACGTGTCATTGAAAGAAATCTCTTATCATTTAAAATAAATTTATTGTAGCTATCACTACATTTTTCACAAGCTATGCACATTGAAATTTAAATAAAAAGCCACACCAGGCCACAGTATAAAAAAAATGTTTTGCCTTTTTTCTTTTGTTTAGCTTTTTATGGAAATTAGCTGTACAATGTTATTCTCTGCGTTTAAGATGAAAAATAATTTCAACACAGTAGATACAGATACATATATGTATATATTTTGTCTTAGAACTTTAGCCGAACCTATGTTTGCGATAACAAAATATATGCATTAGAAGTTATTGCATAATAAAATATTGACACGTGACCTACATGCCAATATCATTTTAATCACACGAAACACAAGTGTCTAAATTGCGCATGATGATACGTTTATCGTCTCGTCACAATGTTAATATCTTAAATATGAATTACTTGCTATAGCTTCACGGATGGCAACAAAGTGACCTGAAGGTATAATTAACCAAATCTATATATCCAAAGTGGTAAATTCTATATACGTATATCATGCACATTTGACAAAAATCAATATTATGCTAACGAATTTCAGATATATTTAAAATTGAAACTGAATGATATGCCTTGGATTTATTGACATCAAGGACCTGCTAGACCCAGTTACAGCTGGGTATGCAGATGACAGCACTGTTACAGAGACACATCTATCCAAACCAAAAGATAGCAGGGTAGCCATCCCTTCGTTAAGAGAGGCCTTAATGGACCGGACAAACTTGACCGTCTAGTCTCGTCTCTCAATGGGGAGATGATAATCTGGTCAATATCCGCAAGTACGAATCAATCCGATTTGACTCCTACTTTACGAGATATATCTGTCCCTGTTACTAACATCCTGGAGCTTCTTGGCATAACGTAGACCTTAACCTTGGCGCTAATATTGAGTGACATGACAAACTGCAGCCAAAAAGCTAGGCATCCTTAATAAAGTAAAGCGATATTGCATGGAGTATTGCAGTTACCTGTGGAATGGCTCAATGAAATATAACACCGCAAAGTTGCCTGTCTGTCGGTTTTCTTCAGAATATGCTTTTGTGAGTATGCCAATAGGCTCATTCCGCTCGCCCCATTTTACCGTCAGACACCCACACGTATGGCGGGATATCAACCATAGTTGGTCGAAATTACCTTCAAGCGTACTAATCGCCTTTCGTCATATTTCATTATGAGCACAGTCCAGGAATGAAATTTTCTGTCTGCGATGCTTCTAAACACCTACAATTCGACATTTCTTAAGGTGCGACTGAATAGGCATCTTCAGGGTGAGCTCCTTGCGTCGTATAACCTACCTTTGCTCCAGGGCTAGGCAGTGGTCCAGAGCAAGTCCCAAGTTGATTTTCGTGAAATTTGAATATGGAGGCAAATGAACCATAAATGGTTCATTTGCCTGCTTCCGTGGCCGAACGGTTATCATGCTGCACTGAGAGAAATAAATATATTATCTCTGAGTTTGGGTGTAATTTGTAGTTGTCTTTGTGTGTGTCCTTCGTACCCGCGATACAAAGTGTCTCTAGTGCAGGGCTATGAGTGAATGCGTTATTAAAAAAAATATCCGTTTAAATAATTTTGACGACGACTATATGTATACATTAGTTCATGCGGCCAGACTGTGGAACGTATTTATTAATACTGTTTATAATATTTTATAGTAGTGGCACAGACCAAATATAAAAATTCAGACACATATACCACTACGTCACTATTTCTACCTCCTCGTTGGCGTCGCGTCGCACTTCGCAGAGCAAACGGACCACATTTGATACCCTGTTTACATTTTCAGAAGGGTGAGCCAAGTCTCCAACTCATGTTACAGTACAACTTTAAAAAATAATAATTGCAGTTATTTCCTTAACACGTTTAGCGCCAAGGGCCTCCGAGGCTCTAAAATCGTGGGAACCATATTTTTTTTTTACTTATATTGTTTCTGTTGGTATTAATTGAATGTGTGGAATTAATATTATGAAGTAAATACTGGCCTGGGAGCTTTTTCATAGATTTAGTTAAATGTAGCTAAAATTTAATAAATATAAACTAAATAATTAATGAGTACATCAAAATAATAATTTATAAGTAAAGTTTATTGTACTAAATTTGATCTTGATTCAATACATTAATTGAGTAATTACAAAAAAGTAATTGAAACTACATATTAATTTTTTTTCTATATAGAACCATAACTTCAAAACTATCACAGATATTTATATCCCAAAAACACTGAGCGATTCGAGAGGGCTTTCAAACGCTCGTACAAAATATTCGAAACTATGAATACACTGAGATATGTGGGCCTAAAGAGCAAGCCTTACCTGTGTATAGCCAGGACACACGGGCGTGGGACAAAAACATTGGGTATATATCACAGACATATATCTAGATAGACGCCGCAAGTACAGCAATTTGTATGGAAACCAAGTGTGCCACACATTTTTTTGTACCCACTATGACGTCACAATAACTATTTAGTGATGGAAACCTCCTTCCGCCCGCTCTAAAT